TATTACTTAAGAAAGATAATTAATATAAAATTAAATTATAATATATATAATAAGGAATTACTAGTAATAATAATAGTATTATAATATTAGAGAATATATTTAAAAGGAATCAAGTTTCTTATACAAATTATTATAGATTATAAAAACCTTACTTATTTTCTATTAATTAAAGTATTAATAAGAAAATAAGCAAGATAATTAGAAATATTATTATAATATTAATTTATAATTAAACACTATAAAGAAAAAGATAATAAAAAAATAAATACATTTAGTAGATGACTAGATTATAAAGAAGAAATATAAATATTAGAATTTATATTACTTAAAAAAATAATAAATAGAAATCTAGAATATAATCTATAGATTATTACTCTAGCAATAATAATAAAATATAATACTAATTTAAAATTACAAGATTTAATTATTAAAGAAATAGCAAATAATAAAATTATTTAAGAAATATTAAATAATATATAATAAGAAGAGAAATATAAAAAAATAATTACTAATAAAACTAGACTTATATTTTAGTATGATTTAATCTATATATTAAAAATAATTAGAAAGAAAATTATTAAAATACATTATAATAAACCAACAGCAGGACATCTAGTAATTAATAATATACTGAAAAAAATATTAAAAAATTATTATTAGCTGAATATGCATAAAATAATACATAACTATATTAAAGAATGTAATATGTACTAAAAGAATAAGGTTATAAGACATAAACTATATAGATAAATGCAACCATTATAAGCATTAGAATATCTATGGTAATAGATGATAATAGATCTTATTATAAAACTACTAAAATCAGAAGGATATAATTTGATCCTAGTAATAATAGATAGAATGATAAAATACATATATTTTATACTAATAATAGAAAAAATAAATATATTATTACTAGCTAAGATACTATTATAATAAGTATTCTAATATTATAGTATATTAGAAATTATAGTATTAAATAAAAGACTAGTATTTGTATCATAACTATAGAAATCTATGATGGATCTAATGAGAAGAGAATAATGATTAAGTTCAGCTTACTACCTATAAACTAATAAATAAATAAAATGAATAAATCAGACGCTTAAATAATATCTAAGGAATTATATTAATTATTAATAAAATAATTAGATAGAACTATTATTAATAGTATAATTAATATATAATATAATAAAATAAGTAACAATTAAGATAATACCTTTTATAGTATATATAGAAAAAGAGGTTAGACTATTAAAATAATTTAAATATAAATAATTAATTGCAGAGAAAACAGAAGGAAGAGTTAATATTATAAAAACTCTATATATAATACTGTAAAGAGAAATTAAATATAAAAAATATTTAAATACAAAATAATATAACTAGAAAAATTAGAAGAAACTTAACTTTAAAAAGAGAAGAAAGATCTATTCATCTTAAAAAAATATTAAAATATTATAAAAAAATAATGAACTTAACCATCTATGAATTAGATTATTTAAAATATAAGAAAAAATTAAAAAAATTAATTATAAACTTAAATTATTAGAATTAATGAAGATATATCCAGTATTCTATATATTATTATTAAAACTAGTATCTTGAAACACTAAAATGCAAAATAATATTATTATTAAATAAGAGATCTATAAAGTTAAAGAAATATTAATAAAAAAACCTAATAGAATAGGGATAATATTATATCTAATTAAATGAAAAAGATATAATTATTTAGAAAATATTTAGGAATTTATTAAGAATCTTTAGAGAGTTCTGGATATAATAAAAGAGTATTAATAAAAGAAGAAAAAAGAAATCTAATAAAAGAAAAATTTTTAAGATTAATAAGTATTATTTAATAACTAATAGATTTAAAAATAAATTCTTAGAACTTGTGACGATGCAATGCCAAATCTATTTGGTCGCTAAACACGAAGAGACTAAACTGGAGAGAAGAAGAGAAAAGAACAACTACCAGTCCCCTTCCTCCTACTTATACTTCCTTCCATTCTAGATACCTATAAGCTATCTCCGTTATATACTAGTATTTAGTAATCTAGATTTCTAAAAGATTCCAACAATATAGAATACTAGCTGGCAAAGACCATTTATCCTTCTTGATATCATATAGATCCTCCAGCAATCTGTAGTGTAAATCAAAACATAGAATAATCCCTACAAGACATATCTAGCCCCACATCTTCCCTATATATAATTCATCTATAGAAGGCAGCCTGTAAATACTTTTATAATAATTATATACTATTAAACTAAATTATACTAGGCTATTATATCATTCTCTATTCTAAGCAATATTTGTTTTAAATATTAAGTTAATAATAGTATATCATCCTCATTATAATTAGATAAAAATTCATTCTTTTCAGCCACATGTAACTAATTCTCTAAATATAATAATAATCTAGATTTTTCTAAATAAGAATTATAAAATACCTTTATAATATTTAATATATTCTTAAAATTTTCTATTAGATACTATATTATATTATTATTATAGTCTTACTATTAAATATAATACTGTAGTTTCTAGTAATATATTTATGTATTAAGAATCTATTTAATTTCTTATTTATTATAATTATTAATCTTAATTAATAATAAAAGATCCTTAATCTATCCTAATAATAGTTCTATTAAATATGTCTTTTAAAGTTTATCTAGTAAGAAAACTAGATATATTTAAAAATATTTAAAGAGTTTTAACTTAAATATATTTCCTTTCTTTATAATAATCTTAAATAGATCTAAGTTCTAATAAGAAAGCTTCTAGCTAGATTATTTATTATTAAGGTGCTTAATTATTAATATAATCTTATCCTTAATATCAAAATCTACTTCTTATTAATACTTATTTATCTATATTTTTTATTATTTTTATACTTATATTATATTCTATCTTGCATAATCCTATATTTATTATAAATATTTTATCTAGATTTAGACTTACTTCTAATTCTATATAAGATTCTTATTATTTAATAATAACTAATCAAATAATATTCTTAATATAAAACCTCTCTCAATCTTAAATAATGATAGTCTAGTTAATTCCTAGAGTAAGAATACTATAACAAAGTCTACTATTAATAATTATTTAGACTAATTATCTTGGTAAAAACTAATATAAGATTATAAATAAATTAAAAAATATTAATTTATAATTTTAATTTATTTATTTATAGATATATAATATATTATTAATAGCTTTAGCTTAATCCTTAGAATATAGTAGATTTTCGATTTGTACCGGCGCGGCCGGATTCGGCTGGCCTTCCGGGATCACCATCTTCGGACTAGTGCGGGCCATAACCGGTTTAGCGGCGTCCCCGATCCGGCGTAGTGCAAAGCTCGGTACAAAAAGGGGATAGCGTGCCCGTACCTCGTCTGCTCGAATATATAAACCCCTGGTGCGTCGCTCAACCGCCGTCGTTCGTGAACATCTTCAAAACTTCCCGGCGGCCCCAATTGACGCGGCCTCAAGCCCTTTATTGGCATCGGCGCACCACCGCCCGAGAGCTGAAAAATTGGTCGGTCATAGCGCTGGACAAAATCACGAAAGCTCCATGTTACATCCATCGAGCCTGTGCACTCTCTACATGCGAGACCAATGCCTCAGCCATTTCAATACGCAGTGGTGTCGAAATTCCAGTCTTTTGAACAGTGCAGTTTATGCGCTACACATTGATCAGAATGTATTATGTTACAACCATACTGGTACATCATTCTCCGGCCGACTTCATCAATTTTCGTGTATCTGCTTTTCCGCACTTCATGGCTAGCCCTTGGTTGATGTCTCTGTGGACCGCGCTGGTATTACAAAGGAAATTGAGAGAAAACATACGTCAGCTGACATCCGATTCCACATGGTGACTCACGAATTTTGAGCCAGCCACGACGCAAATGGCACCTAGTGCGACCTTAGTGGACAGCTGTCTCTCTGCGAGGACGAGGTCCTGTTTGATAGGCTAGCCGATTGGGCGACAGTTTCCAGGATCCACTAGTGAACGTATCGGTTGTCTTGATTGCATCAAAAGGAGACTTTCCTTGCTATAACTAGCTCTATGTTTAGGCACCAATCAATACACTTATATTGGCGAGGTGGACCTGAGCGGCGTCGAAAGTGGTTGAGTACTGCCTCTTTCTGTCCGTTCAAAGGTAGTGTTATTGGAGCCGGTGATGTCCGGTTGAAATTCCAGGATCATGCAGGGGGTAGTGGCCGCTCATGGTCAAGGTGTTGAAGCCCTAGCTTTGAAAAATTTCGCCGCGGCTCCAGTGTTGCGTATGGGAGTTTCTCTTTGAAAAAAAGCGCGACTGATCCAAGAGACGAGCTACCTGTGCCACAATGGAGGTATATACTTGATTCTACGTCTCTGCTAGAAGTCGCGGATGCAATTGACACTTGGGATGGATAGGAATCCCATCCTATTCCGTGCTGTACCGTTGGCTGAACGGAGTTGTGACCACGATATCAAGATATCAACCCAAGAGATGACCAATGGAGGCTGTGCTAGCGCTATGCATTCGTTCTCATGGTTGCTACGCTGCTGCAAGTGGCTTTACACCAATGGGAAAAATACCTCAAACCACAACATATCACTGGCGTGTACGCTAAGTGGGAATGTTTCCACTGTTGCCTGAGTATTTCAGGATGGTCGACTAGGATGGTTGTCATGCAAGCTCCTTGTGTAGGACTCCTTTCGGTCTCTTTCCTATTCTAGGTATTACCTTTTCCGTCTATGTGGACTGAGTATCGGAAAAATCTCGGTGTGCTTCCTAGAAAGGCTAGACTTACAAGCTGAATGGATTCCTGCTTCTTTTTCCTATTATGGCATTGCCGAATTCGTATATTCTCTGCATCGGGCCGTTCTCAGCTCAGGTATATTAATCAGCCGTTGGCCACAAAAAACGCAACTTCAACCTCCGATTATCTATAGGAATATGCATCTTACTTGATAATCTCTCATCCAACCTCAGCCATGGCATATATCTCTCTTGACAACGTGGTCGAGTACCAATATCCTAAGCCTAGGAAGCCGTCCAAATTGCCTCTGATCCCTTGTGGAGCTTCTTCATTTCAATCAACCACCGAACCTTTCCTTAACCGTTCCACTTCTGTTGATGTTTGCGCAGCAGTGGTACCGCCTGCGTCAGCTAGCGAGGATCCATCTTCTTTGGCAAATATCAACTCTGTGGTTACACAGGCCCAAATTCAAATTGAGGACTCTTGTCCACTGCCAGCAGCCATAATCGTCGACTCTGACAGATCTGATGAGATGGACAAAAACAAAGACCAGAACATATGTGATGGGAAGACAGAGCAGGATGCGTGTCGAAGATGTGAGTCTAGCCCCGTCGATGCTATTATACAAAAGCTAAGAACATTTATTCCAGCTAACGAACGAATCCATGACATCCACTACATCGAGAAAAACAAGGATTTGTCTGAACCTCTACAGGCTACAGAAATCTTATTAGCTAAAGATGCTACAGTACTAGAATCTCTGGAAATAGAGATGCCGCCCCTTATTTCTGATAGTGGATATGAGCAACACAGCAGCACTGTCTCAGAAACTTTTATCGAAGAAATGCCGCCGACCGTTCTAGATGACCCCATCGCCTCGGCGGCTCAGTTGGACACAAACGGTATAGATCAAATGTCAATGAGTCCTGTCAATACTCCAACCGGTGATGCAATGTGCCACGACAGTCTAGCGGACAAGGGCAGGCAACGATCGGTGTGTCAACAATCTCCAATTGCTGAAGCGGCAGTAGCCCAGTTTGCGCCCACTCGAACCCGACAGCTTAACGGCAGCCAACAGGGACGCAATTCGTCAGCAGAGATGCGTTGCAAATCTCTATCAGTGGTAGTCCCTCATCAACCATTGCAGTCCAGCAAGTTGACTCGCACCGCTCGTCACTCAGCTTGTTCTCAGTTCATTCCAAGTGCAGAAAGTGATGATGATCCAGGGGATAGTGACTATTGTGAGGACAGCCCTGCAGAGAGTCGAATAGAATATGATGAACCAGCGGCTCGTCCAGTCAAGAGAAAAAGGCGGATGAACACTAGTATGAACACTTCTCAGTTCCACAGAAAAAGAGTGCGCGCACAAGCTTATTCAAAAAGCCCTTCGCCGAAACTGGCGAGCCCTGAGTCCACGGTCCAGAGCTCCACAAGTCCAGAGACTATACGAATCCGTGGCCAATTTCTGCGCAAAGTCTCTTTAAGTCGCGTTGAGTATTGCTGCTGGGTCACTGAAGATATTAACTCGGCCACCTCCAGTCCTGTCTCATCTGACATTTGGGCATCACTCAAGAAGCTGGCAGACGAAGGGGGCCAGTCAAATAGCATGTCCGACTTTCAAGCTATTGACATAGAAGGCTTATTTACCCGTGATCTTAAGCCGTGTGGGTATATATGGAGCTTCAACTTCAAGGAGAAGCACGCGAAATCGCCGGAAAATCATTCCTTGCCCCAGGAAGGAAGGGTATCACCGACTCTAGATGACCTTGTGGTAGACAGCCAGACTTCCTCGCGGGCGGATGAGTGTGCGTCTCTGAAGGGCAAGGATTATACTGCCGAAGAAGATACGTTGATCGTCCATCTCAAAGAGACTGAGAAACTCTCATGGTCACGCATTGCAGCACGCTTTCCTAAAAGAACACAGATGGCCCTGCAGGTTCGATACTGTACCAAACTGAAAGGAAGGCCGCACCAAACCCAGTCAGGAGGTCTTATTAGACCGAGGACTGGCCCAGCGCAGACTATTACAGTGGCATGTCCAAGGAATACTGGGAGTTCTCGTCGCCAGTATAGCTTGCGAAAGCTACGACAATCCCCGGATCGTTATGTGCCTGGGTAGGTCAAATTTTAGAGGACCTCGAAACACGTAAGGGACGACTTGTCAGCCGCATTTTAAGTGTTTCAGAAGATTCTCTAAATGGGATAGTCAATATTCGCAATCTCATTGATATCGAATACACGCCATTCTAAGTCAGTTCTTGGGAGATCTTATTCTTATGTTCAATAAACGTGTATATTCCACCATCACTCATACTGGAAGGAAGTCGTACAAGATCAAGAACAAGCGAAATCATAGACTTTTCAGAAGTTCCCAATGTCTCCATAGTCTTACTCTGAATCTTGTAAACGCTCTAGGGCTAAGGCTATGTACTGTACTCTTAAAGCGGAAAAAGATCCCTGTTGAGTTCATCTGCACGGACCACTGTAGTGTCAGATCATGTGATATTACCACGTGCTTCATGAGCCCTAACATAAAGATAGAGTATCTAGGGCTATGTTCCTCTTGGCGTTGTTCATTGTCACGTGCTCCAGGATGGTGTCTTGATGTTAGTAATCTAATCATAGTCAATTGCTAAGTTGCCTCTTCTGATTTCGAGAACAGTTACAGGACGGGATCATCTGCCAACACCAAACGGATACGCATACTGACATGAGATATGATCGTAGTCGTGAATGGAGTATTGTTGAATACGCCATCGAACAGGATTTTTTCCAGCACTAATTGGTTATATGGCACCAAACGGGATTTCTTACCACTCAAGACGGTGCGTACGGCACCAAACGGGATTCTTTACAGCACCAATTGGTTCATACGTCACCGAACGGGATTTCTTACCGCTCAAGACGGTGCGTACAGCACCACACGGGATTTCATTACCGCCCAAGACGTTGCGTACAGCACTAAACGGGATTTCCTACCGCTCAAGACGGTGCGTACAACATCAAACGGGATTTCTTACCACTCAAGACGGTGCGTACGGCACCAAACGGGATTCTTTACAGCACCAATTGGTTCCGGCACCGAACGGGATTCTTTACCCACACCAAATGGGAACACCTACAGACATGAAATGGGCATGCTTACACCAAGCAGGACTCGTTACATCACCAAACGGATCGTTACCAAGATTAAATGAGAACGTCACTAACATCTAAACGCACAGATATGAACTATATCCATTTGATCAAAATCCCAGAACCAAGGAGCTTAGTGCAAGCGTACGATCCCCGAAAGATAGACGTACTGAATCCAAAACGCTCTGCCTGATTTTCACCTGTTTTAGATTGTTGGGTCGTTCCCGTTCGGTGTTGGTTTTTCAGTCAGGGCTGTTATCCTTTGGCATTTACCATAATCAAACTCATCGTCGGGATGGAGTGAGAAAATGAAACCTGTTCTCCTCGAAATTTAGACTTGTTTATTTCACTGTTTATAGCAAGGTACCCATTCACTCCGTTTATTAGCCTTGAAGTCAAGTATTTAATCCTCCTATCTCCTCACGGCCACACTGGAATATTTTCCGGATCCTAGCTTACTCAAAATGAGCATGCAGGGTGAAACATCTAATTCCGAGGACAAGCCGTCCAGTTGCCCGTCAAATTTGGCTCAAGACTTCCAGACCAAGGAAACTTATCACGCGACAAAGACTCCTCAATTAGAACCCAAAAAGTCTTCATTTTCCCGATTTGATACCATTCTCATCAATTTCGCAAGAAAGAATGGAGACGACTTCTTAGGAATGCAAATAGGCCACGCCTCTTGCCAAGCAACTTTTCTCCAAAAAATGGACCTTGCTGCTACGGAGGGAAGATTCGATTCTATAACGCCAACTAGTCACCCCAATCTGCTGAATCTTATAGGTAATTGGGTTGATGAAAGTCATGTCGTTCTGCATTATGAAATGCCAGGGATGTCTTTAACCGAAATCCGGCAATTTAAGACCCTGGATCGAATCGAAGTGGCGACAATTTGCAAAAAGGTATTTGAGGCACACTTTCTACATCGAAAACAATGACTAACACTACATAGATATTACACGGATTAATCTATGTTCATGAGGTTCTCAATATTAGCCACGGCGACTTGCACTGTGATAATATCTATCTTAATGAAGATGGCGAAATTAAAATTGGTAATTGATTTCACTGGTGACGATTTACTGTTCCGCTGATGCCTCAAGTAGGAGATATCGGGAAGAGCATGATCCAAGCAGGGAGGAGGAAAGATATTTCTTGCGACGTGCAGGCGGTTTGCAAGATTGCCAATCAGCTTCTCAATCTTCATGGCAGCTCAGATACGACCGGCATGTCATGGATAATGGCTAAGAGCTTCGTCACCCAAACGAGCGGCATTGATCCTCGAACTCTGCTCAAGGTACGAAAACTTAGTAGTGGATTGTACTGTATAATGCTAATGACTATATAGCATCCTTTCTTTAGAATAAGTCAGGATTCTTGGTATTTGTCGGGGCTCTGGACACTGAAAACAGTTACTCTAACAAAGGAAGTGTTGGATGGTCGAGATCCAGGAAATTGAACCAACAATGAATACCGATGAAGAGGACAGATACAAAGTGTCTTCTTATATCTGCCAAGTCAGAGCCTCCATGGCGTGCATATTGAGATGGCCGCAGCCTTGAAATGTGCAATGCGCACGTTTTATCAACCCTTCGCAGAGCCTTTGAACGGGATCTACGAAATGTTAAAAAAAAAATCTAAAGTTGAGGTAGGTTGAAAAAGAATATCTTTCTGCAACCGGAAAATGGTGTCTCAATACCTTCTTGATTGAATTCATCTGGAAACGATTATTCCGTCACAATACTTTATACGTACTCCGTCCTAGTAGGTGTGGCGTATGGTCTCCTCATGCTGATCTATGTTTAAACCACGTTTCTCTCCTAGACCAATGGCTTACCCGGGTGAAGCCATGCACGTGAATCGCACGTGACACTTTCATTTGAAGTCGCCATGTTCCGCCTGCCACAGGGATAGGAGTGATTGATCTAAGGATTATTTCCACCTCGAGGATCCTTCCGGGAATAACGGGCTGATGATATCTTCCATGATCACGTGGGTCAGTCTCGCAAAGTTGAACTCTCAAATCTTTCCCCATTGGTCATCACGGGTCGGATCAAACAAAGAAAGGCCACAAAACGAACCATATAGAAGGAACTTCGAAACAGCGTCTATTTCAAAAAACAATGTGATACATCCTACGTGAATCGCATATGTGTTCATATTATGCAGCCTCTCACTTTGCCAGGGGAATCTTTAACCTAACCAATCCGATACATGTTCGGCTTTCTTTTTTCCAACTAAAATCGCCTACAGACGTATTTATTTGCCGCTTTTCCTTCCTTTCCGTGGGTGTCAGAGTCTGTCTATACACCATTGTTGAAGATTGGTCTATCTCAAAAAGACTGGCCGTAACTAGTCTGCTATGAAAGTGAGAACGATATCTACTTTTCGAGTAAAAGCATTAGTGATTTAACTTGAGAAAATCTAGAATCCACGTTTCAGTGCCCATGCCTTGGGTGTTAATCATTCCCTTCACTCGATCACCTGCCATAGCAATTCCCGGCAACGGCCGACGCTAAATCCAAAGGAGCTGGTGGACCTGATTTTGACGATCCTAGAGTCTGACAATGAGATGAAAATTGATTCGCTCGTGGCGAAATTCGGATGGGGAGTTCGCATCAACGTATCCAAGATGTCGCCGTGAACTTCATTAAAACGACGTCTGAAGCTGATGCAAGAATAAGACCTGATTTTTTGGCAAGGAAAATACAAGCCGATTTAAGATAGGGCAACCACTCAGGTTGTACCTAATTGTGTGGTGCATGCCATCTTTCAATGTCGGTATGCTGAATTCCTTGGGAAGAATAGTCCTTAGTGTATCAAGAACACAGATCCGATCCTTCCGTCTTGGAATGCCTGTGATAGGATTCGTGTCAAGGACAGTGGTTAGACATAGCAGGATTGCAGTCCACATAAAAGCAGACAGTTTATATCTTGTTTTTAGATCATGGCAACAAACAATTCACATATAGAGATCATATATCACCGAAAAAGCGGTTACAAGACTATCCTATCTTCTTCTAAGAGCACTAGTCTACTGAAGTCTTAGGATGTACCAGTGCTCTGAAGTGTTGGTGCATCGCCAATCTGCGAGTTTGGATACACTTTATTCTTCGAAAGCAACTTGCTCGGAGCCTTGATCAAGATTGCGAATGTTTGGACAGAAATGGGCTTTTTGGTGATGTTGGTGTGCTCTTCAAAGTCATTTTGACCAAATATGGATATATATTTGTCGTTAAAGGCGTGCAGAAAGCAAATGAGCGCGACTTGGCTTATGAAATGAAGGTATACTCACATCTTGTGCCTTTATAAGGGAAGAATATCCCGGTCTGTCTTGGCAGCATAGCTCTTACTTGGCCATATCCTCTTGTCTCTATGGCAAAAGTGACAATGATGTTGTTGATGTTGTGGGCTGGAATGAGTTTATGTTACAATAGCTGGCCTGAGGATGTTGATATTAAGAAAGAGATGGACAAAACACTACAGACATTGGCTTAGTCTGGTGTCTGTTATGATGATATTTGACAGTCCAATTTAGTATGGAACGCTGAACGATAGTGAGTGATGGCAATAGATTTGCAGCAGACAACTATTATATCTAAAGTAAAGTGAAAAGCTTCGCCCTTTGTGCTAGATGTTTATAAGTAAATGAAGCTAATAGCTGGATCATCTTATATCAAGGCTATCACTATTTGATTTAAGTGGAATCTTATACTCCTCTTATATCTTTAAATTAAATTTTACCATGTCGCTCCAAGTCACTTGACCATCTATCAGTTTATTTCTCTGATTAGCGCGCATCCCTCAAACAGCACCTGGACAGAGGTCTGGACCACTACCATGCCCCCGGTTGGGAATTCTGGACCTGCGGTGTTCCTTTCAAGCTCAGTTTGATGCCGTACGGATATACAATACTTGGAAAGGAGACTACTGATGGCCGGTGGCCGGCCGTACGGCAGGAAGAAGATGTTTATCGGGTCCTCCATTCATTGCAAGGGTCTGCGGTACCCGTTTGTCTGGGCACTATTGATCTAGACTGGATTTCCTTTTCACAGAGATCTAAGGATCACTCATATGCATCGGCGTTGATGATAGGTGAAGAAGAAAGAATGGAGCTGTTTCGGCGGGAGGTTGCACCTCCTTATAGCTTCACTGAGCCAACAGCTGCCTACCGAACTATCAACCCATCTCTCATTATCCTTGAGTGAATCAGCTGCAACGCTGAAAGCGGACATGAGAGAGTTCACTATCTATGAAGCGAAGAACCTAGCCTATCACTTTCTGCCCTGGCTGGAATCATGTAGCATGCGGTGTAGTCGTCTCAAAAATATAGTGTTCACAATAAGTCGTGATCGGGTTTAGTCCTCATCAGGCGGGAAATATGCCAAGAGCGACGCTGTAACAGCTCTACTCATGGTTCTTTCTCGGTTGAGCAACATCAAGCTCAAACTCGGTCGAATTCAAAGAAAGGTGGTCCTGCATTGTTCTGATCCGTAAACGAGGCAAAATGATATTGGCTCGCCGCTATAGCGGCCTGATGCTCAGGTAGCGTCATGTAAGACGTGCATGTAACATGGTCCTGACTAGTAAAAGATATTTCCGGCGCAACAATGGACGAATTGAATAAGCCAACATGATGACACATATTGTCATAAAGCAGGAATGCACGGCGGTAGAGCTCGTTGACTCCGGAGAGTGACTGGAGCCATCGATAGACCTTAAAACGCGCATTTTGGATTCGAATTCTGTTTATGTCGTGAAACGCCTTGCTGTCCATCTTGCTGCGGTTGTTTTCGAAGTTCTTTTGAGCCTTGATGAAGATTGTAGCTGCCTGCATAATAAAGTACAGATTCAACCACCATGGAGATGCATTGTATATCCAATCCATGTCCACGGTATCCGGGTATATTGAGATTAAGCTGAACGCAGCGTCAAGACACCTCTGGCTTATGTAGTTGTGTATCGGCCTATCCGAAGAGCCGTGGCTGTGGGAGAGAGAGGCTTGCTGGTAGAGAGTAATGCGCGCACTATAATAGTGCATACCCAAGCTTGTCCGCTCCAACGATGGATGTTCTGGGAAACAGGCATCAACGTCATCAATGAACTGAAAGGCTGGATGAAGTCGGTATAACCAGTAATCTAGTTTCCTGTTGTAAAAAGTGATTCGCTGTGCAATATACCTCTGACTTTCTTGTAACCTTATCAGGATAGCGAACTCGTAGGTAAAACCCTGTACTATATGCACCAGATCAATCAAATGGTAAAAATATAATCCCTGGTTTGGTTTTATCTCTCCCAGCCAATCAACTTGAGCCTCTTCCTCACCATCGTGGTCATCTAGTGACCACTTGAGGCGCCTTCTGCGGAGATCGTTGTTCTTTAGGATTTCTGCGGCATCCAGACCGCTAAACATATCTTCTTGAAACGGTACAGGCTGATCAATGGAGCATGCTCCGCTGTCTATACATGTCGGCTTCGCTATCATACGGGACAACAGACTCTCTAACATGTAGATAGACCACCAAAGACGAGAACGAGCTTCCTGGGATGCGTGATCAAGCTTTAAGCCTGGAAGTTTTTCATTGATTTTTAATTCCATGGCCGATCTCGCAGCTATCCCTGAAATCTTCCAAGCTCTATGCAAACAAACAGCGTCAGTATTTTCCTTTTTGGAATTTTTTTTTAATATTTTATTTGCTTTATTTTTAACTGAGACCTCAGAGGCCATGAGTGGGCTTACCTGGTCATTTGCATAGAGACCATGAAGTAAAGTGCCATAAGTGCTTCAACCTGTACTTGTTGGAGATCTGGACGCTGATACGCGGTAAATCCGCTTTCACTCGAGATTTGAGCACGAGAGAAGAATACCTCGTCATCCAAGTCGGCCGCCGACGTTCCTTGTAAAAGATGCAATCTTCTGCAACCGATAGCGATGATCAAATTCAAAATTGCCAACCATTTATGTCCGGGTTTTAAATTGGTATCCGTCCATAAGGATTCATATTGTCGCATAAAAAGATTTTCTCGGACTATAGGAAACATCGGATGTAAAGATTTGAAATACGACAGCAAGAACAGATCTACTAGCTTTCTTGACGGTAGATCATCTAACCACGTTGCCGACAGTTTCTTCTTGTAAGGGGAATCTCCAGTCACTCCGGCTCGGATATTTGAAAAAAGAGGCACATCTAATAAAGATTTCTTGTCTTTATTAGGCGGATCTGCCATATCTACCTCTGTGGTGCATGACGCAGCGGGATCCGTAAATCCTCCTGGAAAGCCCGGAGCCCTTGCGTCTTTGCTTCCGTGAAGCCTTAGGTTTATGATGTGTCCTCCCCAATGATCAGCTGAGGCAGATGATTGACTCGACGAGAAAGGATTTTGAGGTCGAGGTAATGAATCCGCAGCCTGGGATATCTCCTCAGTTACAAAAAATTAGCGCACAGGCTTTAGCATCTGCGTCATGAAGAACTTACTGCTAAAGTTGACTGGAGTCTTACCGTAGAACCTGCGGAAGCCTCAAATTGCGCACAACGTAGAAGACGCTGAGATTTGCCAATCTTTGAGTTGAGACATTCCAGCTCCTGCCTATCCCGTGCTCGCTCTCGATACAAGTATCTGCATTCTGCCCCATTAATCAGGCAGCTTTTGCATACTGGCTGGCCTCCATCGCATTTTGTCCGCCACTTCAGACATACTGTACAAGATTTTTTGGTTCGAGTACGGCGTAACGGTCCCACTCGCTTCGATTGACCTGTAATCAATGACCTTTCCTTCAGATAATCATGCTCCGCTAGCTCAGAAAGGTTCGTGGTTCTACCCATGTCGGAACAGTCTTCCGGATTTTTTAGGTAGTCGAAATATTCGCAACGGTTCCGTCGATAGTGGGATTTTTGATTGTTGAACACGATCGCTGAGCGATCATTATCAAGGATAAACGAACCGTCTTTGAGCAATACAGATTTGAGTGCTCCTATGGCAGGCTATGAAATTAAAAGGGCGCTGCTTCGTCGGTGCAACAGGCTGTTAGTTATTGCCACCGCGAGTGATAGGCGATTGAGTAATATTGGTCAATAATGATTGATGCTTGAACCGGCGGCGGGGACAACTTTATTCACTCTCATTCTCTGATAGTATAAGGAACGGCAGCAGAAGCCATTGTATAGAACCAAGTCTAGGATGAGAGAAATAATACTTAAGGAACAATTGAGCAGTAAACAATTGGTAATGCTAGCGATTGCAACCGGTTTCAGAGAGTCCAAGCTGGCGTAATGCTGATTTCACTGTTTGCATAAGTATATTCAAATTGGTCCCACTCGAGCTCGTTCCAACATTAGTTACAGTGGCGAATGGTAACAGAATAAAATTCCATTACGCGTAAGTGGCGAATGCGGTGCAGGTACGCCCGGACTGCACGGTTACTGCCCACAAAGAGATCGGCCACATTGATAACGCCTAGCGGTACACTTTCACAAGAGTGTGTGAATTTTCAGGACGTGGAGACAAACAGGTTTCGATTTCTGGAGAAGATCCAGTACGTTATTTCTGTGAGCAATATGATATAACTGTCAGTGCCACTTTCATTCATGTTTACAGCATCAAAAGGATCTCATAAATTCAAAATACTGAAAACCAGGGCTATAGGCTGTCACGTAGACATATTTTTTCCGGTTCTTTATGGACGATATTCGAAGTGGCCACTGGAGACGAACGTTTCTTTAGCTAGCCTTGAGTTATATACTCACACTCGGGGAGATCAAATTTGATCCTACTACGAAGCTGGCCTCCCCGAAAGCTTTCATGTTCATAAGCTCTTTTTTTAGGTGGATCCACCCAGAATGACATTAGATGTCAAAGATTTGAGGCATCCGTTAGCAGGAAGCGCTTCAAGTTGACAAGCGTCTGCTTGACGCATCTTGTCGCGCTATTTCCGACTCGGGAACATACTACGTAGTAGAAGGCTTGAAATGATGGGTAAAGTTGCGCTAACCAAATAGATTGATCCTAAAGCGTTCAAAAGGAAAAATCCAGGTGATTGACGAAAAGTGAATTCATAGCTGACGGATAGCATGAATTTGACGATTAGACAGCAAGTCAGTTGATGTTCAACGCACCTCATCCAAAACATTAAGCTTCCCCAGTAAAGTCTTGTAAATGCGGAATTAGAAGAGTGGGCCGACAAGTCCAAAAGGATTACCACCAAGACCCGGGCGCATAATGTATTATATTTGTGCAAAATTTCCCCTCATATTCTCCGACGTATTATTCTCCGATATATCTGCGGACCATGGCCATAAGCTCCTGCTGTGATATATCACTCCGAACCGCCGCGGAAAATGATTTGAGCTGTTGCGGATTGGCTGTTCTGAGCATAAATAGCAGCTGTTCAATATCACGGCGAATAATTTCAGCCTCCAACTGAGCATGTTGTAAGGCGGTCTCAAACTCATTATCTGTCATATATGTCGTCTGATCGTCATTTTTGCTGTTGCAAGTAGAGCAGTGACTCCTGTCATAAGAATATGCATGTGCCATTTTTGCATTTGTATCAACCGCACTTCGAAACTCCAAGGGACGTATCTGTCACCATGTGTTGCGAAGGATTTCGTCGCGTCACTATGAAAGAGGAATATGGAATAGCAAAATGAGGTAAGTACATAGTACTCAGATATAAATTGACAGGCTTATATCTCGCAGACGAGCTGATGTGCCAGGAGGCAGAGACTACAGATTTAAGTACAGAACAGTGGGTATGACGCAATCGCTTAGCGGGTACATGAGCATTACCGTGGCCAATATCGACCTTGACGACAAAACTCGGAAAACATCGGAAATACATTTTGCCACATGTCACGTTTGCAACCCGGGAACCTGCTCCGAGTGTGAGCGCTCCGGAACACGCCAAGGCGGGTTTGAGAGACACCAAAGAATCCGCTGGGGGCCTTTGTCATATGAGTCATACGATATGGGAATAGCTTCACATTGTGAACAAGGTTACTTCTCCACTCGGTGGAGCAATTCGCGTCTTGAAGCAATGGATTGCTGAAGTGGACGAAGTCCCATACCATAGTAGGTCCATTTTCCAAAAACAAAAAGTTCGTCGAAAAGAATGTCTCGGAATTGGAGCAGGAATGTCTATTCCTGCAGTCAAGACTTCGGACAATATACCCGCAAGTTACAAGTAGACTCCAGGTGGGAGGATGGATGGATGGGGTTCTCTTCCACTCCATGGGTTGAGGCGCAAAGCGTCCGGACTACTTTCCAGTGAATTTACAATCGGCGATGCCTCCTCCAGTCAAGCGTACAGGCCTAACCTAACAGCATGTCTCTATTGGCTCTCTTTCACTGGTTTATATCACGGTGCCAATAGCCGATTACCTGGTGGGTTGTGGCAGCGCAGGTAGGACTTGGGTTTCGACATCCCAGGATGCTGAAACCCTAGGCTGTACGGCTGAAAAGAGGCCTGCATCAACACTTCTGCCTTTTCTTTTCCCTCTTCTCTCTCTCCCACCATTGATCTCTCAAAGCGTTCATCATGGATTCCGCTTTCTCGAGCGCCATTTAATACCAAGGCTCGTGCGATTTCATATCTGGTTGATATCAAGAGTTTAGCGGGAATGCAAGCATCGTAGTGTTATGTACAAGTTAACCCGATGCGCAATGGGTTCGCAAGCGCGACTCGGCCACTAAAGTCCTAGGCCTAATACTAGTCGTAGAACAGACTGCATTTGTGCTGCAAAGGGGGAAGAGTTGACGAGAATCAACGAAGCAAAGCTGGGCTTGATCTACTACATGTCGTAGGGTATGCGTATATATTTTTGTCTCCTCGACAACGCGCATGACGTCATACGAGAGTAGCGCGGTTGAAGCTATACAATGTCGGTTTTGACGATGCAGCTTTGTAAAATGAACAAACAGGGATCATATTATATATACACAATATTGTATACAAATGTAGCAACCTGCAACAGAGTCAAATAATACCAAAGCAGTAGAAGCACTCGGCTAGTCGCTCAGTTTCTCCAGCGTCTCTGGATTATGAGCGGCCCTTTTCCCTCGTTGGTCATGGAAGAGGACCTGGCATGGTCAATGAAACATTTGTATAGATTATCGTTGGAGACCTTAGCTTGTATCTTACTTTGGGTGGATTCTTGACATCCTCCTCTTCTACTTCGACTTGATTCATCACTATTTTCTCGACCTGTAACAGTGAAGTCAGTGCATATTGCTTCTTTGCTCATGATGGGGCTGGTTTAGGTAGATTACTTCTCCTTCGTGCCCCCCGCGGATTTTAGTGTAGACATGGTCACCTTGATGGATCGCGTTGCCGTACTTGTCCTTAATTTCATCCATGGCGGAATACTAAGATAGATGATAGCAATGATAATATGCTGATAATGATGGTGGTGATTAGAATCTCACTCTAAGCCGGCGGGATGGCCTATATAGTCGGACATAGTCTAATATGTAATGTACTCTGTAGTAGTCATCGGTTCATCATTAGGTCCACAGGGCCAACGCCCCAACTCAGGAAAACTAAACTTACTGTCTCGTTAATTGGCAGCTGTTTTGTACTAGGTACATTACCTGACAGACTAATTTTTTATTAGAATACAGATGTGTCAGATATTGTAACGGAGCAAAACTTCAGTTAGTTACATTGATTCAATACAGCAGTTAACTCGCGGCTTCGTTAGATTTCTATCCATCTCATACGAATCGTCCAATAGCTACCTTTTTGAGGTCGTGCACATGAAACAAAAAAGAAGCTAGCAAGAAAGTATACTAGATTAACGAATGACGGAATTTATCAACGAGTCGAAGACTGTCCTTTGTAGTAGGTCTGAGATGGGAGGTCGTTCTCATCTAGACCCTCATTGTATCGATTTGCGGACTGAGGCTTTGAATAGCGAAGTCGGCTTCCACTTAGAATATTAGACTTGTCAACAGCTTCACGCTCGTCGCTCTCTGTTGCCGTCAGTTATGTCGTGGAAATCAACATATTCTGTATACTTCACACATACCGAGCTGCTGGTCAGAGTTCGATTGTGGCGGCTGCATGGGATCATCATACGGCTTGCTGTCTGCCTGCACAGGAATTCTTTAGGATTCGGTGGTGGTGTACGATGAATCCTTGACGTTACCGGAGACAGGTGAGATATCGTTTTCTGCTTCGTATCGGTCTTCGGCTTCGCGTTCGTAACGGTCTGACATGATGAGCGGGAATTTGTTTTTTTTTTAAAAAAAAAGAAAAAACCAAGGACGATATTTTTCTTTGTTGATGGGCTCCGAGGTGGACAGTTTAATAGAAATCGGTATCGCACTCTGGCGATTTCTCATAAGCTAGGATGCTTCTCGTAATAAATGCTGCGTCACCATCTCGTCATCTATGTCTGTCCAACGATCTACGATCCAAATTACCTGATTCTATACTACTACGTAGTAGGCATGAATTAATTGAGTTGTAATGTTCTCGCCATTACCAGACCCAGCAGCACCGTGGAACCCATCGGTCTTCGCCGCAGGGCTACCGCAAGATAATAGGACTGTTTTGGTGGTAGAAAAATCTACATGTGATGATTAAGTGACCCCCAAATGAAGAAAGTGACGCAATGGTTTGCCAGGTGGCGATCGCCAAAGTGAAGACGTCGCAATCTATATCCCTAGATGTGATTCGATGATTAATTAAAGACGGTGACGAAATAGCGATCCAAGACACTCGCTCGAAAGTGAGAACAGTACGCTAACTAGACTATATAAAGAAGATAGTTTTGCTCTAGTTCTTTGTCTTCCAAAGTCTCAATTTCAGAGTCAACATTCAGAAACCTTTTTTATCTTCCAAAAGAGTCTATAGCACAAAAATGACTTCCGCAAACCCCAACCCTGGCAACTTCGCCAATCGCCCAGAAGAAGAAGTGCAGAATATCGCTAGCAAGGGTGGTCACAGCAGCCATTCAGGCGGTTTTGCTAGTATGGACCCTCATCGCCAGGTATGCAATCCCGTTCTGAAGTATTTGATTATACTGACTTGACACAGCGCGACATCGCATCTGAGGGAGGGAAGGCCTCAAGTGGATCTTTTCAGCCTGGCGAAGAGCGTGCTCGCGAAGCTGGACGCAAAGGTGGTTCTCGCACTGGGGGTACCTACGATGAGCAACAGTAGCCGTCCATGGCAATCAGAACTGATCCAAAAAGAATATCGAATGTTATCGTCAAGGAGACTTTGCACTTGAAGGAGTATTATCAAACTAGTCTTTCAAATCTCTACATTCCAAATATATGGATTTAACTCAAGGAATGACCTGTATAGACTGGCTGCGGTTCCAGTCTATTGCATTCTAAGACAGAATATTATCCGTCATGAAGCATATGTTTACTAAATTTGGGATATATTTACTTGTCTCGACTCTTGATGCTCTAATACTTTTTGTCGGTGAAGTGTTGAGTCTGTTGAAAAGCCAGAGTCCAATAGCAAGGTAGCGTCTAAATGAATAGTATCGGTGTGAGGATGAATTCATGTCGTGAATTATTATAATTAAGAAATGCGGATCGTCCTTGTTATCATTGCCACAATGAGTTGCAATAGCAAAGGACAAGAAGTTGAACTGTTACAATCGAGTGTTTTACTGAATTAATGCCTTCTCTTCGTGCTAAGAAACAGATTTATTCATGCTTGTTTGCTAGTATGAAAGACCTTGGATACTGGCAGGAAATGGCTATAAGCTCATATTGAAGCCGCTTCTTAACAGACATTTATAAAAAAGAAAATGGCTGAAAATTTATGGTGCGGAGAACTTATTCAACAAAGAGCGCCGTGAATCTAATCCACTTCATGAAGCTCCCTGGTATCAATCTGATTTGGTGTTGGAACCGTGACGGCGATTCTGAAAGAGGCCAACCAAATCTAGTCCGGCCATCAAACATGGATGGCTTGGGTTTGTCAGACACAGACAGAGCAACCCAGTTTGTCCGGCGAGGGGTTATAGAGGACTTGGGTTGGTCGGAGACAGGCATAATATCGTCGATTAAGGCCTGCCAAAGCGGAGTGATAGCCTCTGACTGCTAGTTGAATTTAGGCACGTTAGTAGCAGGGCGCATTTAATGATTCTACCATGCTGGAACCGTAGGCGGATTCATTCCCAGTATTAACCGTTGGACGTACGATACGAGTTGTAATCATTTCTTACCGCACATATCCTTATGGTATAACGATGTCCTTTTTGAGCAGCAACTGGAGAGCGTCGCCGTATGCTCCAACCTGAGCACTGGCATCCGCTTCTTTCTCAAGGAATAACCGAACAATCTTAAGACGTCCTCCTTGAGTGGCAGCCTGGAGAGCATTACCATAGTATCCTTGTCTGATCATTCAGTAGGATTGAAATGACGGCGCAATATGCAGCAATGGAGTTCCCAGGCACCATCGGGGTGCGTGGTAATGAGAGAGCGCTTATGGAAGCGGCTGAATGGCGCCGAGGGACCACCCTATGGTCAGATGGCTCCAGGTAGGACGATGGGAGTGCTGGTGCTGGAGTGGCGCTGCAAGTAGTGCCAAAGGCCCATGGGAGTGCTCAGAAGCGCCAATGGGCACCGGATATGAACAGCTTCAGCGCTGGAATAGGCGCTAGATAAACACCTCCCAAGGTCCAATGCCCACCCGTTCTGGAACATATTACACGATGCCAATCTCATCCGATATCTGAACTTCTTGATCTCTCGACCAGTCCAATGTAAGAACAATTATTAGCTGCATGTTCATCTTGCAATTCTAGCTTATCATACGGTGATTCTTCTAGTTTCGAGCATGGATGTATGACGTCAATTGGTGCCGTCATTTCGCATGGTATTATTGGCTAACATAACTATACCAACACATCGTGTATTACGTAAAGCTTGTTTGTTTGACTAGCATGCATATATATATATATATATTCATTACGAATTTTACAAGAAAGAAGCAAAAAAAAGACTCGCTACCTAGATATACATCTCTATCATCATTTCCGAAAGACTGTAGAAAGATGACACCTCGAATTCCCAAGACAGCAGTTCGATCTTCTTCTATAGCCTCCTCCTTGGCCGATTTTCTCAACACCCACCCAAGTCTTCATCTCGGTGGCGAAAATGGGTTTGTTCGGGAGCGGAAACATCATTTAGAAATCCTTGGATTTCACGCCTTGCCAGACAATCAAAAAGCACCAATCGGGGAGGTAGAATTTGAAGGGGTGAGAGGAATACACGGAACAATCCCAATCCGTTTATTCTATCCCCGAACGATTGTGGAAGATCGAAAAGAGAGATCTGGAAAGAAAGTGGCAGCGCTGGTGTATATGCATGGAGGAGGTTACACAGTTGGCTCCGTTGACGAGTTTGAGAATGGATTGAGACTGATTGCCGAAGCGGCAGGTGTCATAGTATGTCTATCCCATATTCCTCTAAGAGACCAAGCAGTGAGACCTATCTTCGACCCAGCGAATCGTTTAACTAAGATACGATCTAGACTATTGGCGTTGACTATCGTCTTGCCCCAGAACATCAATTCCCAGTCCAACTAGACGAATATTCAGCCGCAATAGACTGGGCCCAGGGACCCGAAGGTCTAAGACGGGGAATTCATTCGGATTATGTCTTTGGTGGCGGTGATTCTGCAGGGGGGAACATGACTGCCGCCCTTGCTCTGCGTCGCCAAGATCAAGGTATTAAGAACATGGCGGGCCAAATCCTCTTGTATCCGGAGGCAAGGATCCCCTTTGACACGCCGGCGGGCGAGGAAAACAACAGGGGTGGAAGCTTATATCTAGTGTGCAATGGAATCTTCAGTTTCGCCGACCACTATCTTCCCAAATTGCCGTATGACAAAACATACCCGCCCAGCCACCGGTATGTCAGCCCGGGTATGCAACGGGTCGATGATTTGCAGAAAGATCTCCCTCCTGTGGCATTATTCACTTCTGGATGGGACCCACTGAGGGATGTCGGGGTCGAGTATGGAAGCAAGCTACAAGAGGCGGGCGTGCGAGTTGAATGGCACCATTATGATAATTTGACACACGGGTTTTTGCAGTTTGCGCCATGGTCAAAAGAGTGCATGAATGCTGCAATGAATGTAGGGAGTGTGTTGGGAAAGTTGGCGTCTGGATCACAAGAGTCTTAAATCCCATGGGTGAATTGTTGTATTTTGTTAATAATAGGACCTAGCCAATGCTTAGTACTTGCTACGCAAATTCATCAACTACTCGTAGATAGCATCCTGACAGCCAAGACCTTGTATTGGGAAATAAGTAGGTGCGTTCATCTACAGAGCATATCAAGCATGAGAAGGAAAAAAGAAGAGAAAGAGTCCGCCCCGCTGCGTACAAGTCTTTATCAATGCTCTTTGTGTGGATGAGGCTTCCCAATACAGTACCGCCCAGGGTCGAAGCCCTATCTCCGAATAGTTTCATGTTCGAGCCGTAAGATCAGCCACGAGGGCTGTCACAGTTAGAAGGCTGTTTAGGGCAATGAGACCTGGCGTTACCAAATTCATTAGAGACATGGCACTATGTGCGGTTGATCCGCATCAAGATAACACTACGCGTACAAAAATCTCAGACCAGTCAGGAGTAATAGAGTGGTCGAATGGGAATTAATAGAAGAGTCGCATGCATCTATCGTTGGGAAAAAAAAAACCCCTCCTGTTTATACAACGCCGTATTGTTCGAAGAGCATGGCTATATAGAGCATCCGAGTCATTGCGCACGTCGAAAAACACCTTTGGTAGAAGCGGATCCTCCAAAATTTCTTTCAGTGTCCTGCCGCTCTTTGTTTTGTGCGTAAATGCATCAGCATTTAGGACATGAATGTCGATCAAATACGTCATATCAGAAGGCGCAAAGTAAATCTGCAAAATTGATATAGTTCCCTTTCGTGACAGGTTCACCCCTTCAAGATCGACGTACATAGACGGAGGATGTTTCGGCGCGGCATCGATATTTGAATATACCAACTAATTCGGATGCCCCGGTCCGAATCCTACATCTATCATTCCGAGACTTCCTCATTAATACAACAAGCACCTTCCAAGTGGATGAAAACGAGACGCACCAGAAGATTGTCTTGCATTGCTTCCGTATTATGAACGCAAAAACTGGCTTGAAGCAAAATATCTGTGGTCTGTCAAGCTACGGGAGTCAGAGAGCAAATATCGATAATCAACTTATTAACAAGCACCTCTCAGCAGATCTCCAGTACTCCTGTCGGTATTGGGTATATCATTTTGAACATAGCCACCGTCATATCAGTAGGCCCATGGCTTTTGGCTTTCTGAAAAAGCACTTCCTTCATTGGCTAGGGGCGCTGAGTCTAATGGGTATTATATCAGAGGCGGTGGCAATGATGGATATAATTCAGCTAGGCGCTAGGGTAAGTTTCTGTGCATTTACACTCGAGTGATGACTAAAATCAAGTGTACAGAAGGACGTGACTGCTGAATTTTCCAACTTTCTCTATGAGGCAAAACGATTTATTCTAAAGAACGCCTACATGGCAAGTCTTGCCCCGCTCCAACTCTACTGTTCCGGGGTGGTGCTTTTACCAATGCGAAGTATTATTAGAAAGATGTTTCTTAACTACAGGCCCAAACAAATACACATTCTACCACAGGTGGAGGATGATTGGAGCCCGGCACTACAAACACTTGAGGGCCATTCAAGTTCGGTTTGTTCAGTGGCCTTCTCCCCTGATGGCCAAATAGTGGCGTCAGGCTCCTATGACGACACCATCAAGCTCTGGGATGCTAAGACCCGCTCTGAACTGCAAACACTTAACGGCCATTCAGGTTGAGAAGGAAATTCACTCTATCAATAGCACTTTTGTATCGGTCTAAAAGTTTATCAATTAAAACAGACATCAAATTGCAAACATGGATGGCTTGGGTTTGTCAGAGACAGACGGAGCACCCCAGTTTGTCCGGCCAGAGGTTATAGAGGACTTGGGTTGGTCGGAGACAGGCATAATATCGTCGATTAAGGCCTGCCAAAGCGGAGTGATAGGACTGCTAGTTGAACGTAGCAGGGCGCATTTAATGATTCTACCATGCCGGAACTATAGGCGGAGTCATTCCCAGTATTACCCGTTGGACGTACGATACGAGTTCCGATCATTTCTACCACACAAGACGGTGCATGCGGCACCAGCCGCGAATTTTACAGCACCAAACAGATCGTTTCCTATGTTTTGCTCCATGGCCGGGACGGTGACCACGTCGAATCTGACGTTTCTATCTCTATAAATTGAGAGATGGAAACTGAATCCCGATTCTGATGTCAAAAATATGAAAGCATGATCGCCCACAGGAATGATGTCAATTCTGGATTTATATTGGGCGGATAGATATATAATAATGTCATTCTCCTAACAAGCCCTCAGCTTTGAGCATTTCCACTGATTCATGAATTAATCGACATACTGCAAACCTGAGATTCACGATGCTTGGCAAAGTTCCTCGAGAAATTTGGGACAATATATTCGCTTTTCGACAACCAATACCATCTCTTGTTTCGTCGGAGCGTAGCAAACACCGCAAATTGTGGAATTCGATCTTCAAGAGCGATGAATGGATCCAGGAAATAACGCGGCTTCAGGGGAACCCTTTGCTTTTCGGTCCGATGCTCGACAAAGCTGGGGAGAAAAACATCTATGTGACGATTCACTGTGGTGGTGGAGTTACGGACCCCAACTATCGCTGGGAATTGTTCTTAGAGTGTCTACACCGTCCATATAAATATAATCCACACACGAGAGAGATCAAACTTCGTTGGGGTATTACACTGAACGTTTCGGAAATCGAAAGCCCAGAGGATCCGTTTCTGCTGAACGACAGAAAATTGCTCCGATTGCTTTCCTTTAAGGATACCGCTCAGCCTACCTCACAGTTCTCAATTTATGGCACTAAGCAGATCCTCAATCTCCAGCCTTGCCATATAATCGGTGTAGGAGAGCCTCCATACTACTCCAAAGCCCTCAAGAACGGCTATGCGGTCAATTCTCCAGATGGGACCCAAGTCTATTTTGAAAATAGGCAGAAGAGGTTCTTACTGGATTTCGATTGTGAACCATCTGGCCAAATCATTAGAATGACGTTTAGAAAGTAGACTCTAACTACAAAGATTTTTTAATTCTTAAAGGAAAAATGTTTTGCTGCTCCGCCGTTTTTGATATGCAAATGACTCCACTGTGATTGAATTTATTCTGTAGCTTTTCATGGCGCGCTGTTCTGTCTTAGGGGTTATTCTTGGCGGAATTTTCCCAATTTATATATGAGGTGATCATGAGTTGCTCAAAAAGTTTAATGACACTCAAACGCATGATGCACCAAACAGGATTTCATACAAAAATATCGTTACCAAAATCAGATGTGAATATCCAACATCGAACGAGAGTATACGCATACGTATTACTTGCCCATAAAAGTGCGAAAATTGTAATAATAGTTCAGATTATTCTTTTTTATCCGGTTTCCCGTCGTTTTACTCCTGTAGCTCGTGATCCATATTACCAATAAAGCACCGATGTTCTAATGCGTTTAGAGCTAATGGTCTTGCTTTGGGGTCCCATTGCAACACATCTTGCAGTCTCCTTGTAACAACTGTCGTCGCTTACTCGCAGTAAGCTGAACCACCAGAAGTGTCGCATTTATAGATTGTCTCGTTGTTGCATGAATAAGATGCTGGTGTGTATGCTTATGTAGCATGAATAAGTGCAAAGAGCGTTGTGAGAATTGCCGAGAAATACATGGTCGAATTGGTGAGGTGTGAAGCGACTGTAGATCCGGGCGGTCTTCAGAAGGATGGATGCTCAGAGTGCGCAGAGGATTTTAAAAGGCGGATAGAGAAGCTTATGCTTGATGTTTGTGATAAGTGGAAGTCACACTGGAACCTACACACTAGTCAACGATTTGAATAATGTTAGACACAAACGACCAGCCCACCAAACCAGGGGTAAGAAGAGATAAAAGTGCTATAAACAATGAGCTGTAAATTGGAACCTTGGGAGGCGAGTCTACTTATAAATGCATACATATCTTGTCCTATCAGATTGCAAAATAAAATCATTTACTCTCGTAGTGTTCTTTGGATATCAGCGTCCGTTCCCGTTGGGTACCGACATCAACTGGTGCAAGCACCGAACAGAATTCGTTCTAAGCCCCCGAACGGTGCTTAGATACCAAACGGGATCTTTTACCGCACAAGACGGGTGCATACGACACCAAACAGGATATTTTACAGCGCAAGACAGATCATTACCAAGATTAGGAATATCCGCATACTGACTCCAAACGGGAACGAACACTATCCGAGCGAATTGGTGTCAGTACGGTCGATCCGTTCGGTGTTTCTGTATTCCTATGTTGGTGGGACGATATCAGATGGATTGACATTGACTCTGTGTTAGTGTTCCTGTGTGGTGGTTTTTTCGTTTGGTCGTGAGGCGTTCTCATTTAGGATGTCCTTCTTGAGCAATACGACCAGCATCCAAACTTCGCTTCGCTGAGTGCTTCTCACGTTGATGGGTGACCAATGGAGAAATCATTGAACTACATGTATTTATTATTGAGACCTTCCCCTCAACATTACACTGCAGTAACTTTTTGGATATGCATTGACTCCTAGGAAATATGATATTCCAGCAAAACGCCCCCAAAGATCTGATTAAAGCTATTAAAAAGAGGGATTTACCTATCATTTAAAGTTATCTTAATAATGGAGTATATCCTAATGCTTGTAATCTAAATAATAAATAATACTAAAAAAGACTGCTTTTTTTATATACTATGCTTCATAGTTATATATAAATAATGGATTTTTTAATTTAATATAGAGTAGATATAAATAAAAGAGACTTAAATAGCTAAATTTCTTTATTTTAAGTAATAGAGTATTGCTAATTTAAGGCTATTAAACTGCTTATTAATCATGGTGTAAAAATCAATATAGAAGATAATGAGTGGGGAATATTATTATTCTAGTTGATCTATACTAGCCCTAAGAGAGATATAATAGATTAGTTATAGCATTATCTTATATCTTAGAGAGCTAAGAAGATTTTTGATTATATATTTTAGGATTAAATAAGTTACTTTATTAGAGTAAACTAGCATTAGATTGGATATAAACTTAGATAGGAAACCCTAATCTTCTATAACTGAAAGTATGCTGAATAGGTTCTAATTATCTTAGAAGATGTCTTTTACTTAAAAAGTAAAATAGGTATAATATATACTAGAAAATTTCCTATTATGGTTGAATATTAGTTATTAGTACTGCTATCTTTATTACTTATAAAAGATCTCTTTACTTTTGCTGTCTTTTAAGATGAACTTTTGAATCTATAACTATCTCTGGCTATCCCCTCCTATTTCTTAGATATTGATGGTGTGTGGTTTTCTGGAAGAATATTATAATTGCTCTGATTAATTGGTCGAATTTTACTATACTAGAAGTAGTTTTGGTTAAACTGAGTTCTTGGGCACTGGGTAGGTGCAGCTGGATTTCAAAGACCGAAATTTCTATACACTCCTTCACCAGCCTATGTGAAGAACCCCGCTATTCGAGGAGAAATGCACATTATGCAAACGAACTATTAACACCCGGGCAGCTATGGTAAACCATATTTATCATATCACATTCTGTAAACTTTACAACTCCTTAATAAGTAATAAGAAATTTATCTGTTTAGTTATCACTCTATATTATTATTTTAAAGACTAAATGATATATACTTTCCTAGATTTTATAGAAGTATTAATAAGGATCTTATCTATTTTTAGAAAATAATTAAATAGTCTAATAATATAATTAATTAAGCTTTATTTATATTTTATTATCTAAGATTCTAGATAGCTAGAAATAATTTTCTTAATCTTTCTAAGTAAGAATAATATTGTTAAAGCTTTAATATAGTAATTTTAAAATTAATAATAGACTAATATATATCTAAGTATATATTAATTATATTTCTAGCATCTTATTTAATTTAAATTTTATATTATATAAAAGATTTTAGTTTTAAGAATTATAAAATATTCTTATTAAAAGACTATCTTTCTAAAATATAATTAATATATTATTAGCCTTTTTATAGTAATTAAGAATTAGCTAGAGATAAGTATTTAAATAAGTATTAATAATGATTAAGTAAAGATAATATATTATTTATATAATATCTTTGTTTTTATTATTAGTTATTTACTTAGAGTTTAATATATTTATAACTATTTAATAATTATAAAGTTTAATAATATTATTAAAATACTGTTTAATACTTAAAATAAAGCTAAATAATAAATATTAATTTTAATAATTATTTTGCTGTTATTTTTATAAAAAAGAGGCTATTAAGACCTATATTATATTAGATTAATATTATAAATAAATATAAAGATTCTTATAGATTTTTTAGAAATATATTATTAATAAGTTATATATAGTTACTTTTTTATTAACTGTTTATACTTTAACTAATTAATTATTATTTAAAATTAATATATAAAAGATTTTTTTATACTTAGGCTTGAATAAGATACTTTTAAGAAAGGTATTTAGAACTAGTTATTAGCCTAATTAGAATATAATGATCTGAAATTGTGTGAGATATATGCTTATTAGTTCTGATGTTAGTATATCTAGTATAATATAAATGCTATTGTCTGCTAATTTAATAGTTGATTGAGAAGTTAGCAGTTTTATTAATTTTTTTTATAGTAGAGAATAGTATGCTTGTATAATATTGTAAAGATTTATAGAATTATTTTAGAAAATATAATAAGAAATTATTTATCTAGAATAAATTAGTTATATTATATAAAATATACTGAACTAAAATCTTTAGTAGGTATATATTGTATAGTGCTATGGCTAATATCAATAAAATAAAAAAGAATATTATGTCTTTCTAAGAAATTAAAGAGTTGAATAAGAGATTAATAGGATTATTAAAAGTGTCTAGATCTTGGCTTAATCTAAGAAGATATTTATCTAATAAATAATTGTAGATCTTTGTTTAAAAGTTTATATATATTTTATTATAATATTAAGATTAATAATCTTATTATATAAAATTAAAGGATGCTTATTTTAATTATAGCATTATAGATTTATTAGAAGGTTAATCTATACTTTTAGAATAAGCTACTACTCAATTAGCTTCTTATTATAATTATATAGATAATCTAAGTTTACTATTTTTAAAAAAATTATATATATACTAAACTCTATAAATCTAGCAATTTGTAGATTTAAAAAATGAAATTATTTCTCTATTATGACTTAATTATAGAAGCAGTATCTATAAAGATAAGGTGAAAAATGCAGTAGATAAAGGCTATGTGTTGAACCTTATATCTTTTTAAATATATTATTATAGATAGTCAAGGTAAAGAGTGTAGTCTATTTAGATACTATTTTTTTATATAATAAAGATCTATTAGTTATAAGACATGAGTAAGAGATTCTTAGCTAGTAAAAAAAGACAGCAGCTTATTCTAGTATATATCTAATATTTAAGTAATTATAACCCTAATTATACCAGCATAAATATAATAATCTTGTTTTTAGTAAAGTAAAGTACTAACTTAGTTAATTCTATAATCTCTCTAAGAAGCTTGTAGTCATTGGATATGTAATAATGCTTTGTTGTGATTATAGCTTATAGTGAGTTGATTCCATGTCATACCTCAGATGTAATAGCTCTTGGATATGGTATGCTGTTTATCAATAAGAATGTTGTGCTAGACCTGAAACTGGACTGGTGAGTACTAGAGAGTTGCTGATAATGGCCCTTGCTTCTGCTCGAGAATGACCAATTTCCTATGGACATAGATTCATGATTGGCTGTATTTGAAGTCATATAAAAGCGGCAAAAATTTGGTAGACTATTAATTAGCATAAGATCCCAAGCTATCAATTTGTTGGTTTATTATTAATAAAGGTACACTTTACAATAAGATTTTTTGCAGCCCTAATTATACTGGAATATAAATTATAGATAATAGTAGAGCCTGTAATTACTGACCTTTTGCGCACAGATCAAGAGCTGAACTAGGCCTATACATACCTTTCTTATCTTATTAGATTTATAAAGTTATATTATTTGCTCTTATAATATTCTTATTTAATATCAATATCTGTTTTATTTAGTATACAGATATAACTGGTGCTAGTACTGTATAGGATTCTTTCTATACCTCCAAACTATTCATATAACATCAAATGAAAAACTTTACTGCGCAAGATAGTGCATACACCACCAAACAGGATTTCTTACACCACAAGATGGTTCATACAGCACCAAACAGGATTTCTTACCGCACGAGATGGCGCATACAGCACAAAACGGGATTTCTTACCACATAAGACGGTGCATACGGCACAAGACGGGATTTCTTACCGTTCAAGACGGTGCATACGACACGAAACAGGATTTCTTACCGCACAAGACAGTTTATACGACACCAAACAGGATTTCTTACACCACAAGACGGTTCATACAGTACCAAACAGGATTTCTTACCGCACAAGACGGTGCATACGACACCAAACGGGATTTCTTACCGTTCAAGACGGTGAAGACGACACCAAACGGAAACTGTCACAGGATCACGTGACATTACCGTACCCGTGACTCATTGGCCCTAGGAAGGGATATGATGGAGGAACTAGGGATATGTTTTGTTTACTTTACTTTCTTTCTTCGCGTTATGTCTTGTTACTAGATGTACCTTAATATTAGTCTAATTGCAATCAAGTGCTACTTCTCTTCCGGATCCTTCAGGAACCCTTACAGAAACCTTGGCTAGCGCGAGTTGGTATCGGTTCGAGTTGGTGCCAGTTCGAGTTGATATCATTCTAAATTGATCTCATTCCGAGTTGGTGTTAGTCCAAGTTGGTGTCAGTTTGAGTTGGTATTAGTTCGAGATGATCTTATTCTGAGTTGATCTTATTCCAAGTTAGTGTCAGTTCGAGTTGATATCTTTTTCGAGTTGGTGTTAGTTCGAGTTGATCTCAGTCTGAGTTGGTGCTAGTGGAGTTGTTGTCAGTCGAGTTGGTGCTAGCACGACTTGATGTCAGTACGGCTGTCCTGTTTGGTGTCAATGCGCTCTAATTTGGGGTGGATATCTTGTTTTGAGGTTACTACCCGTTTTTGTTTGGGTTTCGCTAGATGATCTTGGTCAGGGTTTGATATTGATACGTGGTCCAGCATGAAAGTAACAAATCATGGAAATGATCAAGTCATGCTTCTCAGTGAACTACGAATGAGTCCAAAGCGATTTTATGATCACCAGCGACTAACCAAATGAATCTGACCAACACAAAAACTATCACATACTAAATTTAACTGAGATCAGTAACTGGCACCAAACGGGAGCGGCGGACACTGAAACGAAATCAATCATTTCCGTGATATAGTTATCAAATCCAACCCGAGATACACAATGACACCATACAGGATAACCATACTGGCATCAAGTTGTGCTGGCACTGATTCGCACGGAAGGTGTTCGTTTCCATTTGGATTCAGTGTACACAGTGTTATATTCGCTAACGATGAGAAGCATTTGGAAATTAGCGAGTATATCTCTCATGCAGGTTATCCAGGGCAGCACGAACAATCAAATCCGTTCTTTTTAAACTCTATTTTCAATGGTCACTATATATCTATCTCATATGGAGATACCCCAATCTCACTAAAAGTCCCATACAGCAGAACACAATGAAGCTAGACTCAATAATCCTTGGCATAATCTCTACAGCAGTCAGTGGGCTGCGCTTCCATCCTTGGGTATCTTCTTCTTTCGCTGACCGTTTCTCTAGATAGGCGTTGTCCAAGGCGCGTCTCTTGTATACGATGCTAATCTTGACAGGATGGTAAGTCTACCTGTCCTATGTCATATATTTGAAGTAATATCTGACAGTAAAGGTGTTGAATATGACTATTTTTCTGGCACCACATTGCTGTGATAGTTGAAATTTTTGCTCAAGAGTATTGGTAAGTATTACTAACCCTGGTTATTATAAGGCTAATAAGTATATTTCTTGAGGATGCTGCGCTAACTTGCTTTTTTTGATATAGATTGGCCTGTGTGAATAAGACTATCATCAATATTGGCCATCTTTTTAATATTGTTAATATTACATGCAGTATGCCTGCAGCTATTTATGTGCGTGTATCTCATAAAGGAAGATCCTTGATTTTCTTCTGCAATTTTGTATGTGTAAAGATGGTCAAATTTCATTTCCAGACTATTGATATAAGTGTATAGGAAAGCCAGGACATTAACATAAAATGTGGAAATCTGATTCAACCCGCCAAGCAGGTCTTTGACGCCTGTACTATAGGCAACAGCTACAACTACGGTTACGTTGCTCGAAGCATCGTTGATGGGCCTCAGAACGTCTCATATTTGGTGGTTATTGGCGATGATTATGCTTTTGCACCCTAGCCATAGTTGAGGTGAATCCCAGGCTACTGAGATTTGGACAATTCGAGATTATTTCAATAAAAGAATCTAGGCAAAGCAAACAGGGTATCTATCTGGAAGAATTTACAAAAGAAAGTGCAAACATTCATTGACAATGAAAGAGAACAAATTTCACTCAGGCGCAGGGCCCAGCCTCCATTGCCACACATTATAATTATAGAATTTGGCTTTTATGCGAGCTGTAATATTAGTCTAGAGTTTAAAGACTCTATTCAATGCTGTAAAATATAGGATTTAAAGATCTTCTTAGTAATCTACCAGCTAGAGTGCTGATTATTTATTATTTTAATCTATAATTTTATACTCTTATATCACCTTCTAGATTTTATAGGTAAGAGATTTAAGGCAGCCGCACTAGATTACTAATATTAGTTCTATGTATATATTCTATATATTTGATTTACTTGTTTGGTGATGATTTACATATCTATTCAGTAAGAAAGTCCAGGTCAATTGAAAGATTAAACCCACCAGGGAGGACAAAACTGACGGGGCTGGGGGCGAAGATTGGGGCAGGAGTGCTAGACATTTTGACGTAGCTATTGCAGGTCCCTCGTTAGCCATCGCTTCATATTAGTTGAATGACCAAAGCAATTGCTAGAGCCGACGTACATGATTGTTCTTGCTGCTGCCTTTTTTTGATAATGGGGATGACGAGAGGAGAGGATGGAGATGGCGGTTCTCGTTTGCTGCCTACATCCTGTTGTGTGCATCTTTGTTCCACGAGCCCTAATGGTGCCCTGAAGCAAATGTACTCAGTTCTGTACGAACCACCAACCTATATGAAGTGGCAACAGACGATGCGATTATCTCCCCTCGTTAATGAAAACTGTAGATGTGGTGGTCGGACCATCATGGCATCCCAGTGCGGCATAATTTGCTATACTTTGAGTCGAAAATAATGAAATGTTGATCCTCTCATAGGGGTTATTGCAGTTTGTTGACATCGACATCATGCCTATGTTGAAGTTATATACAAGTCTTAGGGCTAGCTACTGCCATTGACCAATCGCTTGGTGGCGTTCCTCGTGAAACCCCACTCTCCGCTCCACTATGTCGGGAATCCACGGTTCTAATTGGTGTGCCTGGAAACTTTATTTTAGTGAGTAGTTATACTCCCGATGTATATCGAAACCAACTATCTACCCATTGTATGCCGGCTTACCGTTGTCGATCTACGCATCCAAAAAATGCTGTTTTCATGCTTTCTTGTGACTTTTAATTTTATATAGTAGCGCAGAATTGATAATTTCAAAATTATATTGATTCAAAGTAACGAAAAGGAAATGATCTGAGAGGATCCGCTGCAGCCTTCCGAGGCTGCTTTCAAAATCGAAAGTTCCTGCAGCACCTAGTGCATATACAAGACTTAGTAAAGCTTCACAGACTACGTTTGGTATACCGTAATGATGATTTGCCGTTAATATATGAATATCTTATCATATACAGTGATTGCCAAATGTAGAAATGCTCCATCCATCTCGCCTGTCTACAAAGCTTTTGGATCAAAGTTGATGCAGATTTGGATTGGCTCTTGACAGCAGGGACAGCAAGAATTGAACAGCGGCTCTTTCGTATTGAGTTCGCTTATACATCCAGTACAGAACGCATGACCACATCCCAATATACGCCAGTATTTTTTTCCTTCACCGCAGCCCTGACAGGCAAGGGGGGTGAAATTAGTCCGTTCGTCGACAACCCGCTGTAAATCACGGATTTTCTCGTCGTTCTGCTGGTTTGAGATTGTGGACTCATCTCGGAGACGATCCCTCTCCTGATTCGACATGATGAGCTCCTCTCGGAGGCGGTCTTTCTCGCCATTTGCGGTTGTAATCTCGTCTTGAAGACGGTTGTTCCGGTCGTGTAAAATCTCGAGCTCTTCTCGAAGTTTTCGGATTTCATCTGTCCATGATTGACCATGACGTCGAACCTTGTGGGAGAATTCATCCTTGCACTGCCATTAGCTAATGTCTCATATCAGGTGACGAGAGATCTGAATACGTACAAGCATGGAGCCCAAATCTGCGGGTTCTCTTGTCCTTTTGCCTATTCCAGTCTTTCTTCTTCTCGACTTGCATGGAGTGACAGTGGCAGTGGCAGCATCCATTTGTTTTTGGTAATCTTCGTAAGTATAATCACGCTTGGTAACTTCACGTAGTGAACGCGAAGATACACGCACTCCTTGGTCGTTCTCACGGTAATCTGGCTCAGCGATGGTGTTGGCATTCTCGCAGGATGAGGTTTCATCTAGGGGAACAGTCGATGCACGAGATTCCGTATCACTCTGCGAAAACAATCCATGATAAAATGCCTGATCCACTGGGATTTGTTCGTTCGTCGTCATGGTGAAAGAAGGCTGTATGTTTTCTATCTCGATGGCAGTATCCGAATGTGAAGATAAATCAGAAAGGAAAGATTTAAACACAGAGGTGGGCATTGAGGAGCTTTATATACCTGAGAACCAGCAATCATCGGAAAATTTTATGACCGAAACTGCGACACTATCATGCATGGCCACAATTAGTTGTCTTCACTTTAGCCCTAATTGACCGAGAGGCCATACTTCACTGTGGCTTGGCCAAATACAGAAAGATGATGAAATTGACTCCAGACGCGATCCTAATTGATGGCGTAGGTGCTTCCAGAATCGGGCTCCGGTATTGAACAAAGCTGTGCTATCCTGGTGTGAGCGCGGGGCCAAAATGTAACTTAAGGGCACTAGAAGACTTCTCTCCTGACCCATCCGTAAGCCAATGATCTGTACTGTCCCCTCAGTGTTCTCTAGGCTCGGACTGTCCTGACTATGCCTTGCCCTCTGTGGACTTGAGAGAGATTGACCATAACTATGGTTGTGAAGTTATAAGGATGCTATTTAAAAGTAGAAGCTATAGGAAAATTATTATAATTAATCTTTATTTAAGATTTAAATATCTTATTAGCCTGAAGGCTATTAAGTTAATAAAAATTAAATAGAATAGACTTTATATATATTAATTATCTATCTTTTTATCTAATTATTTATAATAACTAATTAATTTATTATAATGATGCTAAGATTAGTAATAGTATTAATTTATTTATAAAATTTATCTAGTTATATTTATAGTTAAGAATTAAAATATTTAATTAGATCTATTAAGAACTAAAGGTATACTTGTAACTTAGATTTATAGAATTATTTCTAGTAATAATATTATACTTTTAATTAGAATATATTGCAATTTAATATATATTATAATATATTATTTTTAATTTGATTAATAATATTTCTATTTCTTTGCTTTATCTTTATTTAATATTAATAAATTTATGTTTTAATTTGTAAATCTAAGGATATTTTTAAAAAGGAGTCTAATATATTACTGGAAAGGATAGTTATATATTAATGGTCTTTATAGCTTTAAATATACTTTAGATATATATCTTAAGCAAAGGTAGTCTAGTTAATATATAACTGCTGACTAGGTAAATATTATCCTCTTTATTTTTCTAAATCCTGGAATGATATCCTTTTTCAAAAACACGCAGTAATAAGTTGTGGGAATCCGGGGTTGGTACTGGACGGACTAAGTTGACAACATGAAGTGTATGCCTGTCTCCAGTCTTATTGCTTGGACACGGAGACACCGTCACCGCTACGTTTGAGGGATGAAGATGAGTTGACTGTGTGACCATGCCGATACTGGAATGACCACGAGTTCTGAGCATTAATATTTCAGATGGCCGACATTTTCGTTGCGAAACGGTTTCCTCCCAAGGTTGCTTCGAGACAGCGACACGTACTCGACAGCTTAACAAGCGTGAAGTCACTGCAGAGCTGGCGATATGAATTTGACTTGCCTGGGCTGCACTGACAGCCAGGATTGCGTGGTCGAAGATTGCAATATGAATTAAAGCTTCTTCTGGTCTTTCGCACACATAACGGTACCTGACGGCCACGTCCCCGTTTTCTGATTTCACAGCGATGACTTCACATTGTAAATTCTGACGTGTTCCCTTGACAAGCTGCTGCTGCAGATGCTGCATATCCGATACCGTACGGTGATGTGCTCCCAAAGTCAATTTTCTGTAGTCCGCGATATACGCAGCGGGTAAGTTGCGGAGGTGATCATGGGTGCAAGTTGCAACAGATGCAAATAATGGTAACAAACAATGATCTAGAAAACTGGAAGGTAGCCGGATACGATGAGCATATTCATCCAAGCTTTCTGTTCGACTTCTTGTATATGGTACGTTGGTTATCCGAGGGGGAAAAAGAAATATTGCAATCGTGAACCAAAGGTAGCAGAGGAGATTAAAAAGGTTAATAAGCATGCCGTTCTCGAAACAAGGGATAATCTGGTGAAAATTGGAACAGAATTGGAAATGACGCCGGGTTCGTTCTATGAATATATATCGAAATTGTCGAACTTGCGTCTTGATACCAAGGAATTTCAGTACTTGGAAGAGGTTGGCGTAGTATCTCCCCGAAAAGGTACGCATGGGAATATCCACTGTGGAGTCATTTTCGAGCTGGAACGAGTGGCCATCTAGGGTAAGACATTTGTTCTGGTACCGTCCTTTAGAAGAGTTCAACGATTGGAGGGCAGTTAACACCTGCCTTTTCAAATATCGTCACAGCATATCCGTCATTCCGGAGAGCCCATGCAGCGAATAGTCCTGCAGGACCACTTCCTATGATTGCAACACGGCCTTTCTGGGCACTTGTCAACTCGGTCATCGTTCGATAGGATTCATGAGATCCTAAAGATACAAGTACTAGCATATATATAGATATTATTATTTATACCAGAGAGCGCTTGATTTGGACTTATATTCAGGTACATCGTAGACGATGGTAGACTACTAACCTTGCTATTACGGTCTATAAAACGGGTCTGTGCCTCTATGTTTTCTTCCAAAATTACTTAGCGTCACTATATGGTCTTGCTCCGTGTCACAATCCCCTTTGGTGTCAGTAACGTTTCCGTTTGCTAACGTTCCTGTTTGGTGTCGTTAATGTTCTCGTTTGGCTCAATCATTCCTATCAAGCGTTCCCGTTTAGTGTCAAATGTTCCCGTTTAGTGTCAAGTGTTCCCGTTTAGTGTTGCTATTTGGTCCCTTTTCAGATCATTGATCGGATTTATGCAGCATGACAAATGCCATGAGTACATGATTTTTAAAGCTCAGACGGCTACTCTACATGGGTTACATTTCCGTGTTAGCATCAACCAGTGATACAATACGCACCGTTCCAGTGAAAGCGACGTCGGATCTAATGATCAGTAACGTTGAATTAGTTACTGTATAAGTGCAACGTTCTGCTAGAGTACCAGAAGCTCCGCCGCCAACCGAAAATGAAAAACCAATGGTTGTTTATTTTAGCTGCCATCAGCGCTCATTCAGCAGGTGAAGTATGGTGCTTGACCAGCCTTTGGAGACAGTCACTGATTTATTAGGAGCTTTCTGCACCTCTGGCATTGTATGCTTGGGATACATCGAATTGCACGGGCAGTCTAGCATGGACTCCGTTTAACGACACTGTTATGGCCGTCAATCTCTCAAACTGGCAGATATCCCGTAGTTTCACTCTCAGTCGCGCCTTGCAAGACCAAGAGCAATTGGATCTGTCTACAGCTTCTAATCTCAGTTCTTGGTACAGTGGTGAAGACCAGCGATCCTACAACAGCGCATCGTGTACACGGTTCTTGCAGACTTATTATGCGTCGAACGGAACGACAGCATGCCACAGTACACCGCCATTCACGTGCCACCGCTTGTGGAATAACCCGGGTCTAGCAAGAGCATAAATCGAAATACGGTCGTCGGCGGAAGAACTTATCGGTATGGAGAGGCGGACTGCTTTTAGGCTTGACCAGAAACCCATATTGCACCCACTTCTTAGAATCATATACCGGTTTCAATGGTACTATGGATTGCCATGATGTCCTTCCGTTTACGTGTCGACGATTATGGATTAATAGAGGATTGCCTGCTGTATCTCAACTTCCTTCCGTCAAATCGACCATGAGCTCAAGTTTCACCTGCCAGACTATTCCACTGCCGGCACACAGCGCATATCCTACAGGATCCTCATCTGCAAAGGTCACGGTCAGGTCTTCCAGTTCTGTACCAGCACTGCCAAGCACTACGTCCAAGCCTTCTTCGACCTCGTCCCCCACTAACCTCTCGACCGTCACTGCGGCACCTTTGCAAACGGTAATCCAAAGTGTTTTCGTTGTTTTTAGTCCCGAAACCACTTACACGACAACATATCATTCGACCTTGTGAGATTTTGATAGCTTGCAAATGGTAGGATATTGGATGTGCAATACCGCTTACCAATGGAAAATCCTTCCACGCAAACTGGTTTACTTGTCAGGGTCAATTCTGTATTAGCAAAATTCATTAGATTCTCCAAGAACAGACTTAGAATAGCACGTATTCAACATCAATAAGGTTGCGAAGATTGACTGTCCTACTGAGAAGGTCTTCTAAAATACTTGAAATGAGATTAATGAGTCTTCCATTACGACGCGAATCGTAGTGTCTATTAGAATAAGCTGTTATAGAATAACTAGTCATCATCACGGTGCCAAGAACTGAGATTAGAAGCTATACGGTAAACAGGCCCAATTACTCTTGGTTTTGCAAGGCGCGACTGAGTGTGACGGGACCTTGACACCGTTGTTTATAAAAGTGAACTTTTCCACAAGAGGGCTGCACCTTTCCGTACTACTGACACTCCTGACGCGGGATCTCTCGATATCCTCGTCATGACACGAACTGAAAGGATCCCACAGTCTCAAATTATACTGGTGAGAATCAGGGCTCAGGACAACAGACAAATGAAGAATCCACTTGAGATGGGCAGCATGCTGGAAATTTAGTTCATGATCCGTTCCCAACTGATTCAAACATCAAAACGGGGATCGGACTGACTAATTCTGACACTAAGTTGGTATTGATGTATTGATGCTAATTATTAATAAGTGCGAAATATAAAGCATATCCAACCTCCGAGTTAACAACGGCGGATCTCGGTGCTCCACCAAGTATAGTGTCGAAGCTCGTCATCCAGACTTTCAACCAAGGCTCTGTCACTGGTGGTGTTTGGACGGATGTAGTGGACGGGCATAGTGGGCAATGGCGTCGGAGACGGCGGTGCAGATTCAAGTGTTGGCATCATGGGGCTGAACTTGATCATTATAAAGTCTCTTTCAAATAGGATCCCATTTTCCAAAAGTTGGGTTTGCTGGGATTTATCCACCTGGCTTATGCTAACGTTCCATTCGATTTCTCCTGGGCGGATTTTGGTGAATGGAACTTCGTGAAACTCCTGCAGTTCTGTAGTGGTAGGGGAGTGGCTGTCATCCATTGGATAAAGCTGATCTAAAAGCCTTTTAATTGGTAGAAGAGTTAAAGGACGTCCTAACCAAGTATCCTCTGGTTCCTTTAAAAGAAAAGGCTCGTCCTGGTCCCAGATATTTTGGAGGAGACGAATAGCTTCCAATCCTCTTTCGCCCTTAGCGTATGACCATGCCAAAGCTTTTCCAAATGGAATAAGCAACTGTTCATATCCCTTTTCCGCAAGTAATTTCCACAAATCCTGTAATATTGATCGCGCAACATCTCGCTGAACTATCTCTTGTTTGATGACGAATTGCAATATCCGAAGGAGATCATAAAATTTGCTTTCAGATTGTCTGTCTGGAATTCGGAGTATTGTTGATCTTATGATTTCCAATTGCGATGCTTGATATATATGAAAGAGTCGTGTACAGGCCTGACTTGCTGAATGAACACTATGAAAGTCTGGCACATTTCTGAGGATTTCTTCGATTACCTCATTGGGTAGATCTAAAAATGATCGGGTGCTGATGGCCATGGTCTTAGAAGGTCACAAAAAAATGTTGCTACTAAATTATCCGTGATGGGCTTGTTCTGGGTTTATATAGTACTGGGCGGAAGTGGGGCCAGGTCAGACCTACCGTTGTGACGCTGCGCCACATCACAAGCATAGTTTGGCTGTTATCTTCCCAAGTAGACTGAGGGTTGGCCGAGTCAAACGGAGGACCTAAGCCATTAAGAGCACTGGACTGCTATACTTCAATGTGGCTTAGCTAAATATAGAATAAATGATTCTAACTTAGGGCTTAGGTGCTTTCTATAATTGGGGCTCTGATATTGAATAAAGCTGTGTTATCCCACTATGAGCACAGGGCTAAAATGTGATTTATTTATATTAGAAGACTTCTATCCTGATCTATTTGTAAGCTAGTAATACGATCTACCACCTCAATGCACTCTTGACTTTAACTGTTTAGACTATGCTCTATCCTCTATTAACTCCAGAGAGATTGATTTGCGAGCACGCTGTTCAGAAGTAGAGTTTGAAGAGCGTTGTCATCGTTCCCCTTCATTGGAGATTTGAACGTCTTACTGTTCTGAAGGCTGGTCAGCTAGTAAAAGTCGAATTGGCCATATTTTATGTATATTAACTCGTCAGCCTCTCTATCTACTCATCTATGGTAACAAATCAGTTCATTGCAATGATGTCGAGGGCGGCGGTGGTAAACTTCGGCAATGGTGTCGACTTGTTCATAAAGCCCACTTGACCATGTTCGTAGTCAAGAATTATCACGCCTAGTTGGGCCCACCAGGAACCAAAGGTGTACTCATGACTCGACTCTGTAGAGTTGTCCCCTGTGATGATAGAGATGCAAGTAGTGCTGGTTGGATTACGCTGGTACGGCATATAAGCACCAGGAATGGTGAATGTCCCATTTCCAATGCCAAATGTGAAATCGGGTAGGCTCGCGTTACACGGATAGCGATACGTGTTATCAAAAGCAGACCATGTAGATTCGATGCCTGAGAAGTACCAGTCTAGGAGCTTTTGCGGCCAAACAAGGGATTGCTCTGCTGTTGAGACTGTGGCGGACCAGGTGCTGATTGGGGGATTCGTTCGACTGCCAGCGGAGATCGCTGAAATATTAAAACTCCAGGCGGGCTGATTAATATTCCGATCCGCCCAGGCGATAGCAGCACCGTAATCTAGGCTTTCCAGACTCCCAAACATCCAAGTACCATTTCGCCATTCACGGGATGAGTCAAGGGCGCATTTCCATTCTAGGTGTCACGTCAGTGCACGCTCATGGGAAGCTCTGAATTGAGACGTACCTATTAGCTGATCCCGAATGGCATACATGAAGCTTGGAAGCAAAGACTGCGTCGTCGAGTTATAGTTGAGGCCTATGATCCCACTAGTTCCGCCAAAGGGAAGAGCTGGTCCGTGTGTATTTGGATAATATTGTTCAAGTTCGCCAAATGGGATATCCGAATAGAGCACGCCGCCAATATTGAATGTTTCCGTGTTAGCGAACGCTACAGCATAGGCATCCTTCTCCAAGGTCTGTGTATATGTGTTCTCAGTGATAGAGTTGTAAATATAACCCCATGACTGAGAGTTGCTGCTGTTATATACTAGAATGCCATCTATATCCGTGACATTCTCACGGGTAGACCGAATGAGCACTCCGTTGAAGGTAGTGTCAAACTGGACGTCAATTGTTTGTCCTGGAGAGCCTATCTCAATGATGCCCATCAGGCTGCCTTATTCAGTATCACGCTCAGATAAAGACTTAGAAGTAGTATACCTATTGATTTTAATATTAATAGGAACACTAGAACTAGGATTTATTGGAATGGCGATTGAAACTTTATGGGTTTTAATTGATATTTTAGTGGCTGTATTAGTTAATGGTTGTGTAAATGCTTTATGATGGTGCTTATGGTAAGCAGCACATGCTAGTAAGATATGCAAGATGTTGGCTATGGCCCACAAGAGAAACATTGTGAATTATTAAGACCTTGGTCACCATGTGCGTCTTCACAGACTGGGTGTCAGAGAATCAGAACGTCACAGCCAATGGATCAGGTTAGTCACTACGAGACTAATGCACATCGGAACAAAGGATTACCCGCAAAGCCTTAGGGTTAGGGCAACAGAGCCGGCAGAGCCATCTGTTAGTAAATGGATATGATGGCTATGATCGAGCAAACAGAGCCATTGTTGGAAAATGGATATGATGGCTATGATGGAGGAAAAGTATATAAGGACGCTCATTTACCATGTATTTAGTTTTCTTCTATCGTCTTGAATTCACTGAGATAACTTGAGTATACGATCTTCTATCGATCAGGATATTCTATCTTGCTTTAAGACTTCATTTGTTTCTTTACAACTTTCGTATACCAGAAGCCTATTAACTTCGCCCGTTAATAGCTATCCTAGCTATACTCGACGGTAAATAACCGAAGTTTCCGACACTGGGTTAGAGAGCATCTAACCTTTTATACATTATGTCTTAAATTAATAATATAGTTTCTACTTAGTCTTTGTTATATAATTAGAGTATAAACTAATAGGATTTAGAAATAGAATAAAGTAGAGAATAATAGATTTTATTTAGTATTAATACTTTTAGGTATTATAGATCTAAGTTATAGAAGAGATAAATAAAATTTATTAGAATATATTATCTATACTATAGCTTACTATTTTTAAGTTTAAATCTTAAAAATATGGTATATTTTAAATAGGTGATATTTTATACTTTATATCCTTATAATAAAATTCTCTATAATATTATTTAATATTAACTTAACTCTTAAATCTATCTTTTTTATTTATAAAAAATAATAATAGAGTCTTTTACTATAAATTATCTATAAGAATTTTTATTTTATATAAGATATAATATATAAATCTTCTATTATCTAAAATTATGTTTTAATAAGATATTAGATTAGAAATAGATTAAGAATTTCTATAAATAGTTACTATTGAAGAAGATAGTAAAAAGAAGATATATAAATCAAGTAATCTTGAAGTCCTTTTGCTAATCTTTATTTTTAAAGTCTTAGATATGTTATATAGAGCTTTAAAAAGCTTATATTTAAATTCTATATCTCTATTATTAAATCTAATAGGGCTTTGTGGTTATAGAAGAATAGGAAAAAATTATTTATTAGTATTATACTAAAATCTTAAGTAGATTAGAGGATTTAATAGATAGATACTTCTAAGCTTTCCTTAGATATAGGATTAAGCTGGTATATTTAGATTATTGATTTCTGCTTTTTAGAAATATAATGATTAAAATTATATATTAAAATAGAGTCTTTTATAGGTTATATTTTTAATAAATATTTTATTGCTAGAAAATAAAATTAGATTAGAAAACTAGTAATATTAAATATAATCTTGAAAGTTGGTTAAATAATTTATATTTAGGTTTTAAAGACTATTATGTTTTCTGTTTTACTCAGTTATACTTAATATATGATCTGATAGTGTTAGACTTATTTAGAAATATTATATGTTCAATAGGAAAGTATTATAATTGATTGTGGAATAGCTATATGTAAATTATATCCTTACACAGCGTACTTACTTTCTTCTATTTCCTGCATCCATTCTTCTTGTTTGACCTTGACGGCATCGGTATTAAGATAGTATTTCATAATATGTTACGTTGAAATCGATCTAGTGTCTGTATAAGTTGATGTCGGTTCGAGAGTGTCAACTATATAACTTCATCTGTCAGACACTAAGTTTGTTCAAACTGATGAGCCACCGAGCATTTAATTTTCTGCAGGCGATCGCGCTTTTCACGTTACGAATCGCAAAGCTTTCTCGGTTCGTTCCATTCTATACTTTTTTTTGTGTAGCTATATTTAATTCTGTTTGCTCTATCCTCTTATGTACATCATTCTTCTTGCTGTCTTGAACACCCTGCTTGCATGCGTTTAAGTCGTGTATTTTTCTGCTGCGAGCTGATCGACTGCAAAGCTTCACGCCTTTACATTTGAGATAATCTCTTCTGCGATCTTTTCAGTGGTGGCTCGGAAGGTAGCGAGTTTGATCGCCGGGTTAGGGGTTAGATATGTCAGTTTTGTCTCGGTGAGACGAGTGGGTGTTAGTCCCGCTCCAGTTGCGAAGAAATTGCAGTAGTGGATGTAGTGAGAGGTGTGGGAAAAAACCTTCCAAATGAATACTCAAATGAAGGCGACTCAGATTTGATAAATTATTTATCTTTATCCACGTCTTCGAAGTGATCCAGGATGCCTTCTTTTGCTTTACCGATTGTGGCTTGATGTCAGTATGAACTAGTGTCAAAATCGTGTTTGGGTCGATTTGAGGTGGTATCAGTTCGAACTGGTGCTAGTCACTGTTAGTGTCGAAATGAATTGGTGTCGGTTGCAGTTGGTGCCAGTGTAGATTAGAATTAGAATGAAATTCATGTTAGTTAAAGTTAGTCCTGCTATATATAAGGAAGAATATGTTAAAGTATTAAAATATTTAAAAGAATAGAAATTTAATATTTAAAGAGAATAAATATATATATAAATTTTAATAGCTATATTTTAGATAAATATAGATTTAATATAAGACTTAATAGTTTAAATTATAGAGTCTTAAAAAGAGTATTAATATTATATATATAGTAAAATATATATTTTATTTTTTTAGGAAAGCTTGATAATTCTATTAGGAGTCTCTAAAGTTTAAATTCTATCTATAAAATTAATAGATCCTATACTAGATCTAGAGGATGCTAAATATAAAACTAAAATTACTAATTAAGTAATTGAAAATAGAGAAGTATATAAAAAAACTGCTGCTAAGATTAAAATAGCTAGCTAATCATCTTTTTTAGGGAATAATAAAGATCTAGTTATAGAGTAAGAATACTTCTAAGAAAAAATAAAAGAAACTGTCTCTAAAGATATAAAACTATAAAATATTCTTTTTAAGAATAATAAAATTAAGTCTAATAAATATTTAAACTTGGGATAATTAAAATTAGATATATAAAGATATTTATAGCTTACTAGATAGCTCTTTAACTCTTTATCTCTATTATTCTAATTATAATAAGATCTATTAAACTTTATTACTAGATTATATATATTATTAAGTCTATAAAAAGATAATCTATAGTAAAGTAATTAATCTAAAAGTTATATTATTAATTAAGAAAACTATATATAGAAGTATAAAAATATAAATAATGATGAATATAATACTAAAAAAAAGTTAAGATCTGGTAATAAATAAAAATATTTATAAATTAAAATTATTATATAGATTTAATTTTTTTTATTAAATAAAGCTAAATCTGTATACTTAAATTTATTTAGGACTCTAATAAAAGATATTAGCTAATCTTTTAATATTGCAACTTTATATTAGATCTATAATATAAATGATTAGATTGTTTATGAAACTAATATTATTTTGAATAGTTAAAATAAGTGACTATTATAATAATTTTAGGTATCTATAGCTATATTTCTAGCTTATAATCTTTTATTAATAGAGATTTATATTATTATATATTAATTTTTAGTATTAATTTATAAAATTTTTTATTATAAATTAATATATTATTATCTAGCTTAAGTTCTTTTTTATATTTTTATTCTTAAAATCAAGAAGATGGTATAGGAAAGATAGGATAAGGGTAAAGGGTTTTTTAAATCTATTAATTATATATTAGTGACTATTGCTTATGACTTAATAATAGAAAATATTAATGATTTTGAAAGAAATAATAAGAAGTTATATTAAGAGAATTTAATAAACTATAAAAATTCTAGGAAATGATGGTAATATTTAGGAAATAGTATTAGTTTAGTTATTATTTTAATCTATTTTTTAGATTTGATAATTAGTTATATATAAGCTGATTATTATTATTAATAATAAGATACTAATATTATATTAGGAAGAATTGCTTCTTTTTTAATATTATAATTAATCTTTTGGTTAACTATGTCTGTAATATGTATTCTAGTGTTATGGCTTATCTCTAGTCCCTTGACCTGATAATTCTATACCTTATTATAGAAGGGTCTTTGTCTAGAGATAACATTGTCTATCCATATCCCCCTTTCTTTTTGTGATTTGAAACCCTCCCTGAGGATATTCAATGGACAAAAACAGAATCAGCAATGGATGTTGCGACGGAAAAGCTCCTGCGCAGCTTAGGCAGGATGAAATGATGATGGTTAGAGGCATCCTATCGTGATCACTTACGGCTCAGTGCTTTGTCTTTGCTAGAGATTTTTCCATCACGAAGTTCCTACAACAATTCATCCAGAAGAAATTGACTATCGGTAGACCGTAGGCAGTAATCGCAGTCTAACTCTGAGCTTATCCGATCAACATATTTCGTTCCAAATTTCCATATGTATCTTGATCCACAAAGCCAGGTTTCAGCAATGGATACAAAATTGGGTTTCAAACGCCGAGGACTTGTATCATAATACCAGGTTAATATCCGGACATGATCAGTGGCAACATCATGCGATTTTCTCAAGTCTCACGCCCTGACGAAACAAATCCAGTTGCACCTGGCCATGAGTGAATACCCATATCCAAAAGGTATAATCCAACGATTTCTTAGCTCCCCTAGAAACAAAATAATCATGTGATTCATGTCGCACGTTTTATTCAACTATTTCTACCATCCATGAACGGCATTTGGTTGCCAGCTCCAGTTCTGGATATGTTGGTTTCGCATCGGTGAGATGAGTTGGTGTTGGTGCTCGCTCCGGTCGCGAAGGACTCACGGTAGTACGAGGACGTGATGAAGGGCCTGATTAACCATCGATTTCCCAATCCCTGTAAGTAGATCATTTCGTTCCGTACTTGAACTGACACCAACGCTCCAGGGCTAAGCTATGTACACTACTCTCAAAGCGGAAAAGGGGCCCTGCTGATTTCTTCCGCACGGATTCCCACATGCTAGATTACGTGATATATCCACGTGACGTGCGAGCCCTAAGATATATGGAGTATCTAGGGCTATGTTCCTCTTGGCCTTGATGTTAGTCTGATCACAGTCAATTGCTACGTCTTCTGATTTTTGAGAACAGTTATAGAATAGAATCATCTACTAACACCCAGGGAGTCCGTACACTGGCATGAGATGTGATCGTTGCTGTGAATAGAAGATTGTTGATGGATGTTACACTGATAGGCGTGTATAACATGAAACGGGATTTTTTACCGCATAAGACAGTTCATATGACACCAAACGGGATTTCTTACACCACAAGACGGTTTGTACGACACCAAACGGGATTTCTTACACCACAAGACGGTTCATACGACACCAAACGGGATTTCTTATACCACAAAACGGTTTGTACGACACCAAACGGGATTTCTTATACCACAAAACGGGTCGTATGATACTAAATGGGATTTCTTACCGCACAAGACGGTTTGTATGACACCAAACGGGATTTCTTACACCACAAAACGGGTTGTACGACACCAAACAGGATTTCTTACCGCACAAGACGGCGCATATAGCATCAAACGGAATTTCTTATAGCACCAAACAGATTGTTACCAACTACTACACTAAATGAGAGCTCAAACTTCCACTAAATGGGAATTTTGGTGCCAGCACGACTTGGTGTCAGTATGGTTGTTCTATTTGGTGTCTGGGTGTTCCAATTTGGGGGTGGATGTCTTGTTTGAGGTCACTACGAGTTATTGTTTGGGTTTGGCAAGATGATCCCGCTCGGAGTTTGGAATTGATACGCGATCCACACTTAGCTTGCACATGTTTGAAGGCTTTGTGTAAAACCTCACCAAGACTGTTATGAAATACGGCGCCAAACGGGATTTCTTACACTGTTCCGTTCTGGATCACTGCTCATATCTTGAAAACCTTCCTAATGTGTAGGGTGGGTCTTTCTTAGTTTATTTCATTGCACTTTTTTTTTCTAATTCCTACTATTAAATATTCTTTATTATTATTTCATCAAGAATATTTTTTATACTTATAGTTTCTAGATAACTATTATTCCAGTTAAAGAAAGAATAATTGCTTAGATTATAATAAATTAAATATAGGGCTATTTTTTTTAAAGTATTTTTTTTATTTTATTAGAGTAAATCCAGAGATTAGTTCTATAAAGATTAGAAATTCTTCTACTGATTTAAGTCCTAGTATATTTTAGTTATATACTAGTTCTTAGATATAATATCTTAGTTTAATAAAGCTAGTTGAAGGCTAGCTTGTGTTGTTAGAGAGAATAATGAGATAAATTTGTATTTCTTCAGAGGAATAATGGATTGTTTTTTAGATTTATAATATAATAATATAATATAGATGATCTTCTTATAAGTATATAGTATTATATACTTAATGGTTAATATTACTAGATAATCTTTTTTATTTATACTAAGACTTGTACATGCCAGAAAGTAATTATATATTAGATATTTTATATATTAACTTAAGTTTACTATATAAGCTAACTGAATCTTAAAATAGAAATATCTCTATTAAAAGCTTTATTAATAGGCTTAAGATTAGTCTTAAGAGATCTAGAATAAAATCTAAATAATAAGAGTACTAAATATATAATTAATAATATATTAATTTATTTAACTATGTTAATTATTTTATTATTACTATCTCTATTAAGTCTTAGGTGTAGAGTTTAAGTAAGAAAGATGTTGCTAGATCTTCCTGCTGAATTATTATAACTAATATTTGATGATGTATGATTATAACTATATTCTATACTAGAAGTTTAGTTTATATACTCATGATGCCTTATCAGCTTATATCTTCCGATGACTTATGGTCACTCTACAACGCTTCCCAACAACTACGAGCTCACGTGATAAGACCACTCTTTCAGAAAACAGAGATAAGATTTCAGAGCAATCTTCCTCGTATGCTGAACGGAAGACGTCTTCCAGCTAGAACAATACTTGATAATAATAACAGCTGATATTAGCACCAGCACGTACTGATATTACATGCTTCATAAGTTATCTGTAATCTTTCGACCGAGGCAAATGCGAGAGATTCCAGAACGCATTGGAGATTGCTAGACAGGAAACTATGTAATGAAAGTTTCAATTACGGTAGGCCAGGAAGAGGGGGTAAGAGGCGAGGGCTTTCGCTCCAGTCGTGGTTTTTTTTTTCCCAACCGGTTTTCCCACACTCATTGCGTGAATGCGGGAGCGATGTACATAGTAAGATCGTGCGAGTATTCTACACTTTGCGTTCAATTAGATAATCCAGGATGTTATTTAGATAACTAGTAGGAACAAATAATGTTTGCACAGCGAGTCCTCAGAACATGAATGCCGCAACATGACAATGGCAACAAGGGATTGACCTATCTTAGATTCGGATAGAACTCAATAAGAGATTTCACCGCCGTCTGACATAAAGGCAGGACTTGTTGAAGAGTGCCTTCCGCTTCGTCTACGATTCTCCGACTTCAAGGAACGTACTGTAAACCGCTTTTGAGCCGGTCAAAAGGTTTGGAGTTACAAAATGGCTAGACGCTCCTATAGTTCTTTTTTCTTCTGCTCGCTTGATTCGCCTTCTTTTTTCTGGAGTGACCTCAACAGATCCTTTGGCCAACTGCTGATTCTTACTGACACCGAGTTTTCCTCGATGTGGATCCCATCTTGTAACCGATCCTCGGTCATGAAAAACTTTATCCCATAACGGGTGATAAGAGCAGCTGGAAGTTCTTGAAGCATTTCTCCTCGATGCCAGATACATGTCAGAAGTTGTTGTTCTGTCTTTACTGCTGAGAGATGCATATTTTCTTTGCTGAGTTTGTATAGGAGGTATTCAAGTGGTGCAAAAGTATAAGGAGACTCTGACTGCTTCTCCGTACGGCGATAGTGTTTCAGAGACGGTCTGAACAAAGATAAGAGAAACAGTGGGCGTTGCTCATAGATTTGTGTCAAAACGTTGAGGAATCTTGCCCGCGATCATCCAACTCTAAAGACCACGCCAATCCTATTGCAATTGGAATAAGTAGCTCTTCAAGTTCTCTTTCATAAAGGTATGTCCAAGCATTTTCGAAAATCCGAAGAATAATATCCCGGTTGACACAGACGCGTTCGATTGCAATGATTAGCTGCTGAATTATTAGAGCTGGGCCCAATAATCCATATTCACGGTCATAACAAATTGCGTTTTGAAGAACAGTTGAAAAGATCGAAGCGATAGTGCTGTTCTCATCAAGTTGTATGTCGCGTGCATGAGCGCTTAGCTGTTGTAAGATACAGTATCAGGCTTCACACCGCCTTTTAAATTTGGAGAAAAACTCTTCCAATCAGATTTGCACGCATTTGTTCTCCCCGTCTAGCACATACGCCCTACTTCAAGGCAGCCCTCCTTTGACGTTTTTCACTCGGCAATGCGGAGCTTTTTGCTTTCCCGTAGATTCCGGTTCACGGTTCGGCTATACTTTTGCACAGCGTTCGACTCAACACATGCCGTAAGTCCGCTGACGATTTCCATGTTGATGTCTTCCCCGCTCAGCTCGACTTAAGATCGGCGTAGTAAAAAATTGGCATTTTGTGGGTTAGCTGCTATCACATTCCGAGAGCTCTTCTCCGTAGACCCACTACGTTGTGCAGTCTCCTAGGCGAAATCCATTATATGTTTGAATCTCGTTCGACGGTAAAATCTTCTGTGATGAAAAACTCGGATTCCTTCCATTGTGGCATTGCTTCGAACCATTTCTAAGAATCTCTGCATTTGTTGTCTGTCCGCGTTCATAGATCTAGATGCAAATTTTTAGCGTTTCAATGTAGGCATGCAACCATCCTGTCATTATTATGTACCTAGGTCAAACTGAAGCTGGCAGTCGCTAGAAGGGAAGCTGGGGCAATCACAATTATTGAGTCTCGCCAGCTTTCTCTTCCTTGTTCCGACTTTCGACAACGGCCTTCGAAACGACAGTTGTCGGATCATATCTTTATGCGGCAGGACGAGATCACTAGATGGCGTGATGCTGTCTTCGCCTCGCGACAAATCATAACGAACAAAGGTACTACTAGCTACATTGAGGCTCTGGACCTCGATTCATTATCCCATCCGCCGCCGGAACGCCTTCCTAAGCCAGGTGAGTGTCTGAAAAACGTTTTAAGTGAATATAGCAATAGCTAATAAGACCAGTAGTTGCATGCTTTTACATTCGATTTCTTGATGAAGAAAAAGGCTCTTACTACTGAGCTCTTCATCTGAACAAAAGGACAGTTCGCGATCTTATCGTCAAGATCGCAGAGAAACGTGAGCTTGATCCAGATTGCATTGTTCGCATAGTACGTGTCAATTGGAGCGGAGTCGAGACTATAGTGGATGATGATATTGTTCAACAAGTACCTGAAGGACAGGATATGTTGGCTGAAGTCACCGAGGCATTTGGATTGCAGTGTTCTACTACAAGCATTAGTTTTCTGCTGATGGCAGCCGTGGAAATTCGTTTGACTTATTGAGATGCGAGCGCAAAGATTTTATCACAGCTCTGCTAAAAAAAAATCTGAGCCCAATCAGTCACATCTACGCCAAGCGGGCCTAACCAGAAGGATATTAATATTCCTCTCAAAAATCTACTCTGTAACTTAAGCTCGGCATAGGAATATTTGTCCTCCGTAAATATACAGCGATCACTACGACGTCAGAATTAGCCCGACACAGAAATCTTCCTACAAGGGATTGTTACGATATCGTAAAGAGACCGACATAGTGTTGCTGCCCCCAGAGGATTGTTGCAATATCGTAAATAATCCGACATAGGCTAGCCGCCCGTATGGGAGGTTTTCGATAAATCGACAAGCTTAATCCTAGGCCCGTCCATACTCCAATCACAATGTTCACACAGATTTTTGTCTTGTGTGGGGCTGTTGGGAGCTCGTCCAATGAAGTTGAGCGTGTGCACGGGGGTCGAGTTTGGACAGCTCGAGGTGGGGGTTGAGAAGAGATTTTAACAGGAGCTTTGAGTTTATCTCTCCTCTGTCAATTGGAGATGACGGTGAAACTTCGAGTAACGTGTTTGCTCTTTCCTCAACAAAACAGACCGGTTCTGAGGCCGTATTTCTCATCAACATGACTACTGTTCACATTAATGAACACAATCTGAAGTCTGATGAACGATCTGACAATGACCATCGTATCCGACATCTTCATTCCTTCGAACAGGCTGCTTCGGATTCTGCCTCAGATCTTGGCCGCATTTTCTTCTTGTCTCCGCTGCCAACCATCGTGCTTGATGCGAAACTCCAAGTGGTGCAAGTTTCCAATAGCCATTTGGTTATCAGCGGTTATAGTCGTGCAGAACTAGTGGGTTGAAGTGTCTATGACCTTCCTGCCCACAAGGCAGGTGCCTGCCGCCAACACTGTTAGCCTTCATCGGGTAGTAACGGACGCCATCAATGCAAGCGAAGTGCGGATAATAGACGATATTGAAATTAACGATGGTGTTGGGCACACAGTGTATAGGGTCTACATTATGCCCGTTCAGGATTAAGGCAAGCTACTCTACGTGGTTCTGACGGCCTACAATGTGACCAGGAAACGCTAGGCTTAGGAAAATCTCGCATCTAGTCTATGGGGCGAAGAGTGGATTCAGGCTCTTTTTCAAGTTGGTGCGTCCAGTAGAACAACGTCTGCAACAAAGCAGCCAAGCGCAAGTCACTGTTCAGGTTCTGGAAATACTTATAGTCATTTTCTACTCTTTCCTCTTATGTAATTGGCTCCTAAACTTTTGTGTTGCATACTGATCGCTTCGGAGCTTTGCCGGGTGGCGCCAAGGTTTGTCTCTAATATTGACGATTGCAGAGATCAATGTCCCGCTGCACGACATCTTCTCTGAGTGACCTGCGGTCTCATGGTGGGAGGTAAAGAACTAAACGGCTGTCGTATGTACATCATTGGTTACAAGAAGCTTTGTAATGCTAATTTATCCAGCCCAGTATACCTTTTTGCTAGTAGATGCTCATCCCAGTGGAGTGTTTGAGGGCTATCAGACAGTTGTCTGGCATATGGCCTGTCTGACCATTGCCCTCGATTATTTTTGCTCTTGAATGACGTCATTTCACCATAACCTGAGCAAGCTCGGGCGTAAGTTTCCCCCAAACTAATATGGGTCAGTCATCACGTGGCCCTCAGGTTTGTTCCTAAGTTTCTAAATCCACTTTGTCAAATGACTAACCGTATGACTCACCAGGAACTACGAGAGAACGAACGTTCTAGAACGGCTCGTGCATTGGATCTCCACTTTGTATACCAAGTGGGTTTTTGATCTCGTCTCAGCTGCAAGACAAAGCATCAACTTTTTAATCTCAGCCAGTCTGTGATGCACCCATATTTTCTAAATCTGCACTATATGGCTTGGTGAAATGGGTTCTGATTATAGAGTTCATAAAAATAGAGCAGGATTTTCATCTATCACTCTCAACTCCGAGAAAAGTTTAAGAAGTCGGAATCTGTTGTCTTATGACGTCATCACCACCATGTCTTTGATGGGCATATATTTCACCAGAGGGGTGACTGAATTGTTTCAGATGGATATTGCTGCCTACAGGTGAGAGTAATATCACGTGGCGCTCAGGGTCTATGGTATCCCCACGGAATGATGGCATATTCTATCGCGGTCACTATGAGCCACGTTGGTTCAAGAAGAGTGCAGCAATCGATACATTTATCATCAATAATCACACGTTTCCATGTCTGGTCACTGTAAAGTACTTTGGGGCTACCTTGGATTCTGAGCGTTCTGCTATTTCCTTGATCTCATCACCCCTCAACTTTTCTTTGACTTCCGTACCATGGATCAAATTCAAGCTATAATATCAGCAAAGATCCGAGAAGGGTTAGCCCTCTGTGGCCTTAGTGACATCAGCGATGAGCCGATACAACATGAAGTGATACGCATCTCACAATATGGTGAATTCAAAGCTCGTGCTGAATCATATCGAGACTAACCGCCATTGCAGCTCATCAATGCCAACGACGTGCTGCGAGCGACAATGCCCAAACCCCGGCGATGAATCTGGACGCAACCTCCTGCACACCGCCCCCCTCACCGCGACCAAATAGAGTCTCCGACCGAATTTCATCAAAGAACAACGGGCAGCGTACCGAATACCGGGGCTCGAGCAGTCCGTCGAAACGACCAAAAAGAAGAAAAGGTACTCAGATTAACCATCATCGACCCAGATAGTCATGGATAAAAGCAGAACAAGGGACTGATAATCTACATCAGTTAGTAAGGACGTGCCACTTGGCAAATCAGACAAGATTTCGAATGTCACAGTGATGGATCAATCGTCGGACTCAGAAGAGGACAGCGATCAAAGCCGACCGGGCTTTCCGACTCCAAGCTTGTCTTCTTTTGTGCCAACAGTAGTAGATGGCAATACCGCAATGATAATTATGACGGGTATCATGTGGAATTGCGTCAAACGGAACAGTCTAATGAATAAGTACGGCCGGCACACTAAATCGAGTTACCTAACAACAAAGAACGAGGATATCATCCGGTATGTTGACGAAACTGCTAGCCAGGATTATCACGAGGCGGTCCGGATAGTGAAGAGGGACAATGCATTCCATATGGGTCGGACTCTCCAACATCGATACAAGGAGACAGTTTACTGGGACATCATTCGGAAAGGAGCGAGACTGATCGATCCGGCAACGCTACCCACCTCCAAAGGGCCCCTTGATGGTTTTACCCCGGCGGAGAAAGTGGCTACTCAACAGTTCATGGACGAAGTCGGCTTTGGAGTTAGCCCTGAGAACCAGCGGCTTTGCCGTACTCTGTGGAAAAGTCTGTATGAGCTACGACAAGCGGGCATCTGTAAGACTCTGTATTACCGCACTAAAGAATTTGACAATTATTGCCAGAAAGCTTCCAAAAGAGAGACCGAAATCTCATTGGTGGAGACCATCAAATCGTGGGACAATCTCTTTGGCCCGCATCTCGATCAAATTGAGGCCCGTGTAGCGAGATTTGCTGAGTCGAGTTCTGTCCATCCACCAAAAACAGAAGGCTTGGATTTTTCGGAAGATATCTGGAATCAAGTGCCTAATAAATGGTGGTCTGCTGAGGAAGCTGCCTCCTACCAAGTCACTGATGAGCACAAAACAATCTTTCTCGACATAACAGGAATCCTCTTGGATCCTTTAACCGGGGGCGAGGTGAACAAGGCCATCTTTATGTCGCTCACTAGGGCTAGCGATGGCCTTCCTTCGGTGCGTCCGATGATTCCAATTGATAAAGGGGATATTCTGGGGATTTTTGCTGGAATGATTCGGTTCACGGCAAAGTACGATCCTATCTACGGCATTCCTGGTCCAATCGAAACCCTCTGGCTAGATTATTCTCAGGTCACCGGGACGTTGAACCACATGAAAGTGTCGCAGCCCGGCGGCGATTCAAATGTACAACTTTGTTGGAATTTGATCCGCCTATCAGGCGAATCCAGGCCTTCTCTCTCCTGGATAGTTTCGGTACAGGCCACAAAACGTATCATGCCTTTCGAAGAGCTTGTCCGGGAAGCTCCTCGAAAAGAACAATATCTTTTACACCGGTCGCCAGTCCATGCGAAGCGTGGTTTTACCAAGGTCTAAACCGTTGGCTAATAAATGTTTGTCTTGCGGAACTCAAGTATAGAGGCAGCTTCGTGGGCTATGCGTATTTGGAGTGGCGTCGCCTGGTACAGTTTGAAATGAGAACGCAGCGGATACTAGATGTTGACAGACCGAAGCTGGATTTTGGCGATGATTTCGCTGATGTGGCTTGGCTCAGAGATTCGTCTAACTCCAGGTTTAATCGAATATCTAGAATTGTCGAATATCCAGAATTGTCGAATATCCAGAATTAATCGAATTTCCAGAATTGTCGAATCCTCCTTTACACAGGGATGGACCAACCCCAGAACCCCAACATCCACAGCCCGCTCAATCAACTCTCCGAGATTTTGGACAGGAAGTACGAGATCCAACTCGACCAACTGGAGAAACGACAGCCACACATTGTGCCTCCGTGGTGGACCCCTCCGTACACCCGCATTGCTGAATCTCCGGAGGCGGCAATTCAAGAGCACAACGCGATTGAACAATCAACTTATGAGCCTGGATTTTCCTCTGACCCAAGTGCACAGTTTCGAACTGTTTGTCTCGCGAGCTGAGAGGTTGGAATGGGTGCGATCTCTCCAGGCCCGGTGCTCCTTTGCTAGTCGATCTGCTGTGTCAGCCAATCTGGCCAGAAGACACATACACCGATTTTGGCGAGACATCGAGTGGCTCTTAAGGCTCGCCGAGAATGGGCCTCTGACATTCAAGCGTCGTATCTTGGAATCCGGCATAGAGTCTGCTCTCCCACATCACTACTACCCACATTTTCACCTCTTCTGGGCTCATGGCGTCCTCGTCTTCGGTATCATCGCCCAGCCAGTCACCAAAATCATCCAGGGGATCAAAATCGTCGTATCGCGTGAGTATGAATGAGTCTGCTTCTTGATATGCGAATTCGAGATCTTTTTCAACTAAGCAATATACTGGTCGTCTCCCACTTCCACTCGGATCCGCGTACCAAAAACCAACGAGTACGCCTTCATCGATGAATACAGGAGTTGAACGCAGCTCACAGTCTAAGTGATCCTCATCGAAAATTATATCTCGTTCTAGATAACTTTCTATCTCTACCGAGGGGCGTGGTGTGTCTGAATTAATGCATCGCAGCTTTTTTGCAGCTTGCTGGTCTGAATGATTTGGATTCAGTTCCTGTTTGCGTTTCAAGGATGAGCGGCGACACGACTCGGAGATAGACCGTTGAGTTGACGATTGATGGGTTTCCATGTTTTCTGAAACATCACAGACTTGCAGCAGTTCTTGATAGAGTCGATGGATACTTCACGAACTATTACTCTGTTATTAGCACGCTTCTCGCATGGTGATACTGGGTACTATACCTCTGGTGTCTGGGATTCTTTTAATGATAGGGGCAGAAGTGAAAGAAAGCAGAACAAAAGTGCGGACGGAGGCCTTTATATGGTCGAACCACTAAGTATTTGAGCATCGTAGGATGCCGAAAGTCCGCTCCGGGATAGCGAGATAGCAAGTCGAATTCATGGTTTTTGTTTTGCCTACTGGATACCCTTGCCAGGTGTCGTGGCCGTATAATACTCTTCTAGGCGGGATCAATCAGTGTGCACTTTCACGTCAAGAACGCCTTGCAGAGACCAGAATCCGGCTGCTCTCCTTGAGGATTTTCTACTTCGGGACTGCCGGCATGAGAAACCTGGCTGAGTGTGACACGCGCTGATTCCCTACCAGCAATATCAATACACTAGTGCACTGACTAAGCAATAAGAACGTGATCAGTCCTGTCGCAGTGCTATGCATGACGTACCCTCGTGCCTGATTAGGACAAGCCAGGTCTTGATGATTGTGAATGCTGCATGATTCTAAGCAACTTTTTCAACACCGGTAAGCATATTTAACAATTATTGATGCCGTGGGGAACTTCTATCCTCGTTATTGATGTATGAATACTGCATGCTGGTATGCTGGTACAGACCAAGAGACTCCGTGATGCTACTGCAGATGACATACCCTTTACCGACAATCACCCGAGACATCACACACATCTGCAACGACTGTCTCGGTCTCCAGCTCACATGGCCACGGTGACTCTCCAAGGTCAACTAACCGAATTCCAATCCGCAGAGGACGCAATCCCGGGTGGTCACCCAACAACGACCGCGATTCAAAATGACTTAGCGGTGGCAGAATCTGGGTCATTAGGGTTAGGTCGTGCTCAATCTGTGCCGAGTATCGATCTAACAGTACAAATCCATAATGGGGATATACCAGTAGAATCTATGTAGTCAACTCCATTAATTTAGTTAGTCCTCAAGGTTAAATCTAGCTGGATCATCCCAGCCCTAGGTTCATAACTGTAGTTTTATTTGGCCTAATCCCCCGCACTGCCAACCATGTCAAACGAAATCGTGGTTATGCTTACAGCATCCCTGCATGTGATCCTGCATGTGATCCTGCATGCAGCCTAATATGGTGATGTCGTCAGTCCGTATAGCTCCAGCTAATAGGATGTCGCTCTGCACCGTGCTTTTTCAACACTACGCCCCTGTTAGCTGTCGATCCATCCCGGTACGGCCGTCTTCGGTACTCGAGTTTGTCTTCCGACTAAATGGACGGGCATGGAACATGTCACATCATTCCTCAATAGCTTTCAGTAGCCACTTTAGAAACCGTGAGCCACTTGTACTTTCTTTTTGGGTTTAATTTCCCTACCCATCCCCCCTCCTCTCCCCTTTTCTTCTCTGCCATTCCTCAGCTCAGAATGATGCGCTTATGGAGATCAAAATTCGACTCCCTCGATGAACGACGATACTCATCCCGGATTAAGAATACGACTCTGGCGGGGGTTGAGATCGTTGGTCAACAGACGCCGTCTTCTTGTCTCTAGGACCAATCGCCATCGGTCGCATAGGTATATCCCTCCTCGACTGGTTGCGTCTTACATGCCAACGAGGATATCATTAGGCGAAAAGAGAACGGTCGTCCGGTAGAGATGCAGCCTGCGACTTCTATAACCACAACTACTACCGCAAGCCGAAGGACGAGCACAACTCTTTTTGCCGACGATGGCAAAGTCAATTTCTCCGAATGGTTTCCAATTTACCAAAGTTGTATAGAACACTTCGTGAACGTGGCACAGCATCGACCCTTGATTCAATCATTTGCAGCACATATCAACATTCTTCTTCCATATCAGCGTACGGCCGATAAGATTCTTAACTCGTCCGAGTCAACCAATCAGCAGTTACCATTCTCTCTCACCCGCTACATCCGCCGCCTTGTCGTCACGGCCACAGATACACCAAACATCATGCAAGATCTCTTTGGCGCCAACTGGATCCAAGGCGTCGGCACAATCCACTCACAGGAACGAATAAATTACCTTTTCGCCGCGAAGAGTAGCGGATGGCTCCAAACAAAGGCGCAGTACGATGTACTACCGTATGAAACAGTTCCCTATCTGAGGCCGTTGCGTGACCCACAGGAAGAAGAGCTTCGAGTCGCGGAGTCGCTTTGGAGTCAATGGTTAGCTATGGAGGATTGGATGGTGGGATCGCGTAGTCCTTTTGAGGAGGATTCGTTAGGGAATTAGATTATTTCCCAACCAGCCCTTCTCTTCTTTTCTCCGATAACTCGGGAAAAATTCGTCCGTTTTGTCCTAGTGTATAACGCGATAGATATGACCTATGTGGTGTACCAGATTTTTTTCCTTTGATTCAGTTGTATTGTCTGATGTCAAGATTCTCTAGCTTCTAAATACATGACATTCTAGGATAAGGATCTCACAATTGGAGAATTAAACATTTCGAACGTTAAAGGATTACTGTACTATGCACGATACCAACACGGGTGGGTAATTTATGACTGAAAAAGTAGCTAGAAAAGATTATGAAGAGAAATATTTCTAAATAGCAATAGTTCAATCTGAGCACCTTCGGATTCTCGGACACAGGCTTGCATCGAGTCCACATACTTTGAAATATCAGCCTTGGCCAAAATTACGCTAGTTTACATGGCTATTTCCAGATCCCAGCCCGTGTGCCTCGTTCTTGTTTCATCACGACAGGTGTGTCATATTCCGGGAGTGATGTATTCGCAAATAGAATGATGCATTTCGTGTGGCATGTTTCAACGAACTTCATTTGGTCCATGGCCAAATTGTGGCCTATACAATGGCAAATGTCGTGGTTTAAAAGGGGGCCATGAAGGGCTCACACAATAAAATGCGACAACCCTACGGCACACATATACATGGTATACGTACAGCAAATGTAATCCCCCATCAGGCGTGAGTCAAGATGAGCTTGCCTTACACATTAGTTCTACCAGTATTATTAAGACAACCTATTTGAGGAAAATTTGAGGAAATCAGAATTAGGCTTCTATGCAATCAAATTCTCGACCGCAGCAGTCCGCCGAGCCATCATATTCTACTTTCTTATTCAATTTTGCTTCTCATCTCTTCTGATAATAACATGCTTAAATGTAGTCCCTGCTCAAACGTAGTCCTTGCAAAGTATACTTTTTGGCCAATCAATCTAGTATAGCAATTTTGAAGGCAAAATACTTGCTATTTTAGATAATAAAAAATGTGCTTTTTGTCTAATAAATTAATAGTGTTATAGAGTATGGAGTTGAGTATAATAATAAGTAATGAGTATGTAAGTAATTATATTTTTTTGTTGTATAAGAGATATAAACCTTTTATAGATAGATATAGGCTAGAAGAATACTATTTTGTATTCTAGCGGTGACTTAATTGATTTAAATATTTTGAAAAAGGAAGATAATGCTGTAAAAGTTTATTGGCTGATAATTTTTTCTTTGAGGTTAAGAGGCTCTGACTTAATATATTAACTAAGTTTATGAAATTACTTATTAATATTATTAAATAAGTTATTTTTTCTAGTTTTATAAGATTTTTGTCAGTTATATCTTCTTTTAATTTAGCTTGCTGTAAATAATAGAGAAACTATTATAAAACCAGTAAGAAGAAGCTATAGGAGTCTTCTGGTTTCTCATAGTAATTACTCCCTGGTAGTATAAAGAAGAAAAGGAATAATGTGTAGTATAAGAGAGATAACTCATCTTTTGGAAGAGAGGGATAAGTTATACTCTTGTTAGAAAAGAGGTCTAAGGTTATTAAGTCTTATAGACTTTAAGTATAGTATGATTATTAGAGTTTTATAGGATATTTTAAATATTTTTATTATGTTGTTTAAGAGATTAATAGTATTAATTTTAGTACTTTTTATAAAATAATTATATATATAGATTATAATAATACTATAAAAGCTAAATAGTATAGAGTAATTTTTAGTAATTAAAGATTAAAGAATTTATATAAATATATATAGTCTAAATATTAAGTATATTTTTAAGTTTATTATATAATTATTATAATTTTCTGGTTTAAGATAAGAGAGGTGAAGAGTAAATAAAAAAAAAATATTATATATTAAGAATCTATATAAGTAAGTTATCTTTAGAATTTTAATTTATTAAATATCCTGGATATTCTTATACTTAGAAATAGTTATAGATATATAAAAGATAAAATAGTGTATTAATTTAGAGTTTTATTAACTTTATTTTTTAAGAATAAATATAATATTAGTAATTTTCTTATCTAAAAAGCTGAATTAGTTTATTTAATTAATAATAAAAGTATTATATTATAAATAATAATTTTTAAAATAATGATATAACTGTGTTTAATTATTTTAAAATATATTAGTTTTAAAAAGATTTTTATTTTTATGGTTATAGATATAAGTTATTCTATGCTTTATATAATTTAAGTAGGGCTAGCTTTTATTATATTATATTTAGAATTAAAAATATATAAATAAGTTATATTTCTTATAGATAACTAAGATAAGGAAGTTGGTGGGATAAATAAATCTTGACTTTTCTTTGTTTATAGTATATAGCCATTGTAGGATTTTTTATATGATTAATATAATAGTATAACTAACACTCTATGTATATCTGGCTTCTTATAGGATATTTTAGGATTAAGTTTTTTTTTTCTTCCTTTTAAGTGTTCTTTTAAGCCCTAATGCCTTTATTAAGGCTTTTAGTGTGGTGGCACTAGTGAGCAAATTTTTTAGGTGCATGATATATGCGGAGGAAAACGAAAACGAAAACGAAAACGAGATTGACTTTTCGATGCCAAGGTACGGACCCAGTTGAGCAAGGGAATGTGAGAAATTGAGTGGGAACGTGTATTGTATTGTATTTTAAGTGTGTCTAAAAGAGTGAAAATATCTGACATAACGTTAGGTGCGCCATATATGACACAGCGTACACTGTGCGCGCTAGTTTAGTAAAGGGGGAATCTTGGCAAATCCTTATAAGACGGAAGCATTGGATACAAAATGGGGGCCGGACCCACTGCGGATATTGTGCAATAGCCGAGCCCGTTTTCATCACGCTTTGACCATACCCGCTCTCTATCGCGGGGTGAACAAGCAGATTCCATCTCTACAATATCCTAGGAGGGTACTTAAGGCCAGAAAAAGACGCTCCTGTTATGATGGCAAGCGATCAGAAGAAGAGACCTCCACGTAGCGGAAAGCTCCTAGAATATGAGTTCCAACGTGCCTATCGAGCCTGTCTTCCTTGTCGGGAGAGAAAAGTCAAATGCCAAATGAAAGATGACAATGGTCAAGCGCCGTGTGCAAGATGTAGTAAACAAGGCTTGCGATGTACATTCTCTGCAAAAGTACCTTGGTCTCGACAACGAAAAGGTATGTCTACCACCTTCAAGCGAAGAGGTCATTCTAACAGAGAGTATTCCAGGTCCTGAAACTGGGCAGATGAGACAAAAACACTCAATTTTAGAGAATTCGAAGTATAACATATTATTGCTCTGTCTGCAAGACGGTAGAATATGGGAGGCTGAATGTCGTATAGTCCGCAATCTCCGAAACGTGTATCGCTACGACAGGGAACGAATGAACTTGATGAACATAGCGCAAGCGGCTCACAACCAGTGGGCCATAATGAAGAGATAGGCAATTTTCAAAATTCGGTCTTGCGGACAACGGTGTCGAGTGGAAATGATGCACTGAATATTCTTTCCGAAGTGGCTACGTGTACGGAGCCGGTCTCCAACTTTCCTTCAACTTCGGAGCCAGTCCTGAATGGTCTCGCGTCCGTTCCTGGCGCGGAAGCGTCACCAGGTTCCTTGCAGCAGTCTACGCCACAGCTAAGCAGCATTGGCTCTATAGACTATGAGATCTCGCGTATCTGGAACGCTTGTCGATTTGTGAAAATGGGCTGGTTTACAGCTCATGAGGCAATGACTTTGGTTGATCTGTAAGTCTCATTCCAGTTGCCGCGTTAGTTAATGCTAATGCACTAGTAAGCTTTTTCATAAACATGTCAAATCGATCACCTATTCTGACGAACTATTACGCTTCTCACGCGAATCAATACTGGCTCGTTACACGGGAGCCCATACTGTGCTGCACTATACTTGCTATTTCATCTCAATACCATGTTCTGCCAGGGCCAGGAGGTAAAACACGTGGATTGTTCATCCATCACAGATTGTGGCAACACTGTCAGCACCTATTACTGCGCTTGATGCTAGGCCAAGAGAAAGCAACCAAAGCGAAGACGAGAAATGTCGGTACCATTGAAGCCCTGTTACTGATTGTCGAATGGTACCCGCTATCTGTGCACTTTACTCTAGACAGCGACGGTTGGGATTCCGACCTGTTGCTGACAATGCCTGATACTCGTGATCCGCCACTTAGTCATGAAATCCCGGCTCTGGAACGTTGGAAAAGGGACGTAATTGAACCGACAAAGAGGTCGGAGCAAATGTCTTGGATGGTTCTTAGTTCCGCACTGGCGTTGTCTCATGAAGTAGGAATATTTGACAGAAAAGCTTCTTCCTCGGGAAAAAATATGGGTGTTTCTGAAGCTGCCAAGCCGGACGCTGAGGCACATACAGAGCACTTGAAGATACGCCGCGAAAGACTTCCGAAGCTCTTGTATTGTTTCATAAATCTGATGTCTTCTCGATTAGGATGCACCTCATTTATGTGTCCGGTATCTGCCGTCACGCTGTTAGAGGTTGATAAAGCTCTCGGCACGGATCACGATCCGCAGTGGCAATCGTTTATGAATTGCTGGGTGGAATTGACCCAGCTGACAAAGAGTATCACCGATACATTGTTTCCATTGATGACTGCCGACGATGATGAAAAATTCCACAACTGTCTCCAGGAGAAACGGCAACTGCTGTCACACTGGTATACCACGGTTGATTTTTGTAGTATGTTCTTTTGCATTTTCTGGGTGTCGGAGGTGGAAAAGCGATCACTGACTGACATGACCCTTATTCAGACTGCCACTACGGAGACATTTTATTCATCGAATATCAGCATCTCCGTGTCCTTACCAGCTCTACCGGAATGCAGCGGGTCATCACGCATTACTCTCGGTCCCAACTTGTCCATAATTCCAGATCCATATTTTCTGCACGACCATTTCAGTCAGACTACGAGTATAATCTAGTTGAAGAAGTAATCGATGGTTGCTGCCATATTATAGACAAGATCATACGCAAGACCGAATCAGGCACAGATAACAGTCTGCATTACGCCCCCATCCGCATGTTTTCACGCATGATCAGCGCCTCAATCTTCCTCCTCAAGGCTCTTGCACTAGGAGTGCGGAAAACAAAGTTAACTGAATCGCTTCACGTCCTTGAAATGGCAATCTTGGCACTACAAAACAGCAACCTGGATGATATACATCTAGCTGCACAGTATGGAGAGCTGCTGAAGATCCAAGTTGATCGTCTGCGCAGAAGTTTCGAGTCTTTTGGAACGCCGCATTTACATGGCAAGGGATCAGCAAAGCACTGCAGAGAGGAACAGTATCGACCCAGTCGTGAACTGTGGCAGTCCAATCCACAACTCCCAGAAAATCAACTAGAGTCGCCGCCTTCGTACAACACTCCTCGTCCGTCTAATGAAGAGGCTCCACTAAATGACCAGCATTACTATTCCAGTAATCAGTGGAAGGAGACTGCTAATCTTGATCATCTAGACGCTACTAATGCAGTGACAACAAATATTAATACTTGGAATAGTAGTATAGATGACTGGTTTTCGCTCCCATTTGATCCGTCAATGGCTCCATTCACGGGTTGGGATGACGATGATTCCTTGGATCCTTATAATCCATGCTGGTTAGATGTAGATTTCATTTGGAATCTGCCTCCTTGAGGGAGATCAAGCCGTTCCCGTTTTCGACATATACACGTGTTTCAAATCCCAATCAATCATCAAAAGAGCTGGTCCCAGCGGATGGAAGGAGAACTGATTCCGAGACTGGTAACCTGATAATTAGCACTCGAGATTAGAGGCAGGGAGTCATAAACGGGTGATTTCGTTGTACAACTATACTGTAACGAGTAAGATAAGAATGTTTCAAAAGTGTGAGCAAAGACCCTGACGTGGACCTTGGAAATCTAAGGCGCGTATATCACATACGGAGCAGATAAGGACTGTGGCCATTCAATACTCTCTATGATTTGCTTAAATACTCGTTAACAATGCCTGGCAATTCTTAGAATTCCACGGTTCGTTTATATGGTGAATAAATAAATCAGCCAATACATTCTCGAACTTAAGCAGAATCCTTACGTACGTAGAGGACCGCTGATGTGGCTGATTTATCAGAACTTCACGGACTGAAATAGAAAATGAGCCGCGTAAGACTGGAATCTCTTGAAAGCCCCTAGAATTGGGTACTTGGACGGCCCTCTGAGATATCTAAGCTTGCGTGTGGAGAGGGAACCGCTGGAACCGGGGCTGCTCCTTCCCAGTCGGGTTCGAATGATACGAAAATTGGATCACGCTTTGATAATGAGGAAAAGTTGACGAAGGACTGAAAAGAATATTGACTATATAAGTGGCAGACAAACAAGAATGCCGAAAATAAGATTCTGAAGGAGTTAGCAAACAAGGACTCCCATAAGATGTGGGCAGAGGCAGATGTACCATCATTCCTGATGCGAATGAGACCAAAGCTACTGTCGAGAACCTCTTCGCAGACTTGAAGACAAATTTGAAGGATGATTAATGGATGCCAAAATTCGGGCATGCTCTATGCAAAGACTGTGCGGAGGACGTTGACTGAAAGGGCTCCCTGTTACATAGCCTTGTCCTTAATCTCATTGCAGCGCGCCGGTTTGGTCTTGTGTAGAGTTTTATCTGAACATAGTGGAAGCCTAGCTTTGATTTGAAGATACTTTACCGGAGAATTACCTATCAAGCTTGGTATCTACAAATTGAGCAATGATCAATAATCCTCGCTGTTCATGGATGCGGGTATTTGACAAAGTTCTTGCTTGACTGTACTACATGTCACTAGTATTGGGATAATGAACAGAGGACCGCCTCAACTTGATTTGATAAGTTACACAGACCACAAAGTCTCTAGAGACTATAATCCACCACGTAGAAGCATAAAGAGCACACACTGACCGTGGTCAATCATTAGAGTTATCTAAGCTGCCAACATGCATGATAACAAAACGGCAGTTGGAAACCAACCAGGACACTATTTTATATACCGTATGTAACGATGGAAACATTTCAATTAGGTGGTCAAACGATGAACGGACGGCAGCAGCATGATTCTGCCAATGCATTCGTTCCAGATATTCCATCCCATCCGCAAAAGTTGCACACCTGGTCGTTCAGATGCTTGGGTCGGAAATGTCTGAGAAGACTCTGATGCTGAGTGAATTTTTTCCCGCATTGAAAGCAGAGGAGAGGTTTCTTAGCGGTCCTGATGTGGTCTTGGTCTTGTTCGTGCTTGGTCTTTGCAATTGATAACTTGTCGTTCTTCTCTTCTTTAGACTTCTTTAACGCTTTTCCTTGTGCATGATCATCACTGATACTTCGCTTTCGCCTCCGCCGGCCTCGAAGGGGGCCCCCCTTCCCGAAAACCACAGTACGGAATGATGGCATCCACGGCTTCACTACGTCGCTACCATTCACCTTCAAGAGTCCACACAGTTGGCACAATTGTTAATTTCTCCACGAGCGTCGCCTGCAGAACAGGCATATCACCGTCGGGCAGGAATTCTTCAACTACATCATCTTCTGGTAAGATGGTACCATCGAGTTGCCCATTAATGTCGATGACGGCTTGTTTCGGCCCAAACTCTTGCCGTACCTGACCCAAGCGCTTGTATCTAAGCCTCTGCCGAGTATTAAGCACCAAATTTTGCGCTTGAGCGACCTGTGAAGCAAGCTCAGGGATGGGATTCCGCTCATAGTTATCTTGCAAATAATCTAGCTCACGAATAGTATCTTGCAACTCTGGCCTCACTCTCCACGAAAGATTTCTCGGTGTCGTCAAGAAATCGTGGGCGACGTTTGTCCTTGTTCCAGTTCATGCTGTTCAAGGCCCGATCCCAAGGCTCATCCTCATTCATACCAAATACCACTTGTTGCATCTGAGTATGATTTCGTGGGCGGTAATGCTTGACAAAGGTGGAAGTATTTGCGTGATTCATGATCGAGTTACGCGCTGACTCGCTGACCCATCCTAGCCGTTGCATGTCAGAAAGCACAAGGAGCTCAGATTACCAAAAGGAATGCGTTACCAGTTTTGTCCAGCAGTTTGCCGGCACCATAACGAAATTGATGAAAAAAGAAGAAGGCATTCAAGAGTCCCATGATGAATGAGATAGATTTGATGGCTCCGTAGAAGACACCATCCGTCATAGGCAGGTCAAGTAAAATACGTGCCTCGCCATCACGCTCATCCACCTTGCAAAACAAGTAATAGTCGTCCATTTCTCCATTCAATGGTAACTCTAGCTGTTGACAGCCGTGCATAACAAACCGTCGGCGCATATCATCCATCGACTTGATGTTAGCCTGAAAGGCGTTGGCATGGAGCAATAGCCCCATGATAAAGGCATGGTGACTGAAGACACTGAAACACCTAGATGATTTCCGGAAAAGAGAAAGTATTGCTGCACCCAACGTCAGAGAAACAGCTAAATGAATTCTATGGAGATTGGGGTGTAGTATACAGCGCTTTGATTCCAAGAAGCTCCTTGATATATTCTAGCTCGATATCGATCGATAGTACCGGTGGGCCTCCATGAGGGTTGCGTTGTAAGCTGAGACGGAGATGCTTATACTGCAGCTCAAGAATGGCCGTTTTTGAGAACCATCAATGGCTTGAATCGCAGCCTGGCTGTCGCAGAAGATTATTACCTCTCTTTCTATCCTTTGCTGTGCCATCTCTAGGGCCATATGTATTCCAACCAGTTCTGCTAGAAATATATTTACCTCTAGTATTCTTCCTATAAATGTCTGCCTTATAATTAAGAGGCCTATTAGACTACTAATGCCCTAACTTTCCTATTAATAGCACTTCTGTTTATATAAATAGTAAGACCTAAGTTTTACTAAAGAATTTAGTTGTAAATAGCTCTTGCTGCCTTAGCATTAGTAGCTATATTTATTTTTAGTAGTTCCTACTAAGGAAGGGTCAAGAAGGGATATCTCTATTCTAAATTCTTAACTCTTTCAGGTCCTTATATTATTTTGCACTAGTGCTTGTGTCGTTCTAATGGGCCCTATCTGCTTAGAAGGTTGTACTAGCTTTTAAGGTAGCTATTCTAGATCCCCTCCCTTTAATTTTACTCTAGAGTCTTGTAGGATGGTGTAGAGTGTATCCAGAGATATGTTTCTGCTGTAATCTTGTTTAAATGAATTCAGATTGGAAGGAGAAATGCCTCAATGTCGAGTGCTGCTCCTGAGACGGTCTTGAATGCCCCCGTGATGATCCTAGCTGCCTTCTTTTGTATTATTTCCAGCTTGCCTACCGCCCGGTGGCTATCCTCGGAGTTCAATGGGGCATACCAAATCGATGCTGCGTATGTTATACCCGCCCGCCAGCGGGGTGCTGTACGAATACGAAGACGCGTGGGATACGAAGCGCACTCCGATTGGAAGAACCTAATAGTGGGTTCTGCAGGTGGGTCACTTGATCGACACCGACGACAGGTTTGAGCTACAGTACGGAGTATACTCAGTAGTGGAGCACCAGCGCCCCACCCCGGGAGTTGCTGCCAAGCTCATGCCGAGAGCCATTAGAACTCCCTAATATATGTAGCCTAGATACTACGTAGAATCAAATTCTAATTATTATTGCAATTTTACTATAAATACTACTATAGTACGGGAACGGTAGATTCGACGGGCGAATTCCATTTTCCATCTGCTGCTGTGTCTTACGAGCTCCAATGCCTTATATGGGCGTCTTTTCCCCAGTGGGCGTACATAGTATATTAGCATAACGGACCTAGATGTCTCCGATATTTACCATGTAACTACCGATGGATTGTTAAATTTCTGGCAGAAAGCCCCTTAATTTACTCTGGTTCCCTGCTCATCTACAGCATTTCTATGTGAAACAAAACCATATTACCATCAAGATCGCAATATATTCTGGCGCTTTCGACGCAGACTAAGCGCTTCTCTCTCCCACTTAATGGAAACGAGAGCACTCTCCGCCATCTACTTAGCCTCCCAACCGTTTCACGTGTGGGCTCTACGTGGATGTGTGGCGAGGGGATGTATCTTTAATTGCAGGATACCGTATACTCAGACTAGGACTGTCATGCACGTATGCTAGGATTCGAGACGCATGGCCAGGCTGACGGTATCTCAAGATTCTAATATAAAGGCAGTCAAAGTACCCACGTAGTTGGCTCGCTTCCCTCGTACTCAGGGATATTCCGCAGCCCATTCCACTCTTTAGAACTTTCTTCCTTTCACTCATTCTCTTTTTTGAATTAACTTGTCGGGTCCGCGACCTTATCGCTATGCGCTCATTCATCGGTCTTGCCGGATTGGCAGTTTGCTCATCGGTGGTGCTGGCAGCCCCTACTAGCATGGAATCTCGGGCCTCGTGCGCCTTCTCTGGCCCTACTGGTGCTGCTTCAGTCCTCAAAACTAAGACTCAATGTTCGACCATTGTTTTATCAAACGTCGCTGTGCCGGCAGGAACGACGCTCGACTTGACTGGCCTCAATGAAGGAACCAATGTGAGTTATTTGTTCTATGAGTGGAGAAAACGTCTAATTTGTAAAGGTCATCTTTGAGGGTACTACCACTTTTGGTTATACCGAATGGTTAGGGCCTCTGGTTTCTGTCTCTGGCACAAACATTACCGTTGAAGGTGCCTCAGGTGCCGTGCTCAATGGTGACGGTTCGCGTTGGTGGGACGGTAAAGGCTCCAACGGAGGCAAGAAGAAGCCTAAGTTCTTTGCAGCTCACGATCTCAAGTCATCGACTATCAGCAGTCTGAAGATCACGAATTCACCTGTTCAAGTCTTTAGCATTGACGGCGCTGAGACGCTGAACCTGGAATCTATTACGATCGATAATTTGGCTGGTGATACCACAGGTGCCCACAACACTGATGCCTTTGATATTGGCGACTCCGATGGTGTTACAATTACCAACGCCACCGTCCAGAACCAAGATGACTGCTTAGCAGTCAACTCTGGTACTGTGAGTTTCCCCTCCAAACTTGCCAATAACTCACAGCCAGGCACTAATTTATTGCAGAACATCATCTTCACTGGTGGGACTTGCTCAGGTGGTCATGGTCTCTCCATTGGTTCTGTTGGAGGTCGCTCCGATAACACTGTCAACACCGTCCACATTGAAAATTCCACCATTAAGAACTCTCAAAATGGTATGCTGGCTTCTGATATTCCTGTCTACCTTCCACTAGATATATATTCTAATGCTTTCTTCCGAAACTAATGAACTATGGCAATCAGGCGTCCGTATCAAGACTGTCTCTGGTGCTACTGGATCCGTGTCTGGTGTAACCTACAGGGATATCACACTTGAGAATATCTCCAATTACGGCATCGTTATCGAACAGGACTATGAGAATGGCAGCCCGACAGGCAAACCTACCACTGGTGTCCCTATTACTGATTTGACCATCGATGGTGTGACAGGCAGTGTCGCCAATGACGCTACTGACGTCTATATTCTTTGCGGAAAAGGAAGCTGCTCCAACTGGACCTGGGAGGGTGTGAGCCTTACCGGTGGCAAGAAATCCAGCAAATGTGAAAACATTCCTACCGGCGCTAGCTGCTAAAACGTGCTTACAAACAGCTTCTATGAAGCACTTTCCTTTCTGATCACAAAGTATTCCACTTGTGTACTGGTCAATTCTTTTCGTATTTACATTCTTTCCCTCTGTCACTCTGCATTGACTGTAGATTGATTTCAGACTATTTGACATTTTTAAACATTTTGCGCAGTAATTCAGTATGCTCTGTATTGCAAGTCATTTGAAGGACCTATTCGTACCACACGGTTGAAACGGCAAAAGTGTATGCGGCACTTATGTGTACCCTAGGTAGGTCTCAAGAATGTACCTTATCATGAGTCGCCTATTTCATAACCCATGATGTAGTTAACATAAGTTAGGCGACAATAGATTTGTCGTAGTTATCCGCATTTAAATTAAACCGGGCTCTTGTTACTAGTCAGCTCCTTATCTCTTCACAAACAATAAATTCTCGTCTAAGATCACACCTGCAATAGGTGAGTACTAATTTTAACCCGCCGCTTCTTTTAGTTATCCCTCGAGAGAATAATCTAATGATATTTTCAAGTTACGAAGTTGTGTATCTGGACAATTATCCATTTGAACTGGGCGACTCGAGCCGGAAACGGCTGAAAGTTTGATCATTTATTTCCCAAGTTATTATTTATCGATCCTCGCCTAGTTTAAGGTCACGTTAAAGTGATAGTAAATTGTTCATTGATACATCTAATATAAGTGGGTTGACTATCACTTATATATATGTATATCTATATACGTTCTCAACGGCCACCGGGTTATTCAATAGATCGTTGTGGGTTGGGCGGCATAAATGAGTTAGCGGCCGTACATGAGATCCCCCCTTTGCGCAATAGTTCGCTGGCAATCGGCCAGGATAGCCGCCTGTCGACTGACCTCGGCCAAGCTTCCCACAACCTTCTTATTACCGCTTACAAACCCATACAGTGCATAAGGAATGCCCGCCTCCTTGCAGAACTGCAACACTAGTCTCTGGGTCTTCCGTAGATTGTGGCGCGGGATTCTCGGGAACAAATGGTGAATGGCTTGAAATTGAAGGCCGCCATGGAAGAAGTCGAGCCATTCGGGACAATCAATGTCCATGGTAGTACGTAACATCTTTTGAGGAAAACTTTCGGTGGGGCCAAGATCGGCAGTGGACATGGCGAAGTGAGACAAGGTGAACTGCACATGCAGTGGCATGGTAATCATGTGGCTAACCATAACAAAGAGAAATCGGTCCCAGCTCCTGGGGATGGATTTGTAGACGACAAGGTACCCGAACCAGTACCAGAAAACCAGGATTCCCGCGATCTCAAACCACCGGTGCCACCACGCAGCGCCCTTCCGGGGCCCTTGGCCCTGGACGAGGAAGATCCAGGACTGGACGTATAGATTGAAACGGCCAAACATCAGAATGGGATAGTAGAGAAAGGCTTGGTAGGGAACCAAGAATCGACTCATGGCATCATAAGGCATGAAGCGCTCATGATAGGTTGAAAACAAACTACCAAGGAATCGGTGGTTCACGGCAAAGAATGGCAAGTGCTGGTTATCAGGGTCATGTTCCGGAGCATTGGTGACGATATGGTGCACATTATGTGTACGTTTCCACCATCCAAGAGAGAGACCTCCAATTGGCGCAGCGATAATCATGCCAATAATGCTATCCATTGTATAGTTATGTGTTATAGCCATATGACCGGCATCATGAGCAGCGAAAACTAGTAGTGACCAGAACCACCCGAGCAAGATGGCACTGGTGCAGTACCACCTGACATGAAGGAAGTACAACATAAGGCCAAAGAGTAAAGTGCAACGCATTAATTCCCAGGCATAGGCGCTATAGTTGCAGTTGTACAACCCCTCAGCCTGGATTTGCTTATGGAGACGGTGATATTTTTGGGTGATTCCATGCTGGGTCTCCTTGTCCAGCGCCGGATACTTCTTGGAGGTAAGCAATATCTCCTCCTTTGACAGAGTATCGAGGAAGGCGAGCTTATCCTGGTTGCTTAATCCTTGTTTTGATTGTAACGAGGGATACACATTGATCTGGCGTTCGCCCTTCCCCTCCGCAGTGGTGCATGGTGACGCCGAACTGGCGGTTACTTTGGTCTGTAACCTACGATCTAATTCAGCATAATATTGAAATTCGCCTCCTTGGATAGGGGGGGTGAAATCCTCCCAGGGTCCCTCAACTCTCCCAATTTGGTATCTGGCCATCTGTTTACGGGTTTCTTCTGAATGCAATCTGCGTAATCCAAGTCAGCATACCTACTCTAACGATGAGTGAGTGGGGGCTTCCGGACTGACGCGGCGACTTCATCGGTGGCATTCTTGCCAACCATATGTTGGATCGGCTTATGGCCGCCGGGATGATGTTCGATCCACGCGTCGAGCTTCAGGACTTTCTGGTCGAGGATAATGATTGACTGTCCATTGGCGATCATTCCTTCGATCTCCCTGACAGACAGTACTTTGTTGCGCTCAGGGATTTCATGGCTATGGCCGTAGGTAGAGTGGGCCATCTGTAGATGTGTATAGGCTATTTAGACTATAGAGCATATGAATCAGACCTTGGAAGGAGGGAGAACAAAGATCTCAAGGGAGTAGGAACTAGAAGTAGGAAGCTGAGCTCCTCGGAGCCTGGTGTACCCGGACATGACATAGCTTAAATTATTACAGTATTATAAATCTGAGACAAAGAGTAATCCACTTTTTAATTTTTAATTTTAGTTTGATTGCTTTTGCTCGGTCGGCTAGTTCGCTATCCCGTTCATAGACCCTTGTCCATGGACCCGGAACTGGCAGCATCCGGTTTGAATGCGCAGTGGCCTAACAATTGTCGAATCGTCGGGTTTACTCCGGCCCATTCCAAGTAGTGAAGTATCTACTATGCTAGACTTTGTATTGTAGCTTATAGGGACGGGGTAGGAAGAATTAGCTAGCAAGATTGTATGTATATATTAAGTCTCAGTGTCTGTAGATATGACAGCTTCCAACGCAGGGTTTTTATAGACATGGTGCTAATATATCTTTCTGGTTATGTCAAGAGTTCTAGAATGGACAAAAGGGACTACATGCCTCACCACAAATGATGGTATTATGAAGAGGAGCCAGTGTTATGCAACATCCGCCGTAGGAATGGGCATAGGAAGCTTCGTCACCTGTTCGCCAGCACGGATTATGCGCTGTCCCATCCCATCGCGGACATACTGCGCAGTGCTTTCTTTCTGGGCCCGCCTCCAGATCTCTACCTCGCTACCACCGCGGATTATGCCCACACGCATGGTCGAGAGAAGGTTTTGTGCCGCGTTAGAATGATAATAGACTCCGCCGTTGAACATGGCGGTAGCATCCTTACCGAGACCGGAGTTGATCATAGCCTTGCCACCGGGATGGTCCTTAACGAAGTCAGTCACGTCGTGTACCACACCGGCGATGACAATCAGACCACGGCCATTCTGCACTAGTTCAATGTAGTCGTCCCATTCCATTATAGGCAGCTGGTCGAGCGGAGTACCCCAGTCTAGCTTAGCACGCTTCTGGTCAATTTTCTTCTGGAGCTGCTGTACGCGTCCTTTCTCAATCTCACTGGCACGGAACTGCTTCAGGTTGTAGGCCAGGCCTAGCTGCTTCCAGCTCCAGATAGACCACTTAGTAGGATCATACTGGTACCACTCAATAGCATTGCGGTAATCTGAGGGGAACTCGTGGTGGAAATTGTGATACCCCTCTCCAAGTGTAGCCAGGGCGGTGATGACATGATCACGAGGTGAATTACGATCATCAAATGGCTGATCACCGAGCCAGTGGGCTATGGAGTTTACGCAAAAAGTCGCCTGTTGCACGAAAAAGATGCGTAGGATACCAGCATAGATAAAGCCGCCCCACCAGTCACCCCAGCAGAATCCAGCCACGAGCATAGGTAACCCTAACCCCATGAAGAAGACAACCTTAAGGTAGTTCCGATGTTGCCATACTACGACTGGGTCCTCGTTCAGGTCGGAAACGTCAGTGCGGCCAATGCGTTTGGGGTTCTGCCTCATTACCATCCAGCCGATGTGAGAGTAGAGCAGACCCTTACGGACCGAATAAGGGTCCTTGTCGGTATCGGTGTAACGGTGATGGGCGCGGTGGTCACGAGCCCACCAGCGGATCGAACCTTGGACGGAACCTCCGCCCATGGCGGCAAGCCAAATTCGCAGAGGTAGGCGAGCGGAATAGGAACGGTGAGCCCACAAACGATGGTATCCTACCAAGGGGATCTGATGTTAGCATCTCGGTGACAATGCACAAGATAAAGGTGGGATCAGACGCACCGGCGGTAATGCCCAGACCTGTGAAGAAGTAGTAGATGACCGCCCAAACGGCGGTCCTGACCTGTAATGGCACCCAGATTGCCTGGATGCAGCCATAGAGGTGAATACCGATAATGAAGATGACATTTAGCCAGTTGATATGCTTGTGCCAGTTACTCCGCGTGAACGGCATGTCGGTGATGTGGACTTTTTTGGTCGCACCAGCGCGAAGCTGCTGCAAAGCGTCTGCTGTCATAGGCATAGTTTCGATTCTTAAGTCTTCCAATATCCCGACGTCAAGGTTAGTAGGGATGTTGTCTACTGACTGTCAAGGGAGATCGCAATGGATAAGTGAAGAGTCGTAATAGTAGGGGAAAAAGAATATTTAGGAGGACAGGTATCTGTTCAGCTTCACAGGTTACTCTCTCCGAGAATATGACGGCTTAGAATGGGGAGTATGAGAGAAAAGGAACAGGAAGGTAGTATGATGGATCAATCAGGGTAGGGAAGGCAGACCCCTAAGAACCTGACCATGTTGCATTCAACAATGCTCATGTTTTATAACAGTTCATCCCAACGGAAAAGATTGTTGGGTGATCCAGCTATGGTGGCCTTGCTCTCGCCTAGGTATCCGACAATTGCTCATGTCGAGCACCAAACTCCGCGCCGATAAGTCCAAAGCAGCTTGCAAGCTATCGAATCATTGCTAGAGAAGGGAGTGGTCGTATAGCACACTATTCCAGTATTAGTCCTCGCTATGTACACTTAGTCGGGAGGGCTGAAGTACTGAACCGGACTAAAGCATAAATAGTGTTTCGAATCTTTGAATCGGGAAACAATGACTGGCTCCCCTCTTGAAATTATGGATTTGGAGACCAAATGGATGTCTCAACGAAAGAAGAGTGGGGAACTGGTGCCAAAAAGTTATTTTACAATAACGTAGCTCCTTTGCGGCCTGTGAGTCTCAGACCGCCTTTACCTCTCCCTACGAAATACCCCCGTCCGCCCACCTTTTGTTTCTGCCTGTAACAGATTTTTCGAGTACGAGTTAGGAGCTGTACCAACAGCTGTACCCTTTCCGAAGAAACTTAAGCTATGGCTTTTGCCGACCCCGTATCTGGCTGTGTGCTATTGGGTCACGATTCAACTGTTTGTTTGATGACTACCTTCATGAACCCTTCTTCCTCTTTGCCTGTGTATCGACCAATGATTGCAAACCAGGCGAGGCTCCAAATTCGTACCCAGGAAGCTTTGGGACATCACAATGGAATCACATTTATATACTGTATCTATAATAGTTTTCACTGGCATATCTCCTAGGCCAGGGGTCAGCGTATAAACACTACTACGACTACTGCTAAAGAGGAAAATGTGTGAATGACTACATAGTATGTAATATGACTCGTAACAGAAGCCGTCTCAATCATACTGTAAACAGAGAGTATAGTCATCCCTCTGAAGATTTGTTACTTATCCTATAATTGATCACATAATATTTCGAAGGAAATCCAGCTGCACGGAAATATTCTCTTCAAATTTGTTGTCAAAGTACAAGTCAAAATGCTCTGAATCTTTTATAACAGCCAATGTCTTTGGTTCGCGAGCAGAGGAAAATGCTTCTAACTGTGAGGGAATAGGCATGGTGGTGTCTTTGTCTGTAATCACTATTAGAAGTGATGTGAGGGAAATTTGATGGATAAAAGCTTATAGTTTGAAGATTAAAATGTTGAAAATTAATTGTAAAGTTATTTTTAATTTTTATTTTAGCCTATATTGAGCTAATTTTTTTAAGTATAGAGCTATGTCAGGCTTTTTTATTAAAGTCTTTAAGTTACTCCTCTTAGTAGACTTAGGTGTCTCTAGAAGAACTTTGGTTATTATGGGAGGGTGGCTAGATTTAATGCTTTTCTAATTTGTATATATTACTAGAAAATATGTTTATAAAAAAGGGTTAATAGTCTTACTAGAGACAAATGGAATTTGGATTATAATTTTAGTGATATGCTTGTTAAAAGCTGTAGTAAGAATAATAATTTTATTGTTTATATTATTTTTTTAAAATATAATTTTAATTAGATTTACTTATAATAGTAAAGATATATAATTAAATATATTAGAATAGTCTATAGCTTGTCTGGTTAGATTGGTTATATTATATAAAAGACTGTTGCTTAAATTCTAGCTGTAGTAGTTATATATAAGCACTGTGTAACTTATATTATAGAAATATTTAATAAAATTAGGGAGAAATTATTTCTTAAAATCAGAAAACTATATAGAATGATTTCTTAGTTATAACTATTTTAGGGGATAGAATAATAAAAGAAATACCCTATGGGTTATAATAATGTATAGTATCTTTCTATCTCCTATAGGAGCATAGAACAAACCTTGTAATGTAATCCCATTGACAGTATGAAACTTGACGCTTTTTGGGAGGGCAGCCATCTTGAGAAATGGATAACAATGGTATAAGTCTTCCATGCGAACCCAGGGCTTCAGTCAACCTTATATATAGTCTCTTCTCGGCCTGGTTAATATTGGGTTATGTTTACCTCGGGTTCCACGGAAGAAAACCCACAAGCCTCAGACCGCCTTTACTCCTACGAAATACCCCGGTCCGCCCACCTTCTGCTTCTAAAGAAATCGATTTTTTCAAATAACTTACGTATTTCGAAGGTCACGACTGAAGAACAGTAACTAGTTACCGATGGATTTAGACCCTATATCACTGCTACAGTATTTCCTGGCCCACCATCCTGCTTTTTCTTTCTTTGACATTATTATGTGGAGGACGATCTATTAAAGGCGAAAAGACAGTCAGCTGCCCAGTGTCCTCGATAACGTCGACACACGTCTGTATGGCTCCAGTGGGTAGTCTCCCCTAAAGATCATATTTTCTATTGCCGATTTCTTTCAATTATCACAAGCGCCGAACCCTCAATCTCAGTTCCTTGCCTGTTCTTGAACAGGCGTGCGCTGCAATCAAACGCAATGACTTCTCCCTGCGTAGGACCTAAGCGACTGACTTCATGAGAATCTGGCTAGCATTGAGATTCGACACAGTTAACGCAGCAGGATACGTCGCGCGTATCTTCTCCCACCTTGATACCACTACTCTCTGCCTTTACATCGTCCGGACGATGTTGATCCTTGTGGCTCCTCCGCTATTCGCCGCCTCAATCTACATGAGCCTCGGACGAGTGATTGTGACACTCAATAAGGTGTCGGCTTCGCTGGTTCACGTACAGATGCTGGCCAAAGTTCTTTTTCATTGGAGATATTATTTCGTTTCTTTTGCAATGCGGAGGTAACCAGCCCGGCCCCATCGCTCCTTCGCTCTTGATAACAACAGCTACTCTCCTCGGGCGTGTTGAACCGGCGGTGGCTATATGGCTGTTGGAATGCTAGATGCCATGCAGAACGGCGAGCACGTTGTGCTTGTCGGGCTGGCATTTCAAGCTACTCTGGTTCGGATTCTTCGTCGTGGTTACCTCGGTCTTCTATTGGCGCGGCGTCCAGCACCCCAACGCTCCCGTACCCGGAGGGCTCAGATCGCGGACTACTCGGTTCTCCTGGAAATTGCTCATGCGGGCCCTCTATATCGCGTGTGTGCTTATTTTAGTTCGGTCTATCTTCCGAGGCGTCGAGTTTGTCCAGGGCAATGCGGGCTTAATCATGAGTAGACGGGCTCCTCATGGCGGTGACAGGTATTGTGCTGTTTCTCGTCTTCCCCGGCTAATTCGTATCACAGCACGGCCGGGAGAAAATATCAGAAGATATGATCGCCCTGTCTGATTCCTACGTAGTTTTATCTTGTCCTATGTGCCATTTGTGTGAGAATAATCAGAGTGCACGTACCCTGTTGTTTTGGCCGTGTTCCTATGGACAGTCTGTCAGTATTTAGCTTGGAGTTCGGCGCTTGTATTCATTTTAAATAGAAGATATCCCGTTCAACGGACGAACTTTGATATTTTCTTGTATAATCGAATCCTGAAGTGCGTACTTGGAGATAGTTAATGATGATGTAAAATATTCAAAAAATGGGAATGCCTTGGCGGCAAAACTCAAAGCAACTGCACAACGAAACAAACCTGAACCCCTTAAAAACCACCAGATTACGACATGAAAGCATAAACTGGCTCCCAGTGTATTCAAGCTACAAAATATTATGAGACAGTCTTGTCCACAAAAGATAATGCTGTGAACCATGGAGTTTTCCGACAGGAGTGCGCGCAGAAGAGTGCGAGCACGCCACACTAAGCCGTGCAAATAATGCTTCACCTGTAAGAGGCGCCGAGTCAAGGTACGTATCGGTAATTTCAACAATGCTTGCCTACTCATGCACCAAGTGTGACGAGATCAAACTGAGGATATATCGTATACTTCCTATGATATATGGGAAAACAGGTAGAAGTATACGATATACCGTCCCTCACCGCCTCATGACTAGTATCACCTCATGACTAATTTGTCTCCAAAACACGAAAAATCGCGTCAATTTCAAACCGCGATAAATCAACCAATATGGCTTCAATGGAGCTCGCACTTGCAGCGCTGCGCTCTGCAGAAGCTAGAGAAAAGCCCAATATCAGTTTAGTAGCAAGAAATTATGGCGTTAGCCAATCGGCTCTTTCTAAACGTTTTCGGGGTGTTACCGGCTCAAAAGAAGACCACTACAACAACCAACGATTACTCAACAACATACAATCAAAAGCGCTTATACAATGGATAAATCAACTTACTGAGCGAGGCCTGCCACCTACGAACGCCATGCTGGAGAACTTTGCAAGAGAGATATCTGGTAAAGAGCCTGGTAAAAACTGGGCCTCACGGTGGAAAAAGGCTCATTCGGATAAGATCATTTCTCTCTATTCTAGCGGCATTGATATGGATAGAAAAAAGGCGGATTCGGCACACAAATATGCTTTATATTTTGCGCTTCTTGGCCGTAAAATTGAGCAATATAACCTTGGCCCGGAGCAAATCTATAATATGGATGAGAAGGGCTTTATGCTTGGGGTTACTACAAAAAGGAAGAGAATCTTTACTCGGCGCAAATATGAGCAAGGAGGATATAAGCAGCACATTCAGGATGGAAATCGAGAATGGATTACAACAATTGGTTGTATTTGTGCAAATGGAACGGCTATATCACCTGCTTTGATCTATATGGCAAAATCAGGCTATTTACAAGATTCTTGGCTTCAAGATTTTGATCCGCGAACACAGAGATGTTTCTTTGCAGCTTCGGATTCAGGATGGACCAATAATGAGCTCGGATACCGTTGGTTAGTGGATGTTTTTGATAAAGAGACAAAATCTCAAGCAAGCCGGGGATGGCGCCTTCTTATCCTTGATGGGCATGGATCCCATGTTACAATGAAGTTTATTGAATACTGCGATAAAAATCGGATTCTATTAGCAATCTTTCCGGCTCATTCAACGCATACTTTGCAGCCTCTAGATGTCGCTATTTTCTCGCCTCTTTCTACGCACTATACGAAGCAATTGGATGATTTTATAAAAGAATCTTACGGCTTTACCCGGCTTACAAAACGTGACTTTTTCCGGCTTTTTTGGGCGAGTTGGGACTTGACTTTTACAAGCAAGAATATCAATTCAGCATTTAGAACGACTGGTCTATATCCCTTTGATCCAGAGATTGTTATCAAAAAATTCAACAAGAAAATCACCAGCCGGCCATCCTCAAGTGAATCCGGCGCTTCAATTATCCCAGGTGAAGATTGGAAACGGCTTGACAAGTTTTTCAGAGCTGTCGTTAGAGATATTTTTGATGAAAAAACTATACAGCTTCAGAAATCAGTGGCTTATCTTTCTACGGAGAATATCTTATTAAAAGATAAGATTGTTGGCCTTGAAAAAGCTCTTATTAATGCGAGAAAGCGCCCAAACAAAAAGAAGCCTTTATTACTAGGTTTACCTTCAGAAAATGATGGTGGAGCACTTTTTATGAGCCCGTCAAAGGTTCAACAAGCGCGAGATATTATATCTCAAAAAGAAGAGCAAGCCGCGCAGGAGCAAGCTCGTAAAGCTGATAAAAAGCTTCAACAACAACATGCAAAGCAAGCTAAAGAGGCTAAAAAGGCTACAAATGCTCAACTCCGGCAAGAAAAATGTATACAGCGCGAGCAGGAGGCAGCGGAAAAGCAACGCTTTAAGGATGAGCAAGAACTAGCTAAGCTAGCTGATTTGCAGCTTCAAAATGACGTTATATCAACTCCAAAGGCTTCAAGAAGCCCTAAAAAGCAAATTTCAAGGCAAGCAAAGCCAAAAGCGCAGCCTGAGGCCCATCCGGAGGATGATAAAGTGGTTGTGACTACAAACCGCAGGGGCCGCGCGATACGACCCCCAGCGCGTTTTCGAGACTAGTTTTTATTCTTATTCGATTTCTTATAGTTTATTTAGTGCTACTCCAAGAATTTATTAAGATATATATAATTGGTGTTGTAAAGCTTCAATATATTTTGTATAGTAAGCCGTTAAAATCAGTCATGAGGTGATACTAGTCATGACTCATGAGGCGGTGAGGGACGGTATAGTATACGGAACCAGGAGGACTGGATATATAAGGACACTCATTTACCATCATGTATTTAGTTCTTCATAGCTCTTTGACATAAGTCACTCGAATACTACATGAGAGTCAGCAAGGCATTCTAACTCGTACGGGCACCAGTCTGTACGGGGGATCTCTTCTATCTTAGTTACGTTTAAGACTTCCAAACACCAGTTCGACTATTGTTACTTCGTCTACTCAAGTTACTCATACCCATCGACTGATCAAGGAACCTTTGTGTGGTTCATCAAAGCCTAGCGTACCTCGACACAACACTGTTTAACTAAGGTGGATCCAGGTCCGTGACACCTGCGCTGTGTTATGTATGGCACACCTATGCCAGTTACTCCTTGGTGGGCCGGGATCCAGTGGATAGTCACCTGGACACCTTGGCTCCGGAGCTCGTCCCATTTTTCCGCAATGCTTCCTAAGATCTGTTGGCCGGTCTTTTGAGTGCCATCGATTGCTTGAATCGCAGCCAGGCTGTCGCAGAAGACTATTACCTCTCTTTGTATCCTTTGCTGTGCCATCTCTAGGAATCTGGTCGTGGATGGCCCTTGCTGCCTCAGCGTTGGTGGCTATATTTATCCTTGGTGGTTCCCACCAAGGAAGGGTCAGGACTCTTGATGAAAAATTGAAATTGATCGCGGGAGAGTCCCAATGGCGCACTGCAGAAATTCAACGCCTCGGCATTCCATCCCTGAAGGTAAGGCCGCAGCCAGACCCAGGCCGTCCGAAAATGTAATCAGAACATTGATCGTGTGACCGCATTTTGAGCAGGTGTCGGATGGCCCATCAGGAGCACGAGGAGAAATTTTCGGCGAGGGCATCCCAGCGGCTTTCCTGCCCTCGGGTGTAAGTCTAGGAGCAACATGAGATCAGGATCTCTTGTATGAGATCGCACAATTACTCGGAGATGAGGTGAGATATCTGCAGAACCAGGACCTAGATTTACTGGTGCTAACTGAGAGCAGTGTAGAACCAAGTCAGCTTCGGCCTTGCTTGCTCCCACTATCTGCATTCATCGACACCCACTTGGTGGGCGCAATTTCGAGTCTTTCAGTGAAGACCCTTATCTCACCGGAAAGCTCGGCATCGCCTACGTTCGAGGTATCCAGTCACGCGGCATTGGAGCTACTCCGAAACACTTTGTTGGTATGTTAATCCACAAAACTTTTGCTGCCGCGTACATTATCTGGTTACTAATGTTTACTTCCCTAGCCAACGACCAGGAAACGAGGAGGTTTAAACAAAATGTCAATGTTTCCGCGCGTGCCTTACGCGAAGTATATTTGTTACCGTTCCAGATGGTCGTCCGTGATGCTGATCCGTGGTGTATGATGACCGCTTACAACTAAGTTAACGGTCACTATTGTGATGCATCACAGCAGCTCCTCACTGATATAGCCCGAGCTGAATGGGGCTGGGATGGTGTCTTTATGAGCGATTGGGGTGGCACTACATCCACGGTCAAGTCTATCAATAATGGTCTTGACCTTGAGATGCCTGGCCCTCCTGTGAAACGCTCTAAGGTAGCTCTTGAGCAACCTTTGAGGGATGATTCGATTCGCTTATATCGGGTGGACGAGTCTGCTGGTCGCATCTTACGGTTTTTGAAAAAGGCAGGTCGCTTTGAAAATCCTAGAGACGACCCTGAAGTGTGCGATGACACACCCGAGAAAAGGAGCCTGCTCTTCCGAGCCGCCTGCTCCGGAGTTGTGATGCTGAAAAATAACGACGGCGCTCTACCACTCAAACCAAATGAGAATATTCAAAAGCTTGCTGTCCTCGGCCCAAACGCTCAACGGGTAGTTGCAGGCGGCGGTGGAAGTGCCTACATCAAAGCTCCATACTGGACATCTGTCTACGAATCGGTCCAGAACGAGTTTCGTCATACAGCGACCGAGATAGTTACTGCAGTTGGCGCTAAAGTTAATCGGTATCTCCCAACTTGCCAGGTTGCGAGGAATCCCGACACAGGAAAGCCAGGGGCAGCCATAGATTGGTACCGAGGCCACGAGATCACCGATGCTGTGGTGGCGACAACTCACATGTCAGTAAATCTCATTCTATTCCTGCTGATCAATTTACTTACTAATAGTTCGCTTTAAGTGATGATCTATATTTTATGTCTTTTGGCGTCGTCCCATCAGAGATCAATTCTGCCACAAACTTCTCCTTTCGCGTACGAGCCATACTGAAGCCGTTAACATCCGGCCACCATACACTCTCACTTGCCGCTATTGGACCGGCAAAACTTCTTGTCGATGGAAAATGTGTCCTAGAACAGTCTGGAGCGTTCGATGAGAAAGGGAGTCTGTTCTTTACTTATGGTAGTGAGGAGAAGACAGTATCAATGGCTTTTGATGCTGGACGAGAGTATATGATCGATATATACTATCGTTCCCATGACCGTCAGCTCAAACTTGAACTCCGCGATTTGATGGATCCGATGGAAGAACAATTCCAGGGTATTCGTTTAGGATTTGAGGAACACGATACTTTAGATCGAACAGCTGCAGCAGCTGAAATAGCTACGGATTGCGACGCTGCCATCATTGTTGTAGGCCGCGATAAAGAGTGGGAGACCGAGGGCCAAGATATATTGTCTTTCGATTTGCCTGGTGAACAGGTACAACTGATCCGTGAAGTAGCCACTGTTTGCAAACGTACCATTGTTCTTGTACAGGCGGGAACACCGGTTAACATGGAGCCATGGATGCAAGACGTTCAAGCGGTTCTGTATACTTGGTACCAAGGCCAAGAACTAGGCAATGCTGCTGCAGCTGTTGTATGTGGCACCGTGAATCCTTCGGGCCGACTCCCTGTCACTTTCCCGCGACGTATCGAGGATTGTCCTGCATTTTCATCCTTCCCAGGCGAACAGAACCAGATCTATTACAGCGAGGACATATTCGTCGGTTATCGATGGTGGGATCTTCTATCCATCGAACCCTTGTTCCCTCTTGGCTACGGTCTTTCCTACAATAAGTTCGAGGTTGTGCCAGGGTCGATCAGCAAGCCTACCTTAGAAGAACATTCGCCATCATTGACAATAACATTCGAAGTCAACAATATCGGAGGTAGCGACGTACCAGGTCGGGAAACGGTCATTGTGTGGTTCTCCCATTGTTCGCCGACCCGATTGAGAAGACCAAAGAAACAAATCTGTGGATTTGCCAAAAGCAAACCTTTGTCAACCGGTGAGAAGGAGCAAATAGTGCTAGATCTTGACTTCCATGCCTTTGGAATGTTTGACCCCCAGAGTCATGTCTGGATCATTGATGCATGCTCTGAGTTTGACATTTGGCTGGGAACGACAGCGTCCAACGCACATCCCGTCTGGCGAGTGAAGGCTCCCGAGGAGATGACTTGGATCCGCTAGTATGATTTTAATTTGGGAATCTTCTCAATCGAGAATATGAAAGAAAATAAACCAAAATTTACCTTTCAGTGGCGATTTAGCGTTGTTGTGGATGTTGTCAGATTTCAAAATGCCCAAGTCCCACAGCCCTAACTTATGACCCCTTACCGCAGCGGTAAGTTAACTATGTTAACATAACTAGTTATAGGGTTAGTCCCTCCGGGCGTAATAAATATAATTCATTCATATTTTATTCCTAGATAGCCACGCAGAATACAATACATTACGCGTCCCACTCGGATTCTCACGAATTCTTACGGACTGCTTCCGAAACTGACTTCGGCAGCGTAAGCCGTACCGCTACGTGGACCTTAGTGCCGAAATCCCTCAACAACGAGCAGCAGAGAGCCCTCTTATCTCGGGGCTTGACAATAAGGTCTTTAACGGAATTCGCATTCCTGAACTATCTGCCGGTGGTCACTAGTGGATGAATTTCCACACCAACTCTCCGGAAATGCTGGGATTACTGATGCCTCTGATAGTCGAAGTTAGCTTTTAAAACACCAGCTGCAGCCACAGTCAACTGGTCCAGGAAGTATTCTTTTTGCACATTCAGACCCGATCTACTCTCGAGGATACATCCTTCGGGGACTACCCTAGACAAATCTGATATATACATTTCCTTTTCACCATCACAGTCAAAAATGGAGAATCCAAGTAACGTGAACAAGCACATCGACAAAGAGGCCTATCTAGAGAAAACTTCAAGTTCAGTCTCGGAAGAAGTTGGGCTCAACACTGTCAACGCAATCACCTATAAGGAGCAGTTGCAGCTATGTGTAAGGCACAGACGTGCGATCTTGGCCGGTAAATTCCCTTCATCTCCCAAACCACCTGCCAACTACTGACTGAGGCTAAACAGCTTTTGCCTGCTCGACTACCCCTATCCTTATCGGCTATGACCTGACTTTGATCGGGTCTATCATTGCCAATACCGAGTTTGTCAAGCAATTCGGTGTCTACAGTGAAGCCCTTCAGACGTGGTCTCTCCCCGCCTCATATCAATTGGTGTGGACTATTGTGCAGTATTCGTCTGCCATCTTGTCTGCCATCGGCTCAGGCTATCTCAATGACTATTTTGGTCGCCGTGTTTGTTTTGTAGTCACCGTCTTGTAAGTTCCAACAGCTGAATGATTGCCCTCCTAACGTACAACTACGAAACTTGCTAATTTCCTTTTCCTGTCTGCTAATAGACTAACTACAGCCGGAACTTTCGTGGAGCTCTTCTCCAAGAATTGGAAAGTCTGGGTCGCTGCAAAGGTCTTAATGGGTGCAGCTATGGGTTCCATGCAATCTAATACTCAGACATATGTTTCGGATATTACCCCAACCGCCATTCGAGGAATCACACTCTCATTATTCCAGTTTTGGATCATCATTGGCCAGCTCATCGCCTCGTGTGTTCTTGAAGGGACAAGCAAAGTCGACAGTTCTTCTACTATGCGTCCTTGCCAACAGCGCGCCTTTCATCGCAGGCTTTGATATGTTTGAATACTTACACCTCCTCGATCGCGGGTCTCAATGGTGGAAAGGAAGGGAGCGCCATGGCTGAAGCAGAGGACTTAGCTAAGCGAGCTTTTACCCGTCTAGGAGCCCGTGGTGAGAACCAAGCGGTTATATTCCTGTAAGTCCTTCAAGAGGACTCTTGTCCTCGCATCTAGCTGTAGCTCTATATTTAACGGTGGATCGTTATAGTGGCGAAACTGGTTCAATCACACCTACTATCTACCCTTCTCTCGTTTTCGGCGACTCCTCTATCAACCAAGTTGTCATTGGCCGCCTTCGTTTTCGATACCTTCACAACCACCAAATCCGTGACCACCCCCACCGCGTCAAAAGTCCGGACTTTATTTTGAATTGCAATACGATGAGTCGTCGAATAATCCTTCTTTGATTGGAGGCAAAATTCTAGATCATCGCTTAGAGAGAAGCCGCATCACCTCAGTCCCTACAGGTGAGCGTAGCATTCACGTATTATATTATCTACTCGCGGGGACAAGCGCCGCAGAAAAAGCTCATTTGGGGCTCAACTCGTCTGGCATACATTCTGTACCAGGCGGTAACCAGAAGCGGTGGCGTTATCTAGGTCATCCCACTCAATTGAAGGTTGGTGTAGATGATGTCGAAGGCTTCCAACAATTCAAGACAGCTTTGCAGAAATTGGAGTTTTCTCGCAGTGAAATCGCAGGAATCTGCCAGATTCTCGCTACTGTCCTTCATATTGGTCAACTTGTATTTGTGACCGGTCAAACCACCACAACTGGGGCGGATGAAAACGGGGAATCTGTGACAGTGGTTAAAAATCAGGAAGTTTAAGAATGTGTTGCCGCCTTCTTGGGGCTTAGTACGGAAGAACTAGCTGTCAGCCTGCGCTACAAAACCAAATCCATCCACCACGAACGCGTGACGCTAATGCTCGATCCCCGCGGCGCTCGGCAACATGCAGATGAGCTTGCTAGAACGCTTTATTCCCTTTTAGTCACCTATGTTATCGAGAGCATCAACCAAAGAGTCTGTGCTACCGAGAATAGTGTCGGCAATACGATATCTATTGTTGATTTTCCCGGGTTTACCCAGTCTGCAAAATCATCGACCCTCGATCAACTTCTCAACAATGCTGCCGTGGAATCGCTATACAGCTTTGCTGTCCAGAGCTTCTTTTTGGATAAAGCAGACTGCTTAGAGAGTGAAAACATTAGCGTGCCAGCAACAAGCTACTTCGACAACTCAGATGCTGCTCGGGGCCACTTGAAGACAGGAAATGGCTTACTTGCTATCATCGATGACCAGACAAGGCGAGGGAAAACCGACCTGCAAATGATTCATAGCTTCAAGAAAAGATTCAAGAATAAAAGCCCGACTATCACGGTTGGGAACCGTGAGGCTAACCTGCCTGGAAGCAATTTCGAGACACCAAGCATACACGTCACGTTCACTGTTAAACACTTCGCGGGTGAAATCAATTATCCTATTAATGGTTTGATAGAAGAGAACGGAGAGACCATCTCTGGAGATCTAATCAGCCTTATTAGCTCCACACGAAATGACTTCGTGCGAGCGCTTTTCGGACAAGGTGTCTTGAAAAAGGTCACTCATCCCAAGGACTTCAAGGCTATCATTTAGGCTCAAGTGAGCTCCAAACCCATGCGGATGCCCAGTATGACTCAGCGCAAAATCAGCCCGTCTTCCAAACTGAATCCATTCAGTGACCGGGCCGTCCGGGTTGAGGACGATAGCGCCTGCAATAATGGCACCAAGGCCGGTAGCACCTCGCACAATAAGATAGATAATATTAGCCCAGCTCAAGGCGCTGCTGGCCAATTCCTAGCTTCGTTGGAGGTGATTAAATAGTCTCTAAATGCACCAAACCTGAATCCGTATTTTGTCTTCTGTCTCAAGCCTAATGATCGACGGATTGCCAATCAGTTTGATAGCAAATGCGTGCGTACGTAGCTACAGACTTTCGGGATCGCTGAGATTAGCTAGCGGCTGTATAATGCGGACTTCAGTGTTTTTCTCCCCTTCGCTGAATTTTTAGGACTTACTGAAGTTGAGAGCGCTGTGGTTGGAAGTGATCATGAGAAGGCGGAGCTTGTCCTAGAGGAGCGAAAATGGTCTGAAAATGAAGCACGTGTCGGCAGCACAGGTGTGTTCCTTAGCGAACGATGCTGGGCCGAGATTGCAAGAGTACTTTCGACATATCCTGGTGATTCTGTCAATAACGGAGATGAAATGCTTCACTCTACTGAATACAGTAACCATAAAGCCCGAGTCCACAGCTTTGAAGAAAACTTTCCGACCAATGCGTCTATTCACGGAGATGAGGCTGAGTACGTTGGCCATTTCGGCAGCCGCGATGTTGAGGGTCGATCAGATGGAAACGCCTCCGCATTCAATTCTGGGAATATGTTTAAAGACCTAGATACCCGAGAGCAAATGGTTGAGAAAAGCAAGGATCGCAAAATGGAAGAAGTGGACGTTCTACCAGTTTCCAGCGGTCGCAAGCGATGGCTCTTTATCGTGAGTTTTCCTATGATGCTAGTCTAAATCATACCTCGGGCATACTCTCTATGTCCTCTGTTTCTGACCTGCATCTCGGCCAGCTCCTGGAGCATTTCGGAAAGCTCAAGAAGTGAACTTCTCCTTTGGCTTGGGGGAATTGCTGGTCGTGGGCTGGAGACAGCGGAATCCATAGTGAATGCTTTAAAAGAGGGCAATGGTGGGAGAGAAATGAGAAGAGAAAGCAGAAGTGTGGATGGGCCCCTTTATAGCCGAACAACTCAGGATTTCAGCATCCTGGGATGCCGAAACCCAAGTCCTCCTGCGCAGCCACGACCCACTGGCAAATTAACTAATGGCACGGTGATATAGATCGGCGGAAGAGAACCAATGAAGACTCACTGCCAGGTCATGCCAGTATGCTTTTGGCCATGGGTGATGATGTAGGGGCTAGCTCGCGCCCAGGTTATGCCTGGTCAGAGACATTGTGGGCCAGTCCAATGACTCAGATCTTGGAGATGTTCTACCTCTATGTCTCTTCGACATTCCTATCACATGATAAGAGCTTTCGTTTGATTGCGTCGCAGAGGAGGGCGAGCCCGCGCTGAATCCTGCTGGCTGCCTGCGCCTTTTTCATCCTAAAACACGCCATTTAGGGAAGAGTGAACTATCACTGAGATTAAATGTGCAAGGAACATGTGTTCCCTCGCAAAATTTCTTGCAATATGATCGGATATGGCAGCCAACATAGCAGGAAACATGGCCATTGGTAGCATTGATTTGTTCTGAGCATGGCTCTCTTGGTGCGTACATGGTTTTTGTGGCAGCAATCGGGTTTCCCTCCAAGCTAGCAAGGCACACTTTTGATTGCTGTCTCATCAAAATACATGGCCACAACGGCAGCAGGTAATATCTGCAAGGCGTACTCCCTGAATGATTCTAGGCATTGACTCAGGTATTGTTTTAAAAATATTATTTTACCGATTGAATGACCAATCTCCTATACACCAACAAATTGACAACGTGGGACTCATCCGATCCGCCCTTATGTGATCATTGAGAAAGCTGAACGCTGGAACAAAAAACTTCATACCGCTGAACCTTGAATTCTCCCAGCGAATCTAAATACATTATTACGATTATTGTGAAGATCTCGTCCATCTCGTCCGTTCTGCCCCGGCGGCCCTGGTAGGCCATTGGCACCATCCCTTCCATCACGCCCATCGTGTCCTGGCGGTCCGCGAGCGCCCTCCTCACCGGTCCCATCACTCCTGGTGGTCCTTGTGCGCCATCGGCGCCGTCTTTCCCATCTTTTCCTTCTCGACCATCTCTTCCGGGTATTCCTGGTGCACCGTCAACACCGTTTTGTCCTCGCGGCCCTATTGGCCCCGGAGGTCCTTGTGTGCCATTCATACCATCCCATCCGTCCCGTCCATCTCTTCCAGGTTTCCCATCTTGTCCAGGTAAACCTCGTGTACCGTCAATCCCGGCTTGCCCTCTTGGTCCCACTGGCCCTGGTGGTCCTCGTGCACCATCAGTACCATCTCTTCCAGGGGGTCCTGGTTGCCCGACGGAGCCATCTATACCATTTTCCCCTGGGCTCCCTCGAAGGTATGGCCTACAGCAACAAAAGAACACGACAAGGATTGACACCGCAACGATGATACCAACTACTACTCCAATTATTTGAGCATGGGAGCTATGATCTGTCGCTGGTGCGGTAGACACCGAAAGTAGAGACGGTTGCAACTGGCTTTCCGTCGTCGCCAAAGAGCCTAGAGAAATTGTTGTGACCAACGTAGTGGAAACTCTTGTGATGGACAAAGTGATATCCAAACCGGCAGATTGACGATGGGCCAACATCTCAGAGTCGGCCATCTTGAGACTTCGGTAGATGAGTGCTCTTAGAAGAACATAGGATAGTCTTGTAACCGATTGTTTCAGGTATACGATCTCTTTATGAGATTCTTTTTGGTAATAATCTAAAACAGGATATGGATGCTATCCTCGTGGGTGGATTGAACCGCACATCAAACAAATATTTGACCTTCCGTCCACGACCTGGTATAGCTTCACTATAAAATTCCGGAGAGGGGCGTGACGTCTGACCCCTGTCCATGACACGTATCCTATCGAAAACATTCCTAGACGAGAGGATCGGATCTATTTTTTTTGATACGCTAGAACACTAGTCTTTCTCATAAATTCTACTATATTGATATCAAAAAATGGCACCCACCATAGTCACAAGAACTTACAACCTGAGTGGCTGCCTTATCTCTCCAAACAAGGCCATAGTTCTTAAGTTCCATGCGGCATAGTCACCCCTCACTACAATTTTAGCCTCGTGTAAACTTCACTCGAACGCTTCTGTGATACCGTCTGTACAGTAGCAAGATAGATACATGTAGATTGATAATTTATGACAGTCAGGATCAGTATATAGAGAACTAAGCCGCATTAAGCCCAGATACTTTGTAATAAATAAGCAAAATATTTGTAGCATCTGTCCTCAATTGAGGGAGATATTTGCATAGATTCCCAGACCAGTCCATTCCGATCGGTACTAAGCCCTGCATGAATCCCACAACGCTAGGTATGACTGACAATTCCGAGGAAGGAATCCTGATAAACTGACATGAACTAACACAAATATGGCTCCTACATATGGTCAACCACGATGAGGTAGAATTCAAAGGGCCAATGATTTCATCTACCCTTTTCTGTTATTACATCGGCAGAAGGCGGCCTACCACCAGTATCAGTATGCTTGTGGCTCTGGGTATGGCTATTTTGTGTCTGTGTATATCGTGGTATGTGTTCCGTTTTCGGATGACCCATACAAACTCCGTTACCTTTGTAATTGAAAAGCCACCGCAACAGGTGTGAGGTAATTGGAAGTTAAGAAATCTTCAGTACTGCGAAGTCAACAGATATAAGTAAATTAAATCACTGTAGAAATTTAAGATACAGTAAATCAGCCAAAAAACAACTATTAGATATCTATATCTATCAGAGAGATGGATTGTGACAGTGTTGAGCGAATCATTGACTACACATTCAATGACCGCGACCTGCTGAGAGAGGCGCTGCATCAGACACAAAATAAGCGCTTAGCTCTCTTGGGGGACAAAGTCGTGGCACTCATACTAATAGATTCGTGGTATCAGACTGGGCAAAGCTGCTGTACGTACCTCTTTCTTTGTCGGTCAAGAATTGCCACTAAAATTCACTAGTAGATGGAAGCTCATTACTGCAGCATGCAGCAAGCAATGAAGTAATAGCGAACCGAGTGATCAAATCACATCTGAAAGATACGGTTTGCTTGAATTCTCATCAGGGCCAGTCTATACATAGCTTAGCAACCGATTTTGAGGCTGTTGTGGGTGCAGTCTGGGTTGATTGTGGTAAGGATTTGCGTGGAGAAGCTAATGCGACAACTCTACACGCACTAAGATTGAAATCAATTTTGCAGACGTTGCGACCATACTGTATCTGCTTTATTTCTCCATCAAGGGCAGGAGAGAAATGTAACAAGATAAATAAGAGTGATATATACTGCTGCAAATCTAGAGCGTTATCTTTGCCTGCTTAAACGTAGTCCTTGCAAAGTATACTTTTTGGCCAATCAATCTAGTATAGTAATTTTGAAGGCAAAATACTTGCTATTTCAGTTAATAAAAATTATGCTTTTTGTTCAATAAATTAATAATATTATAAAGTGTAGAGTTGAGTATAATAATAAGTAATTAATATATAAGTAATTATGCTCTTCTGCTGTATAAAAAATATAAATTTTTTATAGATAGATAGAGGCTAGAAGAATATTATTTTGTATTCTAGTAGTGACTTAGTTAATTTAAATATTTTAAAGAAGGAAGATAATATTGTAAGAGTTTGCTAACTAATAATTTTTTTTTTTAGGATTAAAAGGCTCTAATTTAATATACTAATTAAGCTTATGAAGTTATCTATTAATGCCATTAAATAAGTTATTTTTCCTAGCTTTATAAGATTTTTATCAGTTATATCTCTTTTTAATCTAGTTTACTATAAATAATAGAGAAAATATTATAAAACTAGTAAGAGGAAGTATAGATTATAGAAGATTTCTAGTTTCTTATAGTAATTACTCCTTAGTAGTATAAAGAAGAAGAGGAATAATAGGTAGTATGAGGGAGATAACTTATCTTTTTAAAGAGAGGGGCAAGTTATAATCTTGCTAGAAAAGAGGTTTAAGGTTATTATGTCTTATAGACTTTAAATATAGTATGATTATTAGGATTTTATAGGATATTCTAAATATCTTTATTATATTATTTAGAAGATTAATAGTATTAATTTTAGTATTCTTTATAGGATAATTATATGTGTAGATTATAATAATATTATAGAAGTTAAATAGTATAAAGTAATTCTTAATAATTAAAGATTAAAAGACTTATATAAATATATATAGTCTAAATATTAAATATATTTTTAAGTTTATTATATAATTATTATAATTCTTTAATTTAAAATAAAAGAGATAAAGAGTAAATAAGAAAAGAATATTATATATTAAAAATCTATATAAGTAAGTTATTTTTAGAATTTTAATTTATTAAATATTCTAGATATTCTTATACTTAGAGATAATTATAGATATATAAAGAGTAAAATAATATATTAATTTAGAGTTTTGTTAATTTTATTCTCTAAGAATAGATATAATATTAGTAATTTTTTTATTTAAAGAGTTAAATTAATTTATTTAATTAATAGTAAAAATACTATATTATAAATAATAATCTTTAAAATAATAATATAGTTATATTTAGTTATTTTAAGATATATTAATTTCAGAAAAGCTTTTATTTTTATAATTATAAACATAAGCTATTTTATATTTTATATAATTTAAGTAAGACTAGTTTTTATTATACTATATATAAAATTAAGAATATATAAATAAGTTATATTTTTTATAGATAATTAAGGTAAGGAAGTTAATAAGATAAATAAATCTTGATTTTTCTTTGCTTATATTATATATAGCTATTATAGGATTTTTTATATGATTAATATGGTGATATAGCTAATACTTTATGTATATCTAACTACTCATAGGATATTTTAGGATCAAGTTTTTTTCTCTCCTTTCAAATGTCCTTTTAAGCTCTAATGCCTTTGTTAAGGCTTTCAGTGTGGTAGTACTAGCGAGCAAATTTTTTAGGTGCATGATATATGCGGAGGAAAAGGAAAACAAAAACGATAACGAAAATGATAACGAAAACGATAACGAGATTGACTTTTCGATGCCAAGGTACGGACCCAGTTGAGCGCGTTCCGTTTGTGGGGCAAGGGAATGCTTGGGAAAATGTAGTATGTATGGTTGGATTATTACAAGGATTCGGATGTGAATGCCCAGTTTTATGCCGGTCCCCTACCGTCCCTTAGCACCTTGTGCACGGTCCACCGTCGTGCACGGTATACTTCAAAAACGCGAAAATTGACAATATTTGAAAGCGCGTCAACTACCTCAATATGGCTCCAATTGATCTCGCACTTGAAGAATTACGCTCCTTAAAACAAGAAGAAGACATCAATATTACAAAAATTGCAGAAAAATATGGTATTAATCGCTCAACGCTATCGAGGCGTTTCAACGGTGTTACACGTTCAAAACAAGCTGGATACAACAATCAACAATTTCTCAACAACGAGCAATCAAATACGCTTATAAAATGGGTTAATCAGCTCACCGAGCGAGGCCTGCCTCCTACGCGGCAAACTCTTGCAAATCTAGCAAAGGATATTACTGGTGTTGAGCCTGGTAAAAGTTGGCCTGGCCGCTGGCTCCAGAAGCATTCAGATGAGCTCATATATCGATATTCAACTGGTCTTGATATTGACCGGCAACGGGCTGATTCAGCATCAAGATACGAGAAATATTTTGCCAATCTACGTGCTAAAATCGAGAAATATAACCTTCAGCCGGATCAGATATACAATATGGACGAAAAAGGCTTCATGATTGGAGTATCAAAAAAACGCAAGAGAATCTTCTCTCGGAGCGCGTATGAGCAAGGAAAGCAAAGGCAACACCTCCAAGATGGCAATCGAGAGTGGATTACAACAATTGGTTGCATTTGTGCTAATGGGACAGCGCTATCCCCGGGTCTTATTTATATGGCAAAAACAGGCCTTATTCAAAGCTCATGGGTTGAAGATTTTGATCCCAAAGAACATGCCTGCTTTTTTGCATCTTCAGAAACAGGTTGGACTAATAATGAGCTTGGTTTGGAGTGGTTAAAATCTATATTTGACCGAGAGACCAAGCACAAAGCAAGCCGGGGATGGAGGCTTCTTATCCTCGATGGCCATGGATCCCATATCAATATGAAATTTCTTGACTATTGTGATCAAAATCGAATCTTACTGGCCCAATTTCCGGCTCATGCAACGCATACTTTACAGCCTCTTGACGTTGCTTTATTTGGGCCTCTTTCTTACCACTACGGTGTAGCTCTTGATCAATTTATGTATGAGAGCGAAGGCTTCACCCGTCTCCGGAAACGTGACTTTTTTGGCCTCTTTTAGAAGGCTTGGGGCAAGGCTTTTACTGAGCGCAATATCAAATCTGGCTTCCGAAGCACTGGATTGAGCCCTTTTGATCCTGATATTGTTATACGCAAATTTATCAAGAAACCGAATAGCAGGCCCCAATCCAGCAAGTCTACAGCTTCAATTTTTGAAGCAAAAGACTGGCGCCCAATGAGAGCAGCAATGGAGGAGCTTATCAATGATTCTTACGACAAAAAGGCAAAAAAGCTCAAGAATACCATGTACGCGTTTTCCACGCATCTTATTCTTCTTGAAGAACGTTGTAAGGGCCTTGAAAGGACTCTTATAAATGTTCAAAAGCGCACCAACAAGAAAAAACCATTATTATTGGATATGCCTTCGGAAAATGATGGAGGCGCTATTTTTTGGAGCCCTCAAAAGATTCAGAGTGCTCGGGATCTATTACATCAAAAAGATGAGGAAGCTGCGCAGGAGCAAGCCCGTAAAGATGATAAAAAGCTTCAACAAAGGCTCGCAAAGGCAGCTAAGGAGAAAGAAAGAGTCGAAAAGGCTCAAATCCGTCAACAACAGCAAGAACAACGGCAACAAGAAGCTATAGAAAAAGAGCGCTTTAGAGCAGAGCAAAAACTGGCCAAGGCAGCTGATTTACAGCTTCAAAAAGACGTTCTAGCTACTCCAAAGCCTCGCAAGAAGCAAAGGCACCAAATGTCACAGCAATCACCTACGAAGAACCCTCCTACGCCTCATGAGGAAGTTGTTGAGGAAGCTATTCACACAAACCGCCGAGGCCGCCCAATCCGCCTCCCCGTACGCTTTCGCTAACTAAAAATTTGCTTACTAAATTCCTTATATTCGATTTACTACTACACCATAATGTTTAATATATTTTCTTGTTGTGTGCTGTTGTAAAGCTTCAAATCGTAGATATTGTAAATACTCATAATCGTGCACGACGGTGGACCGTGCACAAGGTGCTAAGGGACGGTAATAATATTATTGATTTCTCATTATAACCGTGGCTGGACTGCAACGTACAATCTAATATCGATGAGGCGGTTTAAAGCACGCCACGAAAAGAAATTTAATCTAAGTTACTACATCGTATTAGCATTTATATTTTCCTATTGCGCTAGCGTACTTTTAATTAATATTTAAACCTCACTAGCGTTATTTACCAAGCCAACCACTTGCGAGATACAGGTGCTTATCTATACCGTTCTAATGTACATTTGTATGTTCTTGCGAGGAACCCTTTGCCAAGGTCCACTGATCTTTTCCCGGTGTATCAGTCTCGCAAACGAGAATCAGTTTGGAGTGAATTGGTGAAGGGCATAGACAGAAAATACACGCTTAACTGCCTTTCTAGCAGCTGTGGGGTTGAGCAAAGCGTTAATTTCACTCAGATGTATCCACAAGAAAACCATCATAGTGAGCATCATCAGCGAACCATCAAAAACATACATATACACTTCATATGACACCAGGTAGCCGGCATTTCCTTGAGCATACTCAATAAGACAAAAGATCGAGCGAACTAGGATGAGCAAGCTTCCTATATAAAGAGCCAGGATATGTCTCTCCCAAGGAAGTCATTAGGTGAGCACTTTTCAATTTAGATTGTTCTTCAGGCCGAAATGAAACTTGAGGGTGGTGAAGATAAAGAGAGCAAAGAAGAGTAACTGCACTACCAAGCCTCCAATAATGATTTTCTCTCCTATATAGAGAGACTGTATGTTTCCACTTGCCATTATCCCACCACCTTCCCATGATTAGCTTTTTTATTTCATTGTGAATGTCTTAATAAAGACAAACACTCACTCACCAGCACCTTGCATAAAGAAAGAGGTGATATCCCCAATGAGGAAGATCTTAGTTAACCATTTACACAGGACCAACAAATGCTCTTCACCGTCTGTCAAGATTATGATTCGTCCAAGTTCCATATACACACTCGCTACAAACAAAGTAGGGGCAATCAACAGCAGAAGTGTTTGTTGAATATATGGGCCCATTATCCAGTTCGGAGTTTGGTTTGCTGATTCTATTCACTAAAAGACAACTGATCAATTCGGGAGCAAAGACTTTTCACAGTTTCCAGATGCTACTTACTCCCATATACCCGAAAAACTCAACTGAACGCGTATGATCATTAGATGAAATTTTGCATCAGTCGCTATGATTTTAGACCAACTTACAAAAACCACCTAGCACGAATGGTATAAAAAACCACGTCCGAGTTCGCGCAAGTTGGTATGCATGGATCATAGAGGTCATGAGAAATACAGCACAGAAGACCGCTGCTGCGCCTGCTGATGGATCGTACCTGTACAATTTGAATTTGACGGCGTCTTCGTCTGACATTGTGAATTGCGAACAGAATCAATTATCGCCAGAGAAAGTTAAGAGAGGATTCTGTGCCTAATGCTAGTACTTTGAGTGTGTGTGAGATAGTGTTTGTGTATGTATGGGTATATATACCTCTCCATCATCGATATCGTTTTCGTGTTCGCTCCCGCGTTAAGATGCTGGCTATGGACTCTGGAGCCAGTTGTTGTTGGCCGGTATCTATTTCGGTACACGGAAGACCACCTCAGATCAAGATCAAACATTCAAGCTGTTACTTTCGGTTTCAAGTTAAACACTAAAATAAGACAAGACAATAGTTCTTCTGAGACAGACCGTGAGCCGCCCGTATGTTAAATGATAAACCAAAGTCGACAGGGGCTATTACGTGAGATCTTTCAGGAGACAGTGACTAGCAATGAAAAACAGTGGGGATCTACAAGGGCCCTCTCTCCGGCGAAGATATAGTTATCTCTTCTTATGCCGCTTTCAATAATTGGGGCATTCCGAGCTTCAGCCGCCGTGGAGCAGTTTCTTGGCTTTATATTCGTTCTCGTTTTCGCGTTCGTATCGATTTACAACCAATCAGAAGCTCCTCTCTTTCGTCTCTTTATATATCCGTTTTTCGTAGTGACCATCCCATCCAATCCAATGGTACTGTCCTCTTGCGGGTGGACATTCTCCGATTCGCCCCCAATCGACCCAAGTCCTTAGGTTTCAGGCTCTACGTACGGAGTAATAGATCTTTTGACGCGCGTCCCAGGGCGCTCTCTCAGTTCCCAGTAGTCGTCCTCGTTCTCGTTTTCGTTTTCGCTTTCAAAGGACGGGTGAGATTTAGCAACATTACTTAAGAAGCAAGAAGAAGGCAACTGCCGTTCGAAAGTGCCTTGTCCTTTGAGAAAATGCCGTTTGATTCTTTTGACATCTTTGAAAGCCTCAGTTTCACGCTTCCAAAGAGAGGAAAGAAAAAAGGAAAACAATTCAGTCACCTCTGCAGCACTCGAATATCTACGTTTTGGTCCCTTTGACCATGGATTCCAATAAGCTAGACTTTAAGCTTTACAGATATACCCCTTCAACACCACCGGCGGCGGTATTCGTGGTCTTGTTCGTTCTGACCACGATTTGCCATGTATACCAGCTGATACGAGGAAGGGCGTGGTATTTTATTGCGTTTGTGATCGGAGGCATTTGTAAGTATCTATGAACTCGGACTACCATTGGGTCCTTTAAGGTCACATTTCATGCGATACAGTGTTGAGTAACAACTGATCGCAACAGTTCAAATAATTAGCTATATCTGCCATCTTCTTGCTCATAATCACAAAGAATCGGTTCCTATATACAGTGTAATAACCATCTTGATTCTCCTCACTCCACCTCTATACGCCGTATCGATCTACATAGTATTGGGTCGACTTATTATTTTCCTACGAGCAGAAGAGCTCTCTATAGTCCCAGTCAAATAGATGACGAAAATTTTTGTGATTGGGGACATCGTTGGATTTCTAGCTCAAGCAGCAGGCAAGTCTTCTCTCCCTCTCTAAACAAAGGAAAAAGGAATTAGTATTAATTGATCACGCTCCAGGCGGTGGTATCATGGCTAGTGGCACAATTAGCAGCTACAATCTAGGAGAGCACATTACCATTGCCGGCCTTGCTGTGCAGTTGTTATTCTTCAGCTTCTTCATGGTTACCTGTGTAACCTTCCACTATCGCATTCGAAGAAACCCTACCATGCGAGTGATGGGGACCTCAAGTCGTGGAAATGGCAAAACACAAGGGACGTGGGAAACAGTGCTTTTCGGCTTGTATATTGCAAGTATTCTTATCTTGGTGCGGTCGATTTTTCGTTTGATCGAGTACGCGCAAGGCAACAGTGGGTACCTCATCAGCTACGAGGTTTTTATGTACATCTTTGATGCGGCCTTGATGTTCCTAGCCATGCTGATCATGAATATCGCTCACCTGACGAACCTGCTAGTGGGCTCACGGAAAGAGCACCATGATACCCAGATGGAATCACTGGACCATTGACATTGTTGATAACCCCCGCGTCTGAATTCTCGTTTGCGTCTTGTCTCGCTAGTCGATACTTTGGATCTTGGTCTTCATGCAGTATCCGCGTCATGTTTGCGATAAAAGAGGGTTGGGGGGTTCTATTGGAACAGCTTTATACTAGTGCCAACTGTTACAAAACCGGCTTGCATGATAGTAGCAGGGACTAGCTGTTGAAAGGAAACATTATAATAGAATGATTAAGTCTATAATTCGTCAATTCTATAACTAGATATATCAATTCCCCGGACTGGGGAGAATGCACACCTGACTTCCTGATCATATCACCAGACTCTCCTCCGTATCGCATTAGGTGACTCCTTCCGCGGTTATGCCGAAAGTCATAGAAACATCTTCATGGGTGAATTAAGTGAAATAGAAATAGACATCTGTTTCTAATATATGTGATCTCTATCATTGAAGATTGACTACCAAGGAAGTCTACATATCTACTGACATTGAAAATGTTCAAGCAGAATCTCTACCAAGTATTTCTCGGGCCACCACACCAGATGGATACAACCAACCCGAATCCGACAAGAATAAAAGGTCTCGTTGGAGAAGGAGAGCTTGGTGACCCTCACTGTTTAGGTAGTCATCAGATGGGCGGAGTTTTGCCACCCAAGCCGAACTGGCAAGTAAAGATTATCTAGAGAATATTCTAGATCGGGAGGCTGTGAGTCACACCCAATCTTGGGGATCTCCAACAAGACCTGAGTTGAAACTATATAAACACCCCAGGTTGCTCCGAGATCGATCTTTCTAGACTGCGGACGCTCATGGTCTTGCTCTAAATGAACAAACGTGCCCGAACAACTACTATCTCTCCAGAGAGGACGTCTGGGGGTCCAAAAAATCTTGTCCAAGACTGTGATGAGATAGAAACCATTACCAAGAGGGCGAGCGGTTCAGAAGAGTTTTCACGACCTGCGATTGGTACCATTCTTGCCGCATTCCCCGTGAAACCATCCGAACATGGGTATTTTGGAATGGAAATCAAAGATGTCTCTATTCGACCTGTATTTGTCAAATCGGTAGAAAGGGGTCATGAAGAAGGTGGTTTTGTACAGCAAACCAACCATCCCAACCTCCTGAATCTTCTGGATTTTTCGCTCGAGGGGAATCAGGTTCACCTGAGCTACGAGAGACCAGGGATATCCTTAACAAGACTGAAGCAATTTGAAATGATTGATCACATTGCAGTGGCGACCATTTGCAAAAAGGTCCCATGGCGCGATTGGATATGTAATGTGACAACTAACAAATATATAAGTAATACATAGACTAATCTATATTCATAACAATCTCAACATCAGTCATGGCAATCTACACTATGACAATATATACAATAACAGAGATAAAGAGATTAAAATTAGTAAATCATTCCGGCAAATCGAATCATTTTGATCATTCCACTGATACCCCAACAGGAGATATCAGAAAAAGCATGATACAGGCATAGAAGACTAAGGATGTTTCACACAACATAAAAGCCATTTACTATATTACACATAGTCTACTTAACCTCTAGAATAGCCCAGACAAGAAGAGTATATCCTAGAAAATAGCTGAAGCCTTCATCAAGATGCCAACCAACACAGACCTCCACAGCTTTCTCAAAGTAAGTACAGATGTTGGACCACAAATCTTAATTTTATAAGGCTAACAGCTATATAGCACCCTTTCGTCAGAATAAGTCAGGATTCATGGTATTTATCATATCTTGGTAAAACACTTTCATTTCACCTTCAAACAAGGGACATTGTTCAGAAAGCGTAGATACCCGGGATGCCCCAGGATCTGGATACAGGGTCAGGCCAGAAACGTAGCAAGTCAAACTCAGTCATCCCCTTCGAGTATGTTCATGATGTCATCATTTGCATTGTGCATTTCGCACTCACCGGTGTCATAATATCCATGAAGATCATCAAGGAGCTTCTGTCTGTCTCTTACTTAGGATATGTTGAGGAATTGGAAATCCCAGATCAACAATCGGTCCAATACTGCAGGTCATTGCAGTCGAAGTAGCTTGTTTGAATTGGGTAGGGAGATGAAAATACCAAGAGATCCATATCCACAAGACAACGTCTCGCGTGTACGATGTGGGGATGTTCATCTCTAAGGCATTCATCCATTTTTCGGCTAAAACATCTCTCATGAAGGCTCAATTGGAGTAGTATGGTTAGGATGAGAGTATCGGAGAGAGAGAAAGAGAGGTTCCATGTTGGACGATGGCAGCTTATTTCATGGAGCTACTAAGAGCCCTACATTATTCTGGAATTATGTGATTGAATGATCACGTTCCTCGCGAGATAACATTATTGCGATATGGAACAGGATAAAGTATCTTCGGAAAATTGTTCCTGCAAAGTTTAATGTAACTCGTAGGAAGCTGATATCACGCTTGTATCATGCCTTCGACTTGGTTTGCCCCTTCGATTGGCTTTAGGTAAGCAACACGCCTCTTGATGAAGGCCTCAGCATCGATTTTATCGCCCTCAAGTCTGGCCGCCCCTCCATCCAACGTTCCAGACTTAATAGACATTATTTCTGGCGCCGAATCAGGCTGACCATAGAGGGACGATCCACAATCTCCACAGAAAAAGGTGTGATACATATATCCAGAGTCCGCCATATACTGGCCAGATTTGGGAGTGCCTGTAAAAGAGTCAGGATTTGTCCCACATAATATTATGCGCGAGGGGGGAAAGGCAACTTACCCGATAGGATCTCAAATGAAGATCGCGGAATGATAAAATTGGTAGTGGAGGCTCCACCGCTGAACTGTAACGCTGTCAATACTCTACCACTTTTGAGATCGGGGACATTGAAAAGAGTTAGATATAATTATCAGTAATGTATTTACCTTCTGGCAATTCAAGCAATGGCAAACTGCCTTCACGATGGGCTCAGCTGCGAAAAAAAAAAAAAAGAGATTAATAGCTTCGAAGTAGAGTCAAAGACGTTGTTACACTTACCAACAGCCTGGTACTTGATTTTGCCGCACATACAGCTTCCAGTGAGAACCATTTTGGCGGTGTTGATTGTATATCAATCAATGAGTGTTTGAATCATCTATAAAGACTTGCAAGTTATTTATACTTATAGGGTAAGCTGACGTTTATATACCCTAGAGTATAAATTAAATTTTGATGTGTTGAAAGGGCAACAACTATTATTCACCGAGTCTCGGCGAAAGAAGTGGTTACGACAAACACCGTCATGGATTCTGAAAAATATTGTATCGCCCCGCACAGCCAAGAGGCAACAAGCTCCGGCAGCGTTCCGCCATGCACCCATGCACCCTGGCTCCCATGGAAAAAAAGGTCCTTCCCATAATTTCAATGGGACTGTAACTGTGATTTGAGGCAATAGGCAGTTATCCTCCGACCATTTCAGTTTGTGCCGGTGTTTGATCAGGTCGGTGTTTGATACCCGATCAAATGCCGATTCAATTGCCTTCGCTGACATCATGACCACATACCGTGGGGACTGATGGACATCGGTCAAGGAGGACGGCCGTAGGTTTATATAAACTTACAGCTCGTTGTGTTTAAGAAACAGAGAAGATAATGACGCATCTTATATTACAGCTCTCAGGTATCTCTCAATTCTTGTGTTCGGAAGGCAGATCTGACTAGCCACGATGGCCGCAGTTACAATGAAACAGTGGACTATAGCCCATCCAGACAAGGACTTCAGTGGCATGAGCTTGGTGGAAGCGCCTCTTCCTAAGGTTGGCAACCACGAAGTGATGGTAAAAGTCCAAGCAGCAGCTCTCAATTACCGGGACTGCGCTATAGCCAAGGTAAGACCATCGTGCCTGGCATGGTTCCAAACCCATGCTGACTAAGACCGCCGGAAGGGAACATTTCCCTTTGCCCATAGATATCCTATCGTCCCCGTTTCAGACGGAGCCGGGGTGGTCGTCGAAGTTGGCTCCCAAGTGAAAGAATTTAAAAAAGGCGATAATGTGATAACCGTCTTCAACCAAGGACATCAGTACGGCGACATCGATCCCTATGCTGCGTCAACCGGAGTAGGCGGGACTATTGACGGCGTCTTTCGCCAGTATGGAGTATATGACGAGTCAGGATTGGTGCAAGCACCCAAAAATTTGAGTGCTCTGGAGAGTAGCACCCTTCCAGGGGCGGCACTCACAAGCTGGAATGCTTTATACGGCCTCAGACCCCTTAAACCAGGACAGTATGTGTTAGTCCAGGGGACGGGGGGTGTCAGTGTCTTTGGGCTGCAGGTATGCTCATGGTCCATCTGCTCGACCGGATTTATTCTTGATCCGAGCGACCTAGAAAACGAAGACTGACAAAAATAACCTGGCTTGCAGTTAGCTAAAGCCGCAGGTGCAACTGTTATCGCCACAACTTCTTCAGAGGAAAAGTCGAAGAAATTGAAGGAGCTAGGCGCTGACCACGTCATCAACTACCGGAATGTTCCAGATTGGGGTGAATTGGCTCGTCAACTCACCCCAGGCCAATCTGGAGTTGACTACATTTTGGACATCGGAGGCACAGACACACTTGAGCAAAGCCTTAAGTGTATTAAGATGGATGGTATTATTAATCTGATTGGCTTCCTAGGCTCAAGTGATAAGCCTCAGCCCGGACTTATGCTCGCGTTGGTCAACATCTGTACAGTCAGAGGTATCTACGTCGGTAGCCGTGCCATGCTCAAAGACATGGTTCGTGCTTTTGAGGCGAACGAGATTCATCCTGTGCTTGACCAAAAAATCTTTGATCTCGAACAGGGTAAACAAGCTTTTGAGTACTTGGTAAGCCTTCCAAAGTCCTTTTGTCCGCATGTGGGATTGTATGCTGATTATATGTGAAATAGGCAGCTCAAAGGCATTTCGGTAAGGTTGTTGTTAATATCAACTAGGCAAAATATTGGACAGTTACCTACCGACGGATATAGCCATTCTAGGTTATTACGGATGATATAAGCGAGGGGAAGCGTGGGATTTCGTATATTGCTTGCCGATTAAATTGGCCTAAATTTGCCTCAACTTGAATCCAGATAACAGAATTTGGAATGACTATCTCAGCTATCCACAATCCTTTATTTCCACCCCTCATAGCCCCTCCGATCAAAGATGTTGGAGTTTCATGTTGAAAATTATACAGCTATGTGGAATTTCATGTCCAATGCACCCGCCATCGTCCTTCCTGCAGTATATAAACCTTGTCATTTGACACGAATTCAGGTAACAAACACTTTGCACGAAGTTTGCAGTTTTTTCCAGCTCCGGCAGCATTTCCCATCAGGGTCTCAACTTGGCGCACCACATACTCCTGAAGTATATAACCCGCAAATTCCCTATATGTTCACTCTCCTCAAAGACGACCTTCAGCAGCCCACAATATTAGCGACTCTTTTTTCAAAAATAGTGGATTCGATCAACTCACCCGCAAGGCGAAATGACGCTAATGCATTTAGTTAAGGATACAACCTGCGGGACAGGTAAAACGATAAACTAAAACATGGGTGAGGAAGAATGCACTGTGGTCTTTTTGGATGATTATTCCATAAGGCATATAGATGGCGGGGTGACCTCCTAGTTGTTCTTCTATCCTATGACAGTGGAGAAGCGTCCACGTGTGGAATACTACCCATCGCTTCGCCTCCCCCCACCTGGCGGTTGGGAGTCGGCCCGGGCTCAAGGGCCAAAAAAGATGAAGCATCGTGTAAAAAGATTTGACAGTCCACCAACGCTATATAAATGTCATATAAAAACTAGACATACACTAAATACAAGCAATGTTTACCAACTTCCCCGAGTATCAATAAAAAAACCGAGGTCTTGAGACTCCGTTGAGGCCCGCTCTTCCGCTGGCTCCTCCGCGCCGAGGACGTGCCTCTTATGAATCCTCAATAAATCACCATCATGACGGCGTTTTATGAGGCGATTCGCATCTTTTACGTAGAGTGCACCACTGGTTTTAACCTGCCGTTTTGTAATTTTTTTATTCTTGCGCTCTACGGTTGCACGAACCTTCGCAAAGCTCTCACGGTGTAGATCGCCTAATTCGGCTAAAGTAAGGCTGCCTTGATTAACCACTTTTATACGCCGTGAGAGGCCTGAACTTGCTTCGTCTAATATATTCTTTATACCGTCAATTGATTTCTCAATCTTATTGATGTAGCGACGTAGTGCAGTAGCGGTTGACGTTGGCGAGATTGATTTTGTGGCTGGAGAGCTGGGAATAGTGTCATCTGCTTCACCATGAATTTTTAGCGTATCTCCCTCAGCAACCATAGCCTCAAAAGCTTCTTCTGGTGAAGGCATTTTATCGAGTATAAGGCTTGGATTAATTGGCCAAATCCCTCGTTCTCTCCAGCCATTCCGAATTGTACTTAGGGTTAAGGTTTTGAGCCGAATATCATGCAATTCTTCAAAAAAGTCGTTTCTATCGAAATCAAAGCCCGCTAGGCGCGCAACTTTGTTCACAACCCTCCCATGAACATGCTTATATTGCTGAAATGGGACTCCATCAAGAGGTTGTAAAAAATGCGTAGAATGCGCAGGAAATCGGAATGGCCGGATGTGAAAGATTTCACAATATTCAACAAACTGCATAGTAAGATGAGTTGTATGATTATCCATGAGAAGTAAGCGCCACGGAGGCCCTAATTCTGACGGCTTTGTAAAATGATGAAAATGTTGAAGCCATTCAAATGCAATCTCATCCGTTATAAATCCATTCTCTGCAGGTGCAACTAGCCAGTCGTCATCTTTGAGATGGCTATACCATTCCTCCATATGGACTTTGCCTTTTGGAATCAATAATGGTGGTATAATCTTTCCTTCAGCGTTTATACACTCAATGACAGTAATTGATTCCCGAGAAGACAGGCTAGAGACTCTTGATGTTTTTGGGTATGCTGTAATGACTGCTTCGTCTTTTCCACGTCCGACAATGAATCCGGTCTCGTCAAAGTTCCATAGATTTTTGAGGGCGAATTTTATAGTCTTGTATAGCGATTTTGAGATTAATAAACCAGCGCTCAACCTCACCGTAGTGCTCCGAAGCAGTACGATCCTTTTCTTGAGGCTTTTGTACAATTCGTACGTACTTTTCTGGTAAGCGGTCTTGAAAGTCGTACGTCCACATTTTCCCAACGCGGGGAGGCTCTTCGGAGCCAGTGAAATCTTTAGCAAGCAAATAATTCGCACTTGCCTCAATTTGATCGCTTGTAGGTGACGCACCTATATTATCTAGATACTCAAGCCATAGAAAAAGAGCTTTTTCTTGATCTAAAGATAATACGCGGTTGGTTGGGGGGCGTGTTGAGCGAGAGGGTAGGCCATTCCACCGACGGGAGAGCTTTTTGCGAGACACCCCATATTTACGCGATAATTCGCTAAAATTCGGTTTTTTTTGTGTTGCCACGCGCTGAGGATCTCTGCGATCAAAGCCTCCTCCGTTTTGTATAGGCTAGGGGTCATTTTGGCAGTGTTTTTGACGTTTGTAAATGATGGGTTGAGATTTTGAAGATTTTGGCCCTTGAGCCCGGGCCGACTCCCAACCGCCAGGTGGGGGGAGGCTGCGGTTGGGAGGCGAAGCGACGGGAACGTAGGTTAAGTAGAGGTCTCTTTTGGGTTCCCACCTTTTTGCCCCTGCCTGACCTGGTTGGGCCGGTGAGACGAGGGAACCTGAGTTAGCCCGCAGGAAAATCCACAAGCGCAACTGAATCCACTCCATCCAGAGAGTTGACCGCGAGTGATTTGAAGCTTAATGGAGTTTGTAGAGGTCCTCCATGATCAGTTCTGTTTTTGCCACAAGTGGGGACGTGCCGTGCCTGTTGCTCTGATTCAATTGAAAGATGCAGGCAGTAAACCCACTGCAAATGTCACGTGGAGCGGCGGGGAAAAGTATGAGGCAACTTGGCCTACTAAACTAAACTTCCTCGAATCTTGTCTTTCCGGTAGGCAGGTTTATTAAAATGCAGCCACTGACTTCTTTTACGTCTCGACGAGCCCGAAGACCGCCAGTGAGGGCGGCCTGTTTAGCCTGGTTTTCACCCTCTCTCCTCTGGAGGTTCTAGTACTAAGAGTTGCTAGTCGTTCTTCCAAGACGCGTTGTGATGGATGTGAACCGTGCAGCAGTGTGAGTCAAGATTGGGAATACAAACAATAGACCGAAAATTGAATATCCTAACCTATCATATATGTAATACTTATAAACGTGCAGTGCTGCAAGAGGAGCAAAGAGTGCCATTACCAGGCCAGTCGGCGAGGTGGTCCGCGAAAGGGTGCCAAATACGACAATTCGAAGAGGAATACGGACATTGATGCCTCCCGGCTTCCACAGGCACCAACCAATTCCGTTGGCTACTCAGGTAAGATGGATACCCGTATGTCCATATCCGCCTCTGACCGAAAACCAGTGACAGCCCCTGGGAGTCAAGCAGACCCCTTGAACGTCTCAGGGCTCGTCAGTCCGTCCAGTGGAATCCAGAACTTTGTCAACTTATCGGGTATCCTTTCAGTGACTGATGGTGTTTGTCGTTGCTGGAATCAACTATACCCAGATGAGGGACAGCCAAATCATGAGACAGCTGCTCCTGGGAACCCGACAGCTTTAACAATGCGAGCATATGAAAACGAAGCAGATATGTATGTAATGCAGTCAGGTCAAAGACAAACAGGTATGGCTGACCATTTTTTCCGCTTTCTTTGATCCTTTTGAACAGTCTCAACGCGTATTACGCTTTCATTCATCCATACCTCCCACTTTTGCCCCCACCGGTGGTCCCACAATATGAGGATTGTCCGGTAATTGTACGTATGCAGGAGGAGAACTTCACTTCTCCCAGCAGGACGGTTGTGCCGTACTGGCCGGTGTCGCCACTCAGTCTGGCATTGAGCTCTATATTGGTGCTTATCCCACCTGCCCAGGATGTATATTCTGCATCCAAGACAGCTCTGAGACGGGCGTATTCCGAAATCTATGCGAGCTCTGCTCTTGAAAGTGTCAATAGAGAAGTTGAACTTCTTGGATTGACTTCGGGAGTGAGTAGGTCGGGAACTAATCTTTCACAGTGCACGCGCCGCCCATTTCATCCAAACGCACAATTGGAGCTTGAGGCAATTCAGGCTCTTGTCACTTTGAGCACATATGAGTACTGCCAGCGCGGTAACATCTCCAAGATGCGCCTCCGGACAAATCAGGCGGTTACGACAGCAATGGACATGTCGCTACATGATCTTGGCAAGGAAACTATTGAGATACCTGAGGCACAAAGGCGTGCATGGTGGATGACGGTAATAATCTCATATTCAAGGCTTTTGGCTACCTCTAACCAGAATTCCAGATGTATATGGCCTATTTCTCCTCAGTTTTGAACGTCTCCGTGAGCTGCTCTTATGTCAGATCTAGTGAAATACTTATACCTAACTGGACACAATGCCAGCCACCTATTATTTCGGTGGATGATCCAAGAATAACCACACCATATCCCGAATTCCTTGTACCCTTAGAGGTTTGTCACCCTACCTTCTCCCTTGCGTAGCTGTGAGGAGCGTGATTAACTTCTGCAGCCTTGGCCGTTGATTCTAAAAGCGCAACGGGCGCTCTTCAGTTCAACCAACATGTTGAAAGGCTTCGAAGCGGGTTCCAGAGTACTACCGGCTTCACTGTCCGAAGAAAACTTCCACGAACTCAACATGTACTTACAGTCATTAATGGTTGAATCAGATCACCCGCTCCCAATGATGGACCGGCACGATGCAGAAGCATCTGCGGTGGAAGGTTTGTGGATCATCGCTCGCATCTTGATTCACACGTAATACCCTGGTCTCCTCGTTACGTAGAATGGAGAGAACTGACTTTATCGTTAGTGCGCGGATAAGATTGCATCGTCTCAAGGCGTTCCTCGATGCCCCGGTCTTTCTGCAAAAATATTGCGGCCTTACGTCGATAGAAGGGCCTGATTCGACTCTCAGCCGCTCCATTAGCCGAATTAAAGAATTGGAGGGCATTTTCCCGTTCACTGAACAACAGTCCTCATCAATATGCCTGACGTCGGCTCTCGCCGTGGCTAGATCGTTCAATCGTCTTCCTACGTCCCTTCCAGATCCCGCTGATTCAGATCCATCTGCCGAATATGTGAGAATCGCTAGAAGCAACAAATATTCAGCGGCATCCCTTCACAGTTGTCCTCAGATGCTTCCTTATTTCGCCTGCTGCGCAATGCAAAGTTGCTATGCTTTGTTGATGGTGCTCTATAAAATACGAGCGTCGAAAGCGTCCAACCGACTGTCGACTTGTTACCACCTGCTAAACAATCCTACACCGGGCACGGAAGTTCAGGATTCTGAAAGGCTCCTAGAGGAAATCAGGCATGCTGTAGAATCACTCAGAATGTCTCTTCTCCAGAATGCAGTGTTCGAAGGGGTTGACGGCATGAGCAGTGAAATTGAGGGTGCACTCCTTGCTGCTTTTCCTTACTGAAACCAAATGTTATTCCTAAAATGTGGCGCACTATGTTGATGGTTGTAGCGGTCATTGGTGGACTGCAATTGTGATAAGAATTGGAAGCGGATAGTTAGTCTTCGAGCAGATGCTTGCAATTCACAAGTACTTTTGCAATAACAAGTAAGCTAGAATAATAAAAGGACTACTTCAATTTTGTAAGGGTCAGCGCATAGCACTGCGGACTCTGCTATCTAGGCTGACTATATTCTATTGCTGTAGTATTTCATACTCTTAAACCATACTGCTGCACCGCCAGAGTCCCCTAACCGGTACGATACACGTACTTGAGAGGCAAATTCTTATGTGACACGAGCCGGTAAAATGCCAAAAAAGAAGCCCAAAGCGGGTTCGCCAGTTCAGGAATCATAAGCCGCCTTGAACTCTTCGCTGAAGTCGTAGTCAATATAACCACGGCGTTCCTGGCGCGAGTAAAAGCCATCTCTATCATAAGGGCGCAGGTCAATACCAGCCATAATCCTGAAGGGTAAATCAGGGTTTGAGGTGAATGGCCTGCCAAACGCAAGGATAACTTCGTGGTTCTTATACTTCTGGTCAACAGCTTGTTTGGCTGAATTTGCCGTGTAGCCCCCAGCCACCACAATAGGGCTGGCATCGCCATATTCGTGAAACAGGAAAAGCAACTCTTCCGCCGATTGGGCGTCCGCATCACCAGAAACCCGAGATTCGACTAGATGCACGTACGCAAGTTTTAGCTCAGCCAGTTTCTTGACCAGATAGGCGAACTGAGGGATCGGATCGCCCATGCGCATGCCCAGGAATGTGCTCCAGGGACCCAAACGCAGAGCAGTTCTGTCAGCTCCGATAACGTCAACAACAGCGCGCGTCACCTCAAGCGCAAATCTTGCACGGTTCTCAATACCTCCTCCCCATGCGTCCTCGCGCTTGTTACAGGTATCTTGTATAAATTGATCGACTAGGAAACCATTCGTTCCATGAATCTCTACACCGTCAAAGCCCGCTGCGACAGCATTCTTAGCGGCTTGAGCGTAGTCGCTAATATATTGCTGGATCTCAGCCTCAGTTAACTCCCTAGGTGTAGGGGAGTTGCTGTTCAGTGGGGATGCGCTGCTAGAAACCAAGTCATAACCTTGAGCCTTAAGGACCTCAGCGTCAGCAGCACGTCCCAATGACCATAGCTGAAGGTAGACATAAGAGCCGTTGGCATGTACCGCGTCCACCACCTGTCGCCACGCGTCAATCTGCACATCGTTGTAGATTCCCGGAACGTTGGGGAAGCCTCCAGCTTGCGGACTAACGAAGGTAGCTTCGGTGATAATCAAAGTGCCAGGAACGGCAGATCGTTGCTCATAGTAGTCCTTGACGATTGGAAGAGGAACGTGAGAATCGTCAGCACGGAAGCGGGTCATAGGTGCCATCGCGATGCGGTGGGAAAGATGCATACGCCCGACCTTGACAGGGGAGAAGAGTTGGGACGCAGTCATCGTGATCATTCAGGTGAAGTATGGGACTAGGTGGATTAACTCGATCTTGAGAAATTTCAGGAGGTTCTTGGGTCTGGTGCTTTTCCTGTTTTCTTAAATTTCCGATTGTGGAAGGCACCTAAGGGATGCCAAGATCAATCTATACAGAACATTGGACCTCCACACCGAAGCTAATTGATCATTCACCGACATTCACCGAAGATACCCTCACTTATCTCGCGGTGCAGACTATTCAGTCCGGCTGTGTTCCGGGCATTTTATAGATTCTTCCAAGAGAATCTCCCGCATTTGCTGAATCAGATGTCCGGTTATTCTGTTATGGAACTTTGGGGCAGATATTGATATTGTCTCAGTTTGGGTGAACGATACCGAAGACGTTGGGGATGAGCAAATACACCAATCATTAACAGTGCAGTAAACAAGCAAATCGTTAACTCCCAATTTTCGTATATATTCGGCCTAGAACTCTTTTAACATAAAGCACAATACGAAGATCATTGCCTCCACTCTCCGCACAACAAATGCTGAATAATTAGAGTTGCGGTGATTGATGTGCTTGCCACCCAAACAAGTCGAATTTGAGTTCAGGCTCGCAGCGTGAAGACAATGGATTTCCGGCGCTGTTGCTCTGATGCCCAATTAATAGACAAATGTACACCCATTAGGGATTTATTAAGACCAGTCACATCTTCGCAGATAGATATTTATAGGGCATGCTAGGAAGCTCAGCGGTAGGTTTAGGGGAGTTGGCCTATGCAGTACTAGTACAGCGAAACTCTGATATTTGTTGACAAGAGCCAGCTCTCGGTGTTTGAGCATGGTCAAATGCCGTGAATAACCAAGCAAGGGTCGGTTACACTCTATAACGAATACTTATTACTATTAGCACTGGAACCACCTGAAATAATCCCATCAAGAAGAACGGGGCATTTCGGATGTTCGGCTACCAATAATAGTAATAATTTTATATGACGCGGGGATTTCAAAGGCCGAGTGCCAACTGTTTGCTGGCCCAATAATTCGAGTCGGGTTGACTGCTTGACTTGATCGAGCTACCAGCTTATGTTTCATTTTTACTATCGCATTTCACGTGGCATCACCATCGTAACGGCTCGCTCTATGACGACTGATTTGATTTATCAGCGCAAGGATCTCTGATACTACGATATATAAAAGCGCATCACTGGGAGTTCAGAACAAACGCGTTCATCCGCCTACCTTAAAATTTAGTGACGAGTCTTTCAAAAATGACACGTCCAGGTAATAAAAAAGGACCGGGGGGACATCCTTGGATTGTTAATCACTTTTCAGAACGGTGGGTTGCAACTCTTTATTGGGCGTTGCGCTGTTCCGGCATTTTATCCCCAGAGACATGAAGTTGATAGGTTATAGGGTATTGCAGGATCACGGCTCGGCGTGGATTACCCTCTGGGACATGCAACACAACGACATGTGGGATCGTGGAAAGCCTTCGCCAGCGTCAATCGACCTCATTGAACAACGAGGGGATCTATTCCGGCCTCTGGCGCCTGATGGTCGGCGTAAGAAAGCGTTGGTTCCGGTAGGGCATCTATGATTATAAGACGTTGTCTTAGATCCATTTGACATTCCTAGGGTTACTAATATTCATTCCATGAAGGGCAGTGGGCATGGTTACGATGTAGTTATGTTGGCTCTTCATGGTTTCGACGCGTATGGTGTTGAGATATCTGCGACCGGAGTGGCAGCAGCCCAGAGTTACGCCTCAAAGGAACTGCAAAGCCCGCAGGCGCAAAATTTCGGAGAGCAGAAGAGTGGTTGCTCAACAAGCCCAGGCAGAGCCACTTTCATCGAAGGTGATTTTTTCGATTCGGACTGGGAGCCCAGAGCGCTGGAAGGCGGGGAAGCTTACTTTGATATAATTTATGATTATACGGTCAGTAGCGGTTTGCACTTTTTCATATATTTTGAGATAACGAAACCTGATCCCTTGCAGTTCCTCTGCGCTCTGCACCCCGATATGCGCCGACAATGGTCCGAGCGCATGGCTGAGTTGCTGCGGTCGGATGGGTACCTGGTTTGTCTTGAGTTCCCGTTGTACAAGGATCCAGCGCTTCCTGGTCCCCCATGGGGCTTGCAGGGGGTACATTGGAATCTGCTAGTGCAAGGCGGCGATGGTATTGTCAGTACTGGTACAGCCCCTGAGATTGCAAACGCGGGCCAGCTCAGCGGCGCGTTCAAGAGGGTACTTTTTATAGAGCCAGTTCGGTCATATGATATTGGGAAAGGGACAGACATGCTGAGTGTTTACGCACCAAAGTAGTCGGTGTATGTTGTTTTACAGCCTATAGGTGACGGAGAATGAGTTGTCTAAATGAATGGATGATAGTAAGGTTCAAGATTCTGACATCGGCGCTATTCAGACAGTCGGAGTAGAGAGATAACTACCTTACAGACATTTGTGTGGGTAGTTGCTGAAACTGCTTGTGGGTCGCAAGGAAACAGTTGCAAATTCTCTGCCTCTGCCATATCCGTGAACACCGCCATTCCTCGAAGCTTCGTGGAAGACTTACACCATTGTTATCCATTTCTCAAGATGGCTCCCCTCCCAAAAAGTGTCGAGTTTCGTACTGTCGATAGGATTATATTATGAGGTTTGTTCTATGCTCCTATAGGAGATGGAAAGATGCTGTGTATTATTATAATCTATAGGATATTTCTCTTATTATTCTATCCTCTGAGATAGTTATGATTAAGAAATTATTCTATATAGTTTTTTGGCCTTAAGGAGTAATTTCTTTCTGATTTTACTGAGTATTTTTATGATGTAGGTTATATAATATTTATATATAATTACTGTAGCTAGAGTTTGAGTGATGATCTTCTATATAATATAATTAATTTAACTAGATAAGCTATAGACTATTCTAATATATTTGATTATATGTCTTTGCTACTATAAGTAGATCTGATTAAAATTGTGTTTTAGGGGAGTAGTATAGATAGTAGAGTTATTATTTTTATTATAGCTTTTAATAAGTATATTGTTGGGGTTATAGTTTAAGTTCTGTTTGTTTTTAGTAAGGTTATTGATTTCTTTTTATAGATATATTTTCTAATAATATATATAGACTGGAAAAGTATTAAGTCTGGCTATTTTTTTATAATGATTAAAGTTCTTTTAAAGATATCTGAGTCTGCTGAGAAGGGTGATTTGGAGGTTTTAATAGGAAAGTTTAATGTAATTTTATATTTAAAAGAATTAGTTTAATGTGGGTTAAAATAGAAATTAGAAGTAATTTTGCAATTAGTTTTTAATATTTTAATCTTTAAGCTGTAGGCTTTTATTTATTGAATTTCTCTTATACTACTTCTAATGATGGTTGTAGACAAAAACACCATTATGCTTGTTCCTTTGCAGTTAGAAGTGTTTTCCTCTGCTTGTGAACCAAAGACATTGGCTGTTATAAAATGCTAATGAACGAAGTTCAATTTCACAAGACTCCTCGCTACCCAGCTTCACTATGAGCGAGAGCTGGAGTTACTCTCTATCCTGGAGGCTTTGTCTGGAGACATTCCCCTGATCATTGCCACCGTGGTGGAGGGTGCCATGTCTGTTATTCAAGCTGTACTGACTGTTGTTAGCTCTGCACTATAGGCTGTTGCAATGGATGCTGTGATAGCTGTACAGTTAAGCCTGAGTATGGTGATACTATAGAATATGTCTCTTGGACTTGGCAAAGTCTGTTTTGGGTGGGAAAATAACTTAAGCTGGGACTGTCGTGGTCTACTTTTTAATATTTTGTCTGTTGTGCTTGGTATATTGTTGGGAATTCTGAGCTTTTTCATATGGCAGTTTTAATAGATTGAGAATAAGGTGGTATCTGCAATCCTTGAGATAGTTTGGTGGTTATTTATTGTGGGAATTATTTTACTTCTCTTGTTCTTTCTCTTACTTATCTTCTGGGAATTTCTGAATGACATGTGGTGGTGGGCTTTGATAATTTCCATAGGATTTGTCTGCGTGGTTGTGTTATTTCTGATTTTTATGGTAGTTATTTTTATTGTATAGTCTGATATTTGTTATATGATTGAGGATGCTTTCTTGATATTTGTGTAGGATGGTAGTGCTAGTAATCTTATTTTGGTTGGATTTATTTTTTTAGTTCTGATGTTTGGCATAACAGTAGGCATCACCTTAGTTTAGTTCAATGTTGTACTTATTCCAACCCTTCTTTTTCGGCTTTTAGCTAGTTTCACTGCTGCCACAGGGAACTGATGATGCCACAATGTATTGGCGGTACATCACTCTCCCAGGCTAAGGTATGGATTGCCAAGCTAGTCCATACCAGATATCGAGCCGTTCTAGCATCCTAGGATGCTCAAATCCAAGATGTGCCTGTGCATCATTCTTGCATTTTCCATGTTCTATCACGGCTTATCATATTTTCAGAGACTCACAGATAATGGTTCCAGCCACTCTCCATTCAGAATATATGTACATTCCACTGCCAAACTAACCTAGCCGTTTTCCCTTCCGGATTAAAAGATTCGTTGCTGGCATATTACACACTTCCACCTGACTGGATTGATTTGTTTGCCACTCTCTATAATCTTTTTTTCTTCCCTCACCTCCAATGTACAACTGTTTTATGAGCGCGGAATTACTATCCACCATGAATGTTATACATGTTTTTAATGTGCTCATGCTTTTGAAAGTCTCATTTCTTGCAGAGACCATCAATGCCTATGATCAGGTTCGTACATACCATCAACAGATAAAATGTTGCTAATGAATAGGTTAGGTATATGGCCCAATATCGTTCTACGCTTGGGACCAACCACACTGTATGGGCAACTGTATGGTAGTTAATTGGGATGATGCACTACCTTACTACGTTTCGCGAAATGTTTCCAGTCCCTTTGTCGCTCACAGCTTTCGCCTCATTGGGCGGGGACTGACTGGCAAAGAGCAACTTGACCTGTCTGTTGCTCTCAATAGCAGCGATAGACTCTCAGAGTCCGATCCACTTGAAATGAGAAACCCATACTGCACCTAATTCTTACAATCATATACTGGTTTCAATGGTACCATGGATTGCCATGATGTCCCTCCTTTTACGTGTCAACGATTGTGGATTAACAGCGGGTTGCCTGCTGTTTCTCAACTTTCTTCTGTCAAATCGACCATGGCCTCGAGCTTCACCTGCCAGATGATTTCACTGCCAGCACACACCGCATTGCCTACATCGTCCTCATCTGTAAAGGCCATAGTCAGGTCTTCTAGTTCTGGACCAGCACTGCCAGTACACAGTGCATGGCCGAAAGGGTCCTCATCTGCAAACGTCAGGGTCAGGTCTTCCAGTTCTGTACCAGCACTGCTAAGCACTACATCCAAGTCGACCTCGTCGCTAACTCACCTGTCAACCGTCACTGCAGCACCTTTGCAAACCGTAATCCAAAGTGTTCTCGTTGTTCTTAATCCCGAAACCACCTACTCTACAACATACCATTCGACCCTGCGAGATTTTGATAGCCCGCAAACGGTTGGATTTTAGATGCGCACTACCGCTTACCAACAGAAAATCCTTCTACGCAAACTGGTTTACTTGTTGACAGCGTCATGGTCAATTTTTGTTAGTGATAATTGAAGATTAGGTATTGGTTGTTAACAGATCTGGAAAATGAAACCGATGGCCTAAACTGCACCGAAACATAAATTTTTAGCGACCCGTAACTGGTGAGCCGTTACCTGTATCTTGTCGACATGACGAACAGCATCCCGGTCATGCGTAACTATGATTTTTGTTTCGATATCAACCCCGCTAGTGGCTTCGTCCAAAAGAAGAATCTTCGGTTTCTTTAAGATGTTTTGCGCAATTGACAGTCGCTGACGTTGGCCACCTGATTACATTTTGAATCGGGCAGGAATGCTACACGCAAAGGCCAAGAGAGCTGCATAACTGGAACAGCTTTACTAAGACGGAGAGTGGACTTTGAATATGTTGCGGTGAATCTTGTCTACGTTGCAGTATGCTGGGTCGGAGTTCTGCCGCACAAACAAATGGCCAAAAAGTTGCTCCATGAAGAAGAGAATACTTGTTAGAATGGCCGAGAGAAATGAGGATTTCTTGCGGCTCAAGACAATGGAGATTTGAAGGAAGAGAACGAAGTTACTAAAATTACATCAAACTGGCAAAGGACATCGACGGAAAGGTAATCTACATGTCTCCCAACTATTCTCACGCAGCCTATTTTTCGATATAGACAAAAGGGGTTCCCTTATCCCAAGCGATTCCTTTTCTGTACGTTTTTGTCTAGCCTCCACGCCAACTCCACCAGCCAGTAGCTTTTTCTTTCCAAACACACGAACTCCGTCTGGTCTTTAGGGGCCATCGTCAGATATTGCCACGACGATCCAAATAGATGCGTAATTTTTCGATCTTCTTCCTGTATTCTATACCTGAATCAGATTATGTCTGATAGATTTTGACTGGCTAGCTTACCAACTGTGTCCCCTAACATCCCTGGATCTGACGGCGGCCACCCGGCCGGCAATGACGAGGAAGCGCCAGCACTGGTATGTCATCTCTCCTTCCATGTCAATAGCGTTTTGGTGTGAGTTCTCTCAGGCAATAGCTGATCACTAGGACTAGCTGTTGACTGATCATAGCGACGAGAAGGGCTAGGAGAACGAGGCGGCATCTGCGTGGCGCCAATGTGTTCACTCAATGTATCTCTGAAGAAGTCTCTCTCATTATGATAAAAGTCTCTTTCTTTAGTTAAGAATTGGAGTTATTCATTGAGCTGGTTGACCCGCTGTTTAAGAGCAGCCTCGTTCTTCTTTTGGTTGCGAAAACTTCTTGAAGTATTACTGTTTGTTTTCTGTTTTATGGCTAGGCTTCTTGGTCCAGATCTCAAGTCAATGGTGACTGGTATCTTAGTACTGCCATCGTACTGGGCATAATTGCCTGCTTGACTGAGTAAGTCGGTTGAATGGTGAGAATGTTGTTGAGGCGGCGGGTTCTGGCCGGGGGTTGAGATGACCAATTTTGGTAAGTAGATTGAGTGCTCAGTGGATGTTGCCGTCGAACATGATGATACTAGTCCGTGTCTTGGAGTATTGTAGATGTCTGCAAATGACTGGTGCACAGATGGTGATTGAGATACTGTGACTTTTTCTGCACTAGTACCACTGTTGCTTGCGACGGACCCAGTACTAACATGATTATTTCCACCGACACCAGCGTGACGCAGAGCAGGCAAGACGGGTGTAATAATACGACGAGGAGGGTGAGTTGGTGAATCGAACGATCCTCCACGATATGGTTTGGCACTGATCAACTTCGAGATGGGAAGGGGTGAAGAAGAGCTGCGTTGTGGAGGGGCCGGAGGTACTGTAGGAGGAGTTCGAAGCAGCTCCACGGTCGTGTGGGTGCTCTTGTTGTTGCTATCTTGGGTAAGTCGTTTGTCAACCTGCGAGTTATCACCCTCGGTGGGATTCAAGAGGGAGTGAACTCCAATAATTGAACGGGCCTGTGTTGAAGATGTTTGTTGGATTGGCTGCTTGAACAAATGATCCTGCTTGGCTTGTTAGAGCTATGTATAGAATGCATGATGATTATGTACCTATATTAGTCTGGAGATGAGAAATTATGATTGTACAGATTGTGAGGACAATTTTAAGGATTGGTCATATTCATGTTGCATATTGTGCGTGTATGGGCTGGCGCTTTTATATGTCGCAGTCAGGGATACGCTGTGACTATGATGTGGACGTTTATTCTAAAGTGTGAACTGGAGGTCTGGCTTTAACTAATTTAGTCTCTCCTAATGGTTTTATCAAATTACTAACTGTCTTAATTTCTTTGGTGGGAATCTATTATACCATTCCCAAAATTGGAATCTCTTAGCTTGTGTGATATGCAGCATGCATGGTCTATTTATTTCTACTATGGTGGATGACTAGTGAAGCTCGAGCGCTGTGTAAACAAGTTATTTTTATAAATCTAGTGATGTAGTATCCTAGTTTGGGCCACTCCTATCTGCTGAGTCCAGGGATTTCTTTATGAATATTGACTGTCTATGTGGCACACATGTGATTGCTAGCTACTGCTAATCTTATAAATAGATATTGCACTGTGGAAAGATATTAATAGTAATATTTATGGTTAATGTAGAGAAATAGGAGAGAAAGTGTCTATGTTTTATTTAAAGGTCCTGCCGCAAAATCTTTTGAAAGTGCGAAAGAGAATATTGATAATAAACTAGAAAGGAGCATTAATTGATAAGGATTGAATTATTATTTAAAGATTCTAAAACTGAATTGCTAAAGATGCAGCTTGAAATATTTATAATATGATGTAAGTAGGGATGGAATTTAGAGTGTTTAGGAAAAAAGAAATATCTGTGGGTATTGCTGAGTTTTTAGTAAGATGTGGAATATCTGATTATTTATATGTCTGGTTTGATATTATCGCTCTTGCGCTAGTATATAGTGTGTGGGGGACCTAAAGAGTAAGCTTGGAGAGGCTGGCTATATATGTTCGCCTTTTCATGACCTCGACGATCTGAAAGGTCGGGGACAGTGAAAGGTTGAGATGAATAATCTACTTGAGGTGACATTAGGCTACCAGCTCCATGACTGTGGTCGACTGGAGAACCCTGACATGCGGGATATGTACCCGTAAAACCAGCGGGAGGACTCGCTTGCGGATGAGCTAGGCTAACAGCGTATAGATGGCTTGTTGGACCGGTCACTATGAAATGGTCGTGTGTGGAAGTCAATGGCAGGGCTGGTGTTGGTGCATAGGCGAAGGGAGGATGGCCGAATTCAGGCGGCGTGGTCTGCATCGGGTTCGTAAAGTTGAGATTGGCACGCATTTGGAAGCTTGGGACAGTTTCTTGCGGCGGTACTTGCTGGGGTACACTATCCATCTCTAAAGGGCTCTGAACTTCAAGATTCTCTTTCCGTGGCGAGGAACTGACGCTCTGAGGAGGAGTCATCACTTTGGGTTCTGATTCATCCTCATATTTGTCGTAGTTGGTAACATAAACTTGGATGGTTCCGTCTGGGCATAATCAGCATTCTGTTGCTTGATGAAGTTCTCTATACATACCAATTTCCATCCTCAAGTACTGCTTCTCAATCTTTTTAATGTGGATTATTTCATCTAATATTGCAGTTTTTGCCTTATGGTTATCTTCAGGTATAAGATGTCTCCTGATGTCGCTGACAGCTTCTTCAAGTAACTCTACTGTTACTCCCTTACGAAGCAGGTTTTGGACAAGATGAACGAGAAGCTCCACACGTTCTATATTTCGTTGGTCAGTGAATCAGTTAATTGGGACTGGGTAATCAACAGATCTTACCTGGTTTTCGAAGATGATCGGGCTCCCTGTGTCTAACATCGTGAGGCCACCAATCAGGCTTTGTGCCTTCGCCACCTTTGTATGGGTACCCGACCTGCTTACGAGGCTCGATAAGTTTGATAAAGGTTTTAGCCAGTAAGCGGCAGTTGAGTTGTTGCAATTGTTTGAAAGCCATGGTGTAAAACTTGGTGACTTTCTTCGTGTCCGCAATTTGTAGGGGAGACTTATTGTCAGAATCTCCATAGGCTTCAACAACCTCAACATTTAGTGGCTTATCGCGATATCCAGTCCTTCGCCGCTTTGATCGTCTCCCGGGATGATCGGTAGTATGCGGAGAAGGTAAGGAATCCTGTCCATTCGGCCTAAGACCTTGTGCGAATGCGAAGGCGTCTCGTGCACGCAAGTCGAAAACAGGTACAGGCAAATTTGACATTTCTCTGAGGTTAGCCACAACGCTGTTTTTGATATAGATTAACCTTCAGCAATGATGAATGTGACAACGATGGGAAAGGAGAAAAGGCGGTAAATGGATACGCCCGTTAGCGATTTTGGTTGGAACAAAGAAAGCTAAACAAGGACCGGGTTGGTTGGTTTGAAGATTCCCCTAGCAAGTTGACTGGCTGCATATCATGAACATAGCATGCGAGTCACATATGATGTATCACATTGCTATCTGAGATGACGCTTGCTTCCAATCATAATATTTTGCAGTCAGTTGCCGCAAATCTCCAGGGGATGGTCACACAACGCTTTCAGCATAGCTGCTCTCTGTTGCCAGGGGTGGTTTGGCCGAGCTTTCGCGTTTACAAATAGTTTAAGGTCTGATTGAATGTACTGTAGTAGACTGCATTTCGGCTACAATCAGCAGCACGCGCAATCTGAGATACAGGCTCAACCAACTTCTAGGCATATCGCATAGGAGTTGACTGTTGATCGTGGAAGGGGCGGTGCCATAGTAAAAGGCTGTTGAGAAATTGAGTGGGAACGCGTATTGTATTGTATTCAAGTGTGTCTAGTAGAATGAAAGTATCCGGCATAGGTGTGCCATACATAATGCAGCGCAGTCCTGTGCGCGCTAATTTAGTATGGAGTCCTCTTGGCAAATCCTTTATCGAGGAAATCCAGCTATCCAATGAGGGCATACGAGTGGATATATGCGCTGCGCTCACCGTATTCGGGATAGCGGTATAGTAAACTTGTCAACTTGCTATGATATACGAGAAAACAAGTAGGAAGTATATGATATACAATATATGGAACTGGGAGGACTGGATATATAAGGGCACTCATTTACTACCATGTATTTAGTTCTTCATAGCTCTTTGACATAAGTTACTGGAATACTACAGTGAGAGTCAGCAAGGCATTCTAACTCGTACGGGCACCAGGCTGTACGGGGGATCTCTTCTATCTTAGTTACGTTTAAGACTTCCACATATCAGTTCGACTATTGTTACTTCGTTCACTCAAGCTACTTTATCGACCAACTGCCCAAGGAACCTTTGTGTGGTTCAACCAAGCCTAGCGTATCTCGACACAACGCTGTTTAACTAAGGTGGATCCAGGTCCGTGACATCTGCGCTGCATTATGTATGGCACACCTATGCCAGTTACTTTCATTCTTTTAGACACACTTGAATACAATACAATACGCGTTCCCACTCGATTTCACAGTTATGTATGGCACACCTATGCCAGTTATTTTCATTCTTTTAGACACACTTGAATACAATAAAATACACTGTCCTACTCGATATCTCAGTTTGTTATTCGAACTGTCAGATAATCCGGGTGGATACAGCCCACGTAATCAATCGGTATAAAATAAATCAAATTTATGAGGATAATAATCCCAATCATACTGTATAAACGGTGACCGTCTCGCACTTTATCAACTAGGGGAATTATCTTCCTTTTTGAAGAATTGCACCCTCATGTTTACACGTGCTTTTTATATAATTGGTCAAGATCCTGGCGCAAAGTACTGCCCAATCGGATAACCGCACGAACTAACATGAACGACAGCGGGGTAATCAACAGACGGCCTGGTGGCTACCCTTCAACTTTGAAATCATTTTGGAGTTCGAGTTTCATTTAAAGCACTCTTTTGGTCCTTCATAATGGCTACTGGCAAAGTGCTAGAAACCGGGTTAAGCGTTATATATGATCCGCCGAACGAAGCGCCGATCGCTGAGTAAGTAAAACGCCTCCGTTGAAACTACCCAGTAGCGTTGATCGTCTTTTTGAAGCATCATCTTTGTCCACGGGCTACAAGGACATCCCCGTGATACCTGGTCATATGTCAAACCCAAACCTATCTCGCCTTTGAGAAATCGCTCGCCGAGCACAGGGTTCAAATTGTCGAAGATAACGAAGTTTCTCTCAGGGAAGGACAAGAAATTGCTAGCGGTAGATGGGAGTGAAGCTACAGATGGAAGGGACGATGACGTGGCGGAAATAGGTACATTCCTCAGTTTTGATTTCTCATTTTGCCAAAAAGGTGCCATGACACCTACTCGGAGCTCTACGTGTTGGCATTCTTTTATATACTTTTAATGCCTAAGTGGATAGATACAGTTTGTTCGTCGTTATCAGGTTTACTAACTGGAATGGAACCGAAGGCGTGTTTTGGCCTCAAGATCTATTGCGACACGACTGCGACCGCGCACGAATCCTGACATGGGGATATGACTCGCATGTCACGAAGGGATACGAAAGCGCTAATAAGAACAATGTCTTCGCCCATGCAAAGAACTTACTGGCCAATTTGAAACGCGATCGCCCAGAAGGCCGGCCCATTATCTTTGTTGCACATTCCCTTGGAGGGATCCTGGTTAAGGAAGTCCTTCGCAGATCGAACGAGTCAACCCAAGACATCGTAGTAGATATCGTTCGCTCGACATCGGCCGTTGTCTTCCTCGGAACGCCTCACCGTGGAAGTTCTAAAGCTGCTGACATTGGACAGGCCTTCCGACAGGCCGCGAGTACGCTCCTTCGGGTAGATTCCAACGCAGCAATTCTTCGGGCATTGGGCGCTGATAGTCCTGAGCTAGAACTTGGTCGAGAGTCCTTCATCGTGTTGTGGAGGAAGTACAAGTTCTCTGTCAAGACGTTTCAAGAGTCTAAACCCATGGCCGGAGTCAATGTCAGCATACTTAACGAGCTTGTAGTATCTAAAGAGTCTTCTTCTCTTGATGACCCTGAAGAAAACGCAGAGACGATAGAGGCTGATCATCGCATGATGTGCAAGTTTTATGGCGCAGAAGATCCTAGCTACATCCAAGTTAGCGGTGAATTGAAAGGGTTTGTCAACTCCATCCTCCGGAAGTATCAGTCACGAAGACGGGAAGCAGAGGTCGATATGCTAGGACATGCAGGAAGTACGAGCCCCTGAGCTAGTATTTATTACGGTTTGCTAAGTCAGGCTCTAGGTGAACGGCTTGAATTGGCCAACAATGGCAATGATACAAGTGATGGTGTTCCCTTTCTCTGTATCTTGAGTTCGACCTATAACTAATGATAGCTGTAGATTGTTACGCTGCGCCTGAAAGCAGCTACTCATCCATAGGAATCCTTCTGGTGTACATCCCACAGCTTATAAAAGCTGTAGAGTATTACGGAGATGGCGTAAGAATATCACCTGTGCTGCGATTGATGACTCTGACAATGTTCTCTTTTCAGGTTTCGACCATAGATAGTATGAAAGTCTACGAAAATGTCTTTATCGACAGCCAAATGCTTCTGATGACTAGTTTGGATATGTTCGAAAAATGTTGTAGACGACTGGTCCGAAATCTTCCAGACACACAAGTTCACAGATTGATAGACTTTCACAAAGGGTGGAGCGACCCTCAATTACAAGCACAATTGCATCAGCAGCTAGGAGAAGATTCTGCGAAATTTATTGTGACGATCAAACAGACTAAAAAGAGGATTGAGCTACTGCAGAGAAAGCTGAAGTTGCGGGCAGACTTTGAGGTACGTTCGTTATGGGCGAGAGCATTTTTTCGCGTCAGAGTCTTTTGGATATCCTTTTATGGGTTGTATAAGTGATGACAGACATTACCAGGAATCTTTCAACACATGGTCACGCGTTGGCAGCGAGTTTAATTTACATAAATATACCGAGGTCATCGATCAGATCCACCAAGGAGTGCAACGAATCTGCACTTTCATGCCAGAAGAAGTCGATCCAATTGTAATTCAAGGTCATCAATCCTTTCCACGGGATTTGAATTACTGGCTAGATATCCAGACCCATACATATCGGCTTTTCAACGCCATATCGTCTATTTGGCCCCGGGATTGCGCGTATCATACCCATCACGCAAAGTTGAGATTGAATATACCTACCGAAGACCGAGAAGAACAAGAAGCACCTAAAGTTAATGTTTCATTTGCTATGGACAAACGAGTAAGCCTCACGCAACATTATCCACGCGGATGGCGAGATGTCAAAGTGATCTTTTCCCAAGCACCAAGGGTGAAGTAAGTTGATTATGGTTTCTATGACGTTTTGTTGGGATTGTCCGCAAAATCAACCCTATGCCTATACTAATCACTGATTTGTAAACCGCAGCATCTTTAAAAAGGAAGTTCGATTTTCTCCGACATCAATCACTATTGATCCTCTTCAGGCACCGAATAAGTGTGCCTCGGAGCGTAAAATCGAAAATATCTGCACCATGCTTGAAGAAAATCATCAAATTAAGTGCCTTGGCCTCCTTCACAGCGAGGGTTGGCACTACCATATCCATGACCCTACTAACTACGCGCGGAACTTAACGCCCCTAGGGGATATTTTGTCAAGCCACAACATAACGACGAGACAAAGGTAAGCCACCTTCCACGTCAGTAATTGACTAAGCTCTAATGATAGAAACGAAAAGACGAACGCTCGCCCTGACGCTGGCATCCGGAGTGCTACAGCTTTACGATACCCCTTGGTTACGTGACAACTGGACTCTATATGATATTTACATCGACTCGAGCCAAGGCGTCGATTACCTCTATGTTCTGAGAATGTTTGACGAGTGCAGCCTACAGCAACACCTGCCAGGCCGCCGTCCAAGCGCCTTGGACTGTGTGAGAAATCGGACTCTGTTCGCCCTCGGCGTCGCTCTCCTTGAACTTACGTACGGAGCACCGCTGTCCGCCCAGAAAACAGAGGAAGATCTCAACGATGCCTTGACACCACACCGTATTGTGTGGCGTCTAACAAAAAAGATCGAGCATGATGAGTTGCCGCAGTTCGCGCGAGCGGTATTTAAATGCATCCACCCTGACGCTGAGGGCTTTGAGTTTTCCCTCGCGAATCAGGGGTTCCGCCGTCGGTTTTTCCAAGAAGTGGTGCTGCCTCTCAAGAATGACTACGACGAATTGCCGAGAATCAGGTGTTAATGCTTCGTGAGTTTTATTCTTATCACATATCAATGAGTTTTATCTCTGCCTTGGTAGTTCAAAAGGGCTGGTAAATACATTATGGCCACGATATGCAGTGCGACATCTTGTGTCGGCAGTGGTATTTAGGTTGTGGAATATCTGACAGTATCATGGATACAAATCGAGGATAGAAATCGATCACGCATTTAGAAGCAGATCCTCAATTCTTATGTTTATAAAACCTAAATGGCTTTTCATTCCACTATTTGAAGCTTGACCATATGAAGTTTCATAGTGACGCTGACATCTCCCATCTACGACGTAGGGACTGGTACGTTCGCGGCCCACGTGGACCCCACTTGCTGTAGCGTGATCACGTGTATACTATAAAGTGTTTCCATGAGACTCCTGATCTATCCAAATATATAGATATCTGCCTTCATCTTGGTCGTTTTAATTACAGTAGTTCCACGTTTATCATGGTCTTCCTATGAGATCCTCTCGAAAACGGGCAAGCTCAGTCTTGGCATTAGGAACTATGGTTAGACAATCCACTTTAAACGGAAGTCATAGTGGGGCTCTGCACTGTGAAGAATCCCCACCTCCATCCATCAAACGGAACCGTGATCACACCACGGTTCTCCTCGCCAAAGATACGCCATGTCCATCGCTAAAATCCATAACGAGTGCTATCTCGCCTTCGAGGAGCTGTGTAACGCCGCACAGAAATCAGAACGATATCATGAGCTGTTAGACGAGTTCGATAAGTACTGCTTATGGGCTGGAAATGTTGGCGCTGCACATTCGGGCAAAACGGAAAAGCTTTCCTTGGACTACAGACTAAGAGAAGCATCTTCCTACAAAGATCAGGTACTAACCCATTTCATGCTTTGATCTCAATGGAAGAGCTCATACCCTATTCTTAACGGAAATGGTAGACGGTCACTTACACGTGCATACGGTTAGGTCACAAAACTCTTAACTATTATAAAAGGCCAAGTCCAAAAGGCGCATCGGATTCTTATGGGAGAACAGATTCCCTTCGAAGAGCTTTCATCATGTGCTACGAGTCACAATGTCACGCTGTCGAACCCGAAATTAGAGCTGAGCGTAGATGAAGACTCGCCATGGGAGGTATCCTCGGAGTCCTCCAGCGATCTTTGGCCAAGCGAAAAATCACAGACAGACGGGACTAAATTACCAGCATCATTGGAATTTTCTTCAGAACCCGCTCCACAGAAGATCACGGAGCTGTCGCAGCTAGTGGGATCAATTCGACTAGGCGTGACATGCCTTTACAAACTTCCTTTACGAAAACCTGCACCAGTTGATCGACTAAATGACCGGTCAACAGAAGAAGTATCATGCTACCAAAATTTCGACATCACATATGTTAGAGACAAGTTTCCTGACCCGCGTCTCGGTGACGATGTTACAATCCGTTTGGGAAAGATGATTACCCGACGTCGGCAACTGCTTCTGTATAGAGCAAGACACCGAAGCAATCTTCAGACAAATATAGCCATTTCGAAACTCGGAGTGATAGATTCTGCCGGAAAAGATATGGGACCTGCAATGATGCATGATGAGAATGTATCTCTCGCTCAAGAAGCAGCCACAATGCCCATGTCGGAAGCTAGAAGTAGAGATATTACGTTAAAGAGCAAGGCTACTACATTCGAGATGAAGGACATGCCGCCAATAAACGTGGAAAATTTGCTGGCACCTTCCGTTGTCCCTTCAGACCGTGCGAGTTCTATCGCGGCTAGTGAAGCCACCAAGGATATCCGCATTGACGTCCCACCAGGGCCAAAGAGCCTCGAAGGTGGAATTGCTCAATTCGAGTGTAAATATTGCTGTCTCACGATCTCTATTAGATCGAACCGTGCCTGGAAGTAAGTGAAGTCGCAGGCCCTATTTCTAAAGATATCAAAACGAGTTTTCCTGCTTATTCTTACTTTAGGCCGGGCTAATTATAAATCCTAGGGACCATGTCTTGAGTGACTTACATCCATACGTGTGCACCCATTCAAATTGCAGCCTCCCTGATCACATGTCTGAAAACCGAGATAGTTGGTTCAGCCATGAAATGGAACATCATAGGGTCGAGTACTTCTGCAACACTGCAGGCCACCAGGTGTACAAGACCCAGGCACAATTTGTGAAGCACATGAGAGAGTCTCATGAAGTACAACTCGACCACTCATCCATACTATTCAACGCTTTTCGTCAACCTTCAACGGCTCTCCACCAGCCAACAGTTGATGGTCAATCTGCTGGTGAACTGTGCAACCTTTGCTTTAGACCTACACAAAACTTAAAGCGACACGTGGCCCTCCATCTTCAACAAATCGCTTTGTTTGCTATTCCTCGGGCAGACTATGCGGTTGATGACGATGGTTTGAGTAGTGGCGATTCGGATGTCCCACGAAACAACTCGATGAACTCTATGCTGCAGAATACTCATTGTTCCGCCTCTCAGGATCCAGAAAGCCTTTCCAAGGGTTCGAGTGCTGATGACTTCGCCACAATGGTCGCAAGAGCGGAGGAGTATCAGTATCCAACTGAGGATGTGGTCGACCAGATAGAAGTCCCTCCTACAGACGAGATTGTCTGGGATAACATTACCGACAAATTTTCGCGCGCTCGGGGAGGGAATTCAGAACGAGCCCCGATAGATATTATTTTATCTGAAGAAGTGGTTGAAAGTGGAACGGGATACTTTAACCAATACACTATTGGGTGGATCTGCGCCTCGAGTACAGAATATGTTGTCGCACAAGAATTCCTAGATGACGAGCATGGACCACCTGAGTTTGTTTCGCCTAATGATACTAATGATTACACATTGGGCAGGCTTGGAAAACACAACATCGTCATCGCCGTGTTGCTCAATGATGAGTATGGAACAGCTTCTGCTGCTAGTGTGGCCACAAATATGCTTCACAGTTTTCTAAATGTCAGAATCTGCTTAATGGTGGGTATTGGTGGCGGGGTACTGAGTATGAAGCATGATATCTGTCTAGGCGATATTGTGGTCAGCGCGCCTCGTGACGGTGAGAGTAGTGTTTTTCAATACGACTTTAGTAAAATAATACAGCAGCAGACCTTCTAACATACACAATTTCTGAACCAACCTCCAACAATCCTATGGGGTGCAATGATGGGGGTTCAGGCCCAGCACGAGAGGAAGGGACATTGGCTGGAAGAGGCTATTGAAAAGATTCTGGAGAAAAATCCTAGGCTATGTCAGAGATATACACGACCACAGCCCGGTTCTGATAGACTTTTTAAAGCCGAAATCGCTCATATAAAGGCCTATGCAGAGTTCTGTGTTAACAATCCGTCATATTTGGTCAAGCGACGCGAACGATTAGAACATGAGGATGATCCAGCTGTTCATTATGGCCTGATTGCCTCTGGAAACCAGTTGATAAACGATGCTATGATTCGTGACCGACTTGCATCAAAGAAGGATATTTTATGTTTTGAGATGGAAGCAGCGGGCTTGATGAATCATTTCCCATGCTTGGTCGTACGGGGTATTTGCGACTATTCTGACTCTCACAGAAACAAAGAGTGGCAAGGATATGCTGCTATGGCTGCGGCTGCTTATGCTAAAGATCTCCTCTCTCGCATTTCGCCAAACAAGATTGAAGCAGAGAAGAGGATCGTTGATGTACTTTCTTCAGGTTAGTCTCTAGCAACTTCGCACGGCTGTCTATTAACAAGAGGTACAGTCGAGAAGAACATAAACGAAGTCCGTAAGACAGCCCAAAAGACAATCGCTACAATCGAGATCTCAGATAGTGACCGACGGCGCGAAAAAGTCATTGCAAAGCTATCGTATGCAAAAGGTTCCACATTCGACTCTTTCGGTGGGGCCTTTGATCCGGGATGCCATCCAGAAACAAGAATAGATTTGCTTCATCGGATCAGGAAGTGGGCAGAAAACCGACAAGGAAAGTCGATGTTCTGGCTACAGGGGATGGCTGGCACGGGAAAATCTACAATTTCTCGGACAATTGCCGATGCCTTTGACAAAGAAGGAAATCTAGGAGCTAGCTTCTTCTTTAATCGAGGCGAGGCAGATCGGAGTAGTGTGGCTATGCTTTTTACCACAATTTGTGCCCAACTCTTGGTCAAGATTCCGTCACTGATCGCTCACGTCGAAACGGCCATTGATAACGACCCCAACTTATCTAACAAATCTATGGGAGAGCAATTTGAGAAGCTTATTTATCAACCCTTGTCACAAATTCAGCATCACCACACTGCACTCTCTCATCTTATTATCGTGATTGATGCCTTGGACGAATGTTCGCGGGACGGAGACTCTCTGCTTCGCCTTTTATCACAAACAAGAGATAAGTGGTCAACAAGCTTGCGAATATTCGTCACTAGTCGACCAGAGCAGCCCATCCGGTCTGGTTTTAAGGATGTGCCTGTAGATGCATTCGATTATGTGGAGCTTCATGAGATACCGCGGCCTATCATCAGGCAAGACATTACTACTTTCTTGAAATACAGGTTTGCGCAAATCCAAGTCCAGTATACAAAAGCCGGCTGGGCACTTCCGCCTGACTGGCCTGGCTCTGAGGCTTTATCAGCCTTAGTTGAAATGGCGGTTCCGCTCTTTATTTATGCTGCTACCCTATGCCGGTTTGTGGAAGACCCCCTGTGGTCGGACCCGACAGGCCAGCTGAAAAAGGTTCTTAATTATCGAGGAATGGGACGTGACTCCGACATATATAAGCTAGATGCCACTTACTCTCCAATTCTGAATCAGCTAATCCATGGCCGTCCAGAGAAGGTGCAGAAATCATTGGTTGAGAGGTTCCGACGCATTATAGGCACAATTGTTCTCCTAGCGGAGCCCCTTTCACGGTCATCTCTAGCATCTTTGCTTAATATCGATGGCCAAGAGATCGAAGGACAGCTCTCGTCTCTCCATTCTGTCCTGAGTATGCCATCCTCTGCAGACTCTCCGATAAGGATGTTGCACTTCTCATTCCGTGATTTCCTAGTCGATCCTAACAAACGTCACATGAATCCATTCTGGGTGGACCAGACGGAAACCCACAAGATGGTTATAGCCAAATGCCTTGAACGAATGTCACAACCCGGAAGTCTCCAAGAAAATATATGCAATCTGGCAGGCTACGGAACGCTACGAACTGAGATTAATGGCAGAATCATAACCAACTACTTACCATTAGACATGCAATATGCTTGCCGCTTCTGGGTATACCATTTGAAAGAGAGTCAGACGCGCGTCAGTGACAATGGTCCAATCCATATATTTCTACAGGAACACTTTTTACATTGGCTGGAGTCATTGAGCCTTTTAGGAAGAATTGCAGAAAGTATTAACCTAGTTCAGACATTACAGACTGTTGTATGTGTTTCAAGTTGAGTTTTTATTAGGATCCCTTGTTCTAACAATTATCCAGTGTGATAAAGACACAGAGATATGCAGATTCTTGGATGACGCAATACATTTTATTCGAAAGAATATCTCAGTCATTAATCAGGCGCCTCTCCAGCTCTACGCATCGGCACTTATTTTTGCACCAAAAGCGAGTATAATCAGGAATAAATATATCGATAAAATTCCTAGTTGGGTTCAAAAATTACCAGAAGTGGAATCAACCTGGAGTGCAGTGCAGCAGACCCTCGAGGGTCATGCTAGTTGGGTTCACGCAGTGGCATTCTCTCCCGACGGCAAGCTTCTCGCCTTAGCCTCCCGTGATAGAACTGTCAAATTGTGGAATACGATCATGGGTGCTCTGCTGTAGACCCTTAAAAGCCATTCTGATGTAGTTTATATAGTGGAGTTCTTTTTTTATGGTAAGCTTCTTGCCTTATCCTCCTGTGATAGAACTGTTAAATTATGGGATCTGGTTATAGGTGCTCTATAGCAGATTCTTAAGGGCTATTCTAGATTGGTTTAAATAGTGGTATTTTCTTCTAATAGTAAGTTAGTAGTCTTAGACTCTAGTAATAAGACTATCAAGTTATAGGATCTAGTTATAAGCACTCTATGGTGGACTTTTAAAGGCTATTCTAAATTGATTTAAATAGTAGAGTTTTTTTCTAATAGAAAGTTAATAGTATCAGGCTCCAGCGACAAGACTATCAAGTTGTAGGATCCAGTTACAGGCACTCTGCATTAGACCCTCAAGGGCCATTCTGAATTGGTTCAAGCAGTGGAGTTCTCTCCTGACAGAAAGTTGGTGGCATCAGGCTCTAGCGACAAGACTGTCAAGTTGTGGGATCTGGCCACTGGCGCTTTGCAGCTGACCCTCAAGGCCTATTCTGATGCAGTTTGCGCAGTGGCATTCTCTCGTGACGGTAAGTTTGTGTCTTCGGGCTCTAGCGACATGACTGTCAAATTGTGGGATCCGGTCAGTGGCGCTCTGCGGCAGACCCTTGAGGGTCATTCTGAATTGGTTCAGACAGTTACGTTCTCTCCTGATGGCAAGCTTCTCACCTTAGCCTTCTGTGACAGAGCCGTTAAATTGTAAGATCTAGTTATGGGTGCTTTGCAGTAGAACCTTAAGGATTATTCTAATGTAGTTTGTATAATAGTATTCTTTTTTAATAGTAAGTTAGTAGCTTTAGACTCTAGTAATATGACTATCAAGTTATAGGATCTAGTTATGGGCGCTCTATGATAGATCTTTAAGGGCTATTCTGGATTAATTTAAATAGTGGTATTCTTTTTTAATAGAAAGTTAGTGGTTTTAGGCTCCAGTGACAAGACTGTTAAATTGTGGGATCCGGTCATGGGCACTCTGTAGCAGATCTTTGAAGGTCATTCTGAATCAGTTCAGGCAGTGACGTTCTCTCCTGATGGCAAGTATCTGGAGATCGATCAAGGACGCTTCAACATCGAGTCTCTTCATGTTCGCAGTCTATCCCAAACACCAAGCAATCTTTATAAAAATATACTAGTGAAGAATGAATGGCTGACTCGCAATGATTCCAATGCCATTTGGTTGCCTGTTGAGTATCGAGCAACTTCTTCCGCAGTGTATGACAGCAAGCTTGTTATGGGACATGCTTCAGGTCGAGTTACTTTTCTGCAGTTGATTTAATAAAGTTTCATTCATGAGGTAAACTACTCTGATAAACGGGACAGAAGTACGTCGGATCTAGAAATGTAACCTGGAGAATTCCTTTGCTAGTTAGCCTTTGCGCACAAGAATGGGTGTAATAAAGAAAGTATAATATCATTTTCTATATATAAACAAGTTGATGATGAGAGTGTACTTATCATGGGGGATCTAACAATTCGAGCAGAGACTAGATCCATCCGGAGATATAAATTATATATAGATGATGAGGTGCAACCATTTTTAAAATCAAGTAATAGGCTACAGAGTGTATAAGAGCAAGTAAAACTGCTTTAATGGAAAGGCATGCTAGAAATCGTTAATCTTGTGACAGGATATCAGAGAGAGCAATATCTAAAGGGATTCTTTCAATTTCTTTGACCGACGTACTGACCACTGTGTGGAATGAACGGAGCCAGATTCGATCAATCGAGAGTGGATATGTGGCATTTCAGAGGTGATAGAGGAAGCGGGGGTGTCTATGCCGGAATGGAGATCGGATCCAGAAGAGGAATCTGAATCATCAAAAGATGAATCTTCACGGCCACTAGCAAGCTGCCATGGTGGAAGATGTTTCAGCTGAATATTAACATCGTATGCGTGCACATATATAGCATGGGCCAAGAAATCAGTGATTTTGGTGAACTTCGGCGCATCATGGCACATCTTCCAGGTGCAGCTGATCCCATCGTACGCCTTTGCGAGGTGACAATCGATGAGATGTCGCCGAAGAGAATCTTGCCGCTTAGGGGGAAATCTGTGCGGAGGTGGATTAGATGCGGAACGGCGGGATAGACCGTAACAGATGATGCAAACATCCGTTGGGCAGTCAAGAGTTTCCTCTTCGAGAAAGCAAGGCTTTTCTGGCTCCGCAGACTCGTCGTCGTCGAATTTCCAGTTGACTCGATTGCCCCGACGGCTCGGTTCACAGAGGGTACTGAGCGCAACCATATCTTTAGTTACCTGGATACGTCTTGCAAGAAACTTATCCTCTTCGTAGTTCTCCGCGTCTGGGCCATAAAAATTCTCAACCAGCCGTTCCCGCTCTGGGAAGACGTATGTCGGGGTGGGAAGCTCCCAGTCCGTTTTGTCGGGGATGTCGACGTCGTTATCCTCAGGATCGGCCTGACCGAGAAGTCTCTTGATCTGTCTGTCAACTTCGAGGATCGGCGCATTGTAGAAGTGATCTTATGGTAGCCTTACGTGAGGACTTCTCGCATGATTATAAGAACTTGAGTCCGTTGATAGGTCCTTTGACGATTCCTATATGTGATAAAGCAGATATTAGAGACAATACTGCATATGGGGAAATGAATATGGAGATCGTCTGCCTACGGATGACGGTATAGAAATCTCAATAAGAGTCATGGTCAAGCAGGGCGAGCAGTTGCAACACGAATAGATAGTCGAACGATTTCCCAGCTAGATCAGCGTGAGAAAAGGAACGCTACTTCGATGAAAAACAACTAAGTATATATAAATCTAGGGTCCGCTCGATAAGAACGAGCGAAGGTGGTGATAACTTACGGTTAGTATGAATGCTCTCAATGTCAGTCATGGCCACTTGCATTGTGGTGGAATCCATCCCAGTAACGAGGAAGAAATCAAAATTGGTAATCATTGAGAAGCGTGAGTAACAAGGACTTCTCTGCTGACATTCAAGATCGCTCAGCCAATTGCTGGTAACGATCTGTTCGGTAAAGAATCCCGTTGGTGCTGTATGCACCGTCTTGTGCTCTGTCAGTAACATCCTATTTCATGTCAACATCCATTTCCCACCCGCTGTCTGTAGATACAACTCGTGCTAGTAGAAATTCCAACCAAGGTCCCAGTTTACTCACAGGCAAAACCTTTCTACACTCTATGTTGACGTCGATCCGAGTTGCTGCCAAACCGAGTTGGTAATGGTTCAAGTTGGTGTCAATTAGGCTGAATCTAGCGCTGAAATTTACTTACCGGTAATGGTCGGTTCGTTTTCATGTTGACAAATTGAGTGGGAACGCGTATTGTATTGTATTCAAGTGTGTCTAGTAGAATGAAAGTATCCGGCATAGGTGTGCCATACATAATGCAGCGCAGTCCTGTGCGCGCTAGTTTAGTAAGGAGTCCTCTTGGCAAATCCTTATATCGAGGAAAGCCAGCTATCCAATGAGGGCATACGAGTGGATATATGCGCTGCGCTCACCGTATTCGGGATAGCGGTAAAATAATCTTGTCACATGTTAATTCTCATTAATGTCTTTAAGGATATGGGATTTTTCATCTCACCTCATGAACAGGATAAGGTGAGAATTGTTCTCGTTCTCAATCACGAGCCACTGTTGTTGAAGGTCTTGACCTCAACAACATAAGCCGTCTATCTCCGTGTATCCCCACTTCATTACTTCCCAGTCCATCCTGAGTATACCTTGCTCAAAGTGACTTTACCTATTTACCGCATCTAATCTTATTGTTTGATCTTTACGCCATCAGTATGAAAATAGTATTTCTCGATATGCTACTTTATCATTACCTTATCATCTTCAATGCGTAACAGCCTAACTAAAGTCGGCGTCAAAACGAGTTGGTGTCAATTCAGGTTTGTGTCAACGCTGGTAAGGCCTTTACTCTATGCTTCTCCTATGTATATCAATCTTCTTACACCCTGCTTGTATGCGTTTGAGTCGTGTATTTTTCTGCTGCGAGTTGATCGACTGTAAAGCTTCACGCCTTCGCATCTGAGGTAATCTTCTGCGATTTTATCAGCTGTGGCTCGGAAGGTGACAAGTTGCATGGGTGATCCATTTGGTCGCCAGCTCCGGTTCCGGATATGTGTTGACATCTAAATAAGTATAGCTTCATCAAATGTAGACACATTACTTCATCAGCTCACGGCGGAAGGGGAACATGCCGATCTAGAGCGTGCCAATCAAGCAGAGGCAAAACGCTCCATACAGCTTTTAAACATCATCTAATGCTTGTCTAACAGTGCCTTGTGATGACCTTACTAGTCGAGTTCAATCCATAGTTGGTTTTCAGCGTGAACTCCCGTCGACCGTTTGAAATCAGCCAAATTAAGTTGGGAGCATATTGAGATGGTGTCGATCCGACTTGGGGTCAAAACCGAGTTGGCGACGGTTCAAGTTGGTGTCAAATAAACTGAAACTATACACTTGAATTTACTTACCGGTAATTCTCGGTTCGTTTTCGTGTTCTCTTGATTGCTAATTCTCACTGATGTCTTTGAGGATATGTGATCGTTTCATCTCGCCTCATGAAGAGGATAAGGAGAGTATTGTTGTTGTTCTCAATCAGGAGCCACTATTGTTGAAGGTCTTAACCTCAAGTATATAAGCCGCCTATCGCCCTACATCTATACTCCATTACTTCCTAGTCTATAGTGAGTAAGTTAGTTAAAATGACTTTACTTTGTGGGCCATTGATTTCTGTGTATAAAATGACCATTCTTCTATTTACTTCTCCATTTATCTTTGCTTGGGATTTTAATAATAAAAATAATAATAATAATGAGCTTGTTTATGAAAGGAGGTTAATCTAGTTGTTGATTAATAGTTTTAAAAAACTTTTATATATGTGAATTAATATTATTCTTATTATTTTTTTTTTGGAAGTATATAGAGAGGGTTTTTCTAGAATAGAGGTAGGTGATATTCTATATTGACTGACTTTCTTTTAAAAGATGGATCTTGATATTGTAGATAAAAACTTTAATCTTGTGCTCTAAACTAATTATTTAAATTTATTAAATTTTTTAGATATTTTGGTTTATGAAGATAAGTTATTTTTTTATTATGAAAGGTTAGGAATATTCTTAAAGAAATTCTAGAAATTTATAATATTGGATTAAGTTGTAGTGACAATTATCTGTAAAAAAGTATTTTAAATTTAATTTATCTTGAAATAATGATTAATGTTGTGTAGTTAATATATAGACTGGTCTATATCTATAAGGCTTTTTATATTAGTTATGGCTATTTATATTGTGGTGGAATCTATCTTAGTGATGGGGGTGAAATTAAAATTAGTAAATTAATAAGAAATGTGAAGAATAAGGACTATTCTGTTGATAGCTTGGTAGGAGATATAGGAAAAAGTATGATTTAGAGAGGAAATATGAAAGATATTTTATGTGATATATAAGTAGTTTTCTAGGTTGTAAGTTACTTGTTTAGTCTTGATAGCAGTATAGATATGACTATTATGTTATGGATTATAGTAAAGAACTTTGTTAGTATGCTGAGCATTGTTGATCTTTGAATGCTCCTCAAGGTAAGGATCTTTTATGAAAATTGTAGATTAATAGAATTAATGGCTATATAGCATTTATTCCTAAAACTTAGTTAGGGTTCCTGGTATCTGTCATCTATTGTTGGTTTGCTTTTATTTGTGTGAACAATAGGTTTCGATAGATGCTCGAAATCCAGTCCATCGAATAGCGATGCGGAGACGAGCAGTAAGGATATGGCGACCTATCAAAATCTGCATATCGATTGTGACGATGCCAAACATGTGAACGGTTTAGGCTGAATGGTTAGATTCCTGTATTAGAAAAGCTTTTACTCCAATGGTTCAGTGATGCGTCCTTTCTACACAATACAGTCTATAACATTTCTTTGAACATGATGTAGGAGATGTTGAAGATAGTATGCAGACCTCCCCTAATTTAACGTAATCAATTACTGAGTTGGCCTCCTCTTCTTGGACAGACGCTCTCTCTATTGGAGGTCAGGATGGGAGGCCAGGAATAACCTTAGGGAAACTTCAGAAATCTACAATGTTGGATCGAGGCTGTGGCGACGATCTGCAAAAAACTACTTCAAATTCAAGTACCCTCTGAAATAACGACTAATGCTGAAATTTCTGAGCTATGGCACAATAATTCTCATGTTCCGGGCAGCAAGTCTATTGATTTTCCACCAATCTATGTCACCGTGTCATTGGTCAATTTCCCGCTCGGTATGGTTGCCCAGGCTGGCTTGGGGTTTCGGCATCCTGGGATGCTCAAATCCTGGGCTATTAGATCATCATGCTTGAACTTTGGAACGTTCTGCATGTTCTAGATAGGAATGCTCATTCCAACGCCTTGTTTTAGTGCTCCTCTGATAATTCGAGATTCCTGCTCGAGATGGTTGCGAATGACTGGGCTGGTGAGAGATTAACAAGTTCCATTACATATCTCTAACCGTTATCCCTTTTTGCGCGGGCATTAATCACTAAAAGCGAGCCCTTCTCTGTAGCTCGAAATCACAGAGCTTTTGTATACGACTTAGTCATTGGTAGGCAAATCATTTTGAGTCTAGTCACAATGAGCTTTATTACAATCACCCGCCTCCTCCTGGTGGTTCTCTTCAGATTGCTCCTAAAAGCAATAGGTTTTAGCTCTCTTGGTCCTATTGCAGGTGAGAGACAATTGTTTCCTTCTAAGAAGCATGCGGCTTGCTACTCTTGCTGCAGAAAATGTGCCATACTCCCCTTCAGGTAAGACAGCGATGACTGTGTTGTATTTCCCAATTTTACCCAAGGCGTAATCGTTGTTGTCATTGGGGGACACATATTCTGGTCCGTCGTGCCTCTCGTCGAGAAAAGCTTGCACAGCAACGAACTCTGTAGTTATGGCGCAGATCCAGCCGACGGTATAGTCCTTAGGGTTAGACATATTTGCTCGTAGAGTCCTACAGAGGTAGGTGAGACGTGAGAGAGGAGGGTGAATTCGGATTCGGGTGTAATGGGTTAGGTTCGGTCGCAGGTAGTTCACGGCGAAGTTCGGTTAGCTCAAGTCGCTCAGAATGAAATCGAGCACTCGGCATGCCGTAAGTGACAGGAGATTTAGATACCGTTGAAAGAAAAATTAGAATGAAGTTCGAGAGTCCATGAGAAGGAAAGAGGGGATGGAATGAGGAGATGTAACTGATTCAGCCTTATAGGCTCAAGCCTGGCTGAGTGTTCAACACAAATGCAGAACAGCTAAAGCCACAACCGCCACATCAATTTGCATTTATGGTTTTAATTGGATCATCGAACTCCAGCAGAATGAAATGGTCGTCTACGCTAAAGCCAACGTTTCTTAACCTTCACCGTAGTGCCATTATTAGCGCGAAGAATAAGAGCTGCTTAGCAGCGTCGAAGTACTTATAGGACCGAAGTTTGTCTTCGGCTTGCCCCGCTTCAGCTGCGACCCTAGCCTCGGATCCCAGCCCCACTACTGCCTCAGGGCGTGTGGAAATCAAAGAACAATTGCGCAAAGGATTTTCTTCTGGCTTGATAAGGATATCTAACAACTCTAACTTAGATCCTAGGGCATTAGCGTAAGCCAACATTCAGCAAGCACTTTCCAAGCGAGGTAGACTAAAAAAGACCGATAGAAACAGAGCAGACTCCCCAGGTTTTAGCACGGCAAAAGCACTAAAAAGTCAACTAATATAAACATATCTCCCAGGGTCTTCCACTTCCGTCCGTCATAACGTGGACGCCGAATTTTCTGTTGAATTATCTCTATCGATTAGCGAAACTAACCGGGAAAATTGATCCTCGAAACCTTCAGGAATAATTGATCGCCTTTGAATCATTTCCGCCGCTGTCAAGTTTTCCTTGTTGCGGAGAAAAGGATCCAACCCCTTTAAACCAGCGCCCAGCAAGATATGCAGCGTTTCACTGTCGCCCTCTAATGCCGCAGAATGGAGAATACTCGATCCAGCATTATTGACCAAGAGATAGTTAGCAGAGTTCTGTAAGAGTAATCTGAGGAATTGATGACTATTATGGAAGATAGCCTCAAATAGTGCAGATTCACCGTGTGCACCTCTAGCATCAATACTTGCACCTCGACGTAGCAGGTATCGTCCAATACGGTCATGATTCCTGATTGCAGCCCCAATTAAAGCCGTATGCCCGTTATTATTTTGAGAGTTCAAAGGTGCGCCGGACTGAAGTAGTAGAACGACTGAAGGTAGTCTACTCTGGTGTCTGCAAGCATTGTAAAGAGCGTCCGAACCGTAGAAATTTTTCCAGAGAATATTGCTCCCACCGTCTAGCAATAATTTCAGAGATATCGGACAGCCAGAAGATGC